TAAAAAGAGCTCGTAATAGAATAACTAGGTTCTTCATTGTTTTAAAATTCATCTGGGATTCGAAAACCGTCACTGTTCGTTTTTTTTGGCAAGAGAACGGCCGTTGCTCTTTAAACGACAGATGTGTCGATCTTTGTATCAATATACTAGTTATCTTTTGTAAAATTTATGGTGCGAACGTCGCGAGAAACTATTTAGGAACGTTTTTTAATCTTTATATGTGGAAAAGCAGAAGAAATGCTAGGTTTGCAGTTTTGTGGTTTAAACGGTCTCGTTATTCTCACAGCCAATCTGCTTAAACATCTACATGTATTGAAGATGGAAGGAGAAATTGCGCTTTTATCACTCGACTGCAATAAATGTTACACGGCACATCATCCAGAAAAAGAGATTTGTACGCATTGTTCGCTTTCTATATCACGTAAAAAGAATAATTAATTCAGCATATATTTTCTTCTTCCTCTGATGTTTTTCGATTTCCTATAAGGACATAAATTTTTGCACAAGGCATTTGCGACGACTCGACAAAATCGGAGAGCAGTGAACTTTTTTTTTAAGATTATGTCCGTTATTCTGTGAATACAATTGTTCATCGTTTAAAAAATTACTGCTTCGTGTCTTTTTCCTCAGATGCCATTTAATTTTCAAATTTACATTAATTTGATCAACTTACATGGAATATGTATCCCTTCCGGTAAAATTCGCATCTCTATTATAGAATACCATTAGAAAACATACACTCTATTTTATTATTCCAAACGTAATACTTTTATTTGTGTTTGTCTAAAAATTTGGACTCTTCCTTATGTCGATCAATTTCCCAAATTCTCAACATCATTCTCGTTGAAAATGAACCGATATTGGTAAGTAGAAATTTAATTCTGAGAGATTACATGAAGTGTTATGTAAAAAAATAGATATTTTCACTCTTTTCGTGTCCTTTGTTTCTCAGAAAACGCGGAAAATGCAAGTAACGATGACATAAAAAACACAAAAACAGAGGAAAAAAACTGAAATTATCGAATTACATAACTATAAGCCCGAGAGCTACAATAGTTTAGAATGAATATTGTGGTAAAAAACATAACAAAAATAATTTTAACGAAAGAATTGCCATCTGTCGACATCTAAGAAGCTAATTTCCTATAAAAAAAAATGCTCACCACTTTCAATCTAACTTTTGTACCGTATAATGAGCGAGAGAGATGAATTAAACTATTATGAGATAACAACAGAAAGAAACGAAGCTTTTTCGTTTAGTACCTGAATGTTGATGTTTCCCTTTACTCCGTAAGAATCTGATCGCATTTATCCGCATAAGCAGAAGATAATTAATTCACACAGAGGTAAAGGATTTTACAGCTGTTTTAACTGTTGTTTTCAATGAATTGAGAGTTATAGGTAGACAAAAATTTCCATCACGTAATTTTTTTCAAGTCAGTGGAAAGATAAGTATGTTATTTACCGACTGGTAGGTCCATATGAGATAAATTTCCACTAGAGGACAGTATTTTCAAGTCCAAGCTCGGAGTTTTTCATCGTACGGATCTTCTCTCAGCTGGTTAATAGCTGACCATTACTTTCTCTTTTTTTTCCAGTTCGTGAACGGGAGGTATTTTACAATTTTGTGATCTGACTGGTTCTAAGAGCGGGCGATATTCCCCCTTCTCCCCTCCCCATCCCACACGCACGCACCCATGCACCCACCCTGACAATAGATAATGATCGGTCCCTTGTGATTTACCTATCATAATTCTAATGATCCATTCCTGATCTATTTTAAATACACAGCATGCAATTTGCTGAGACGGAGGAAGCCCCATATTACCCAACACTCAGTCAACTGATACAAGTAAGCAAACATTTGTTCAAAGCTGTCTAATATCCAACATTATCTTACGCTGGTCTGCGTCAAAATGCGGGGAAAAAACAAGTTATTCAGCGTCATATCTTGAGAATCTACACAGGATTTATCGTAAAATGCGTCAAACGCCTGGTCGAGGAAATTGAACAGATTTGCGCCACTACAAAGTCATAATTGTGTGGAGTTAATTAAAGGAAAGATATTGCTCAATGATAAATGTAATAGCATCGGTATTGAGAAACTGCGCTAGAGTTCGTGGTTAAAGAACCTAGAACTGAACGGAAGATTCAGTTGATGAGATATTCTGAGATCCGTGAAGAGGACACTTCAAGTCTATCAGAGATTTGAGACATATACCGCATAAATCGCCATCAACATATTATGGTAAGTTCGCTTTTTTTCTTTTGGAATTTTAAAGAGTGCTATATAACTGCAAGAGTTTCTTTTTTTGTGATTTTTTTTTGTGATATTCAACGTTCGGTTTGAATTATCCAAATTAGAAATGACCTGTAGAGTGAAGCTGGGAATTATAATGCCTTCGCGTGTAACAGTACAAAATTCTGCACTCGGCCGATTCTCGACTAACCGTCAGCATTGTTTTACTTTACATACCTCGTAAGTTCTGGCTCTAACTAGTTGTTGACGGACCGGAACTGTTTGCAAGCTCATGATAATCTATCAATCCACAGAAAAATTATTTTAGAGTAGTTTCTATTGATCGAACAAATATTCTAATTTTGCGTGTAAATACGTTGCTAAGAGGCAAACCCAGTTTACAATAGTTTTTAAACATTTTCTGGGAATGTGCGGTAAAGAAAAGATATTAGCTTGTTGAGACTTTTAAAGTTCAGCACGTCTCACGACGACCTTACGAACAGGGAAATTACCGCTGTCAATCGTTGGCTTCCAAAACCGTCTCGGCATTCGCGCGAAATCGACCTCGCCACATTCCACGGAGAGGAGCCCACTTTAAAACTAATGGCTAAGTATGAACAATTCTCAACGGTTTGCCATTTGACCAGTTGTAAAAATGCGAGACGTGTGATTGAGGACAACGGTATAGATCCAGAAATCAGAACATTCGACTCGCCTCTTGCGAAAGAGTCCGTAAAAGTCAGAAGTGTTGGATTTGAGGCAAATACAGACACCAATCTCCGAGAGCTGAAGAAAATCCTGAAGGAAAAAAAAAGGCTGCGGGTCAAGTGGCTGCTTAATCTTCATGGTGATTCAGGTAGGTATAGAACAGTGTTTGTTTTTCTCTACACGTTCGCGCACAGACGGCCCAAGCTCCAGCTGTGAGATGATCATCTTGCGAAATAAAAGTCATAGCGGAATTATTAGAGTTTGTATGGGAATATTTACGACCGCTCTTAAAAAAAAAATACAGTCAAATTCTCACACACCGTCACCTAGCACCCGTAGTTCTAAAACAATTTATTGATGCCAAGTGACCGGTGGTCTTCGGCGAGGCACAGTTTGCAAAGGAGGCATGGTCAACAAGCTGGTTTTCAACCGTCATGTGTACGCGGGACGTCTAAATAGCGTCGGAAAGATTGAGTTTGTAGTGAATTGAAATGAAACTACAGTATATTTGCTTGAATTCTGAGTTGGATTTGTGGCCGCTCGGTCGTTTTTGAGCATGGAGTTTTCGCTTCTCGGATCGAGCGTTCGAAAATGGAGTGTGCAGCCTTGGGCTCTTCTTATGTTTTCTTATGTACGTAGAAAACCTAGAAATGGGTAACTCGCTGAAATGGGTTCTTTTCAACATAGTAAGCGGTCAGATAACAAGCGATGCACTGTGGAAGTAAGGTGAGGTATTTTTATTGAGAATTTGACTGAATTTTTTTTCGCCATGACTCTTATTTCGCAAGATGATCATCTCACAGCTGGAGCTTGGGCCACCTGTGGTTCGCGGAGCCTTACTCAACAAGTTCGATAAATTTAGCCAGCTCCTGGAAAACACTCGAGGACTTTCCAGGGGGCAGCCTGTGGACTGCTTTCTTTTCAGGGCTTCCATAGCGACACCGAAAGACAAATGGAACAGAAAATGGTAAACGAACAAAGCGAGCCCAGCTTGAATTAGAAATAGCCACCGTTTGTTGCCCGTCTGTACTTATAGGTAAAGGAATAAGAAAAGAAAAAAACAAAGGAAAGTTGTAGTATGTTCAGCCTGTGTAACTAGCAGGATTTTTTTTGTTGTTGTTTTTGTTTTTTTGCTTTTGTTTTTTTCTTTTTCGCTCTTTTAAAAAACGATGAAAGTCGAAGGCGCGAGCGGGATAAACACCTTTCCCTCCTGCTTTTTCCATCCCAAACCTCTCGCGGCTTTCCTGCTAGTTTTCACGTCGCCGCCGCTAGACGCTTCAAAGCGTGCACAAAACCACCAGCTACGTCAGCTTAGCCGTGTGAAGTTCATGAAGAATGTGAGAGTCACTTGAACATTTTATGCCTGAGACTTCGCTCGGAAAGCGATATAATGCATATCCTGAAGAATAGGGGTCGGGGAGCCCGTGCTCCTTCTCCCGCCCGTTCTTTTTTAGTTACCTTATTGGTGCTTACTGTCGCGGGTACTTGATGTCACGATTTTGGCGTGACGGTATTTTGCAGGGTTTTATTTTGTGATTTCAATAGGCAATTATCTGAAGAGGCATCAAATTTCTGAATTTAAGCGTTCTCAATTTGATTTAATTTTTTCAAAATGTACTAACTTTTAACAACTGTACGAAAGATATTCCATAAAATTTGTACGAATCTAATGATTCAGATGAAGATGGTAGCTAGATTCTCTACTTCATATGCAAAATCTTTGCAAATGAAGTGCAAATAAAAAGAAATTGGCTCAGAGATCACGTGAAAGTGACAAAAAAAAGCATTTCTCGAACAGTTTTCCAAAACGCGCCGAAGCGCGTGTTAAAAATTTTCAGGGAAAGGACCAAGAGAATTTCAAGAGAATTTCAACTTAAATATCAGTTGATATTCTCTTGCTCTGGACACTTCCAAGATGATACATCACAATCATTGCTGTCTTCTGGCCCCGTCACTTCAAAATTCGTTCCCAAAGGTCTGTAATGTGCCATAATGGCTTCTCTGTAACTCAAAATTCTTTCCTTCCAAGGTGCTATACTAACGTATGCATTAATTTTTATCACCACGAACAGGGATCGTAAACAAGAAGCCTTCACGCTACCGCATGGCTGACGATGACGTCAACAGGTGGCATCACTACATCCTGGACATTACAGACTATGCCAAGACTTCGTTGTGTCGCATCCTGGTCACACCTCGCGTATATTCAAACTTGATTCCCTATGATCCTACAAAACTGGGTGGTCCATGGTACTGGGACCTGGTGAATGACGAGCATTACTGCTTGCAAAGAGTGTTAGGTTACGATGGCGAGGAGCGCCCTTTTGTGACTGAGTTTTGGCGGGAATCTGACTTCATTGGTTTGTCTGTCCCAGGCCCCGACTGGAGCGTGATACATGACGTCGGTAAGGGTTTTATAAAGTTTTAATAAAACACTTTTCGTGTAACTAATTTGAGGGAAAATGCCGGGGAGGTATGTTTTCCCGCCAATTTTAGCTATTTGGGTAAATAAGTGCATTATTGTTACAAGAAGTAGATTGGCTGTCACGTCTACAATCCACCTGTCGTGATTCCGCTGCCGGCTGTTCTTTTTTTCTGCCTCAATGATGAAAATGAAGAGTTTTAGGGTCGTATCTCTTGATTAGGAAGCAACAGATATTCGATATCCGCCTAGTATAGATTTGGCAAGCACTAATTACCAGGTTCACAAACGAGGTTCACAAACGAGGTCTGAATTTCCGCCCAGGTTGTCTCCCGTAGGCCAGGGCAGAGAAATAAATCATCAGCTGTGTTAGATTCGCATTAAACGCTATTCGGTTGACAGTCGTAAAACCAAAAGGGAACAAGTTTCGACGGAAAGAAGAGATATCACAAGGAGCTAGTCAGATATCAAAGTAAAAAAAGCAGCAATCTCTTCATAGGCGAGAAAAATTGAGAGATTAGTATGCGATTGTTTTCAGTTTTGCGCCTGATTGGTTAAGAGAATGGACCAATCAGAAAGCAAAGAAATGCAAAACCAACGCAATCCCGGATCTCTTTCGACACTCCATAAAAATTGCTGTAAAAGTTAAACACATTTTTAACATTTCAGAGTTCATCCGCTCCGCGACGTCTTGTGCCAGTAAAGGAGAAATCGAAGACGCTGAGCTACTTGTCTTGTCCTGGGTTCAGAGCCAATCAGAAAAATTCATCAGAAGCTTAAGTGGCATCGAAGGATTGGGACAGAGTCGCTTGCAACGAGCCTTGCGTGATACTCTGAAGGAGCTTCCCTCTATTTCAAAGAAATTTGATCATTCCTGCGAGCCTAACACTATTTATGTCCATAACGATGCTGTGGCAACGCTCGCACATTCACCCCCACGGGAGAGTTTTTGTCGCGAGGTGGGAATCTCGGGTAGTTTAGTTTTTGTCAAAGCTTGTCTCGGTTTACTGTGCCAAAGTCAGAATTTGAACGATTTGAGAGAGTACCTTGTTGGTAACCCTGTGAGTCTGCAAGCTCTCTTTCAGTGGTTATTGGATTAAGCGAATTAGTGACTGTAAGATTGGAAATCAACGGTGTTAGAAAAGTATCTTTTTTCTTAAAGATTTCTAAAATTTTTGCGGAACCTCCTAGTCGTAGAACTTGACTTATTTATTACTGGACATTGCAGTCCACCGCTCGACGATGTGCGTTCTCAGTTATGACCTAAATTGTGACGTAACTAAGTTATCAAACCATGGAAATAAAATATATTTTTTGGACGGCCTGAATTGATATTGGCTTCTTATATATATGTTCAAATTTTACGAATGCCAGATTTTTTTTCTTCTTTTTCTGATGTGAGATGAAATTTGAGACCAGTTGCAGACCCTACGCAACTGTTGTCAGTGTCTCCGCTTTTCAGAAAGAGCTTTGGTGAAAAGAGCAGTTCAGCATATATTGAGAACTTGATAAATAATTACATCTAAAAGTTTTGCATTGAATCAATACCTTCTCTGCGGGTCATTAATCAATACACTGGTAGTATCATATCATTATCATTGAACTTGGAGGAAAGATATCGATCCAGAAATCTCTTAAAAACGAATTCAAAATTTTGAGAAATTTTGTAAGACAAAGACATTTAAAGTATTAGATAAAAACCCCTTGTCTTAACGACGTGACTAAACTTGTAAATACTTCATCGTGTAAGAGGCTAACATAATTTTCAATAGGTTCTTTGAAGTGCTTTAAAGAGTGCAAATTCAAGATGTCTTAATTTTCCACGGATCATTTGTTGGAAGTAATTATCTCGGAAGTTTGCTAAGATCGCGCTTTTAATTCTTCCGGCGAACATATCAAAAAAAATTGTGCTCGCAATGGGTTCTCAGTCCCGAATATTGGTAATAACTCGAGCTATAAATAAGCTTTAAACACTTCTTTTCGTACCCAAAATTATTACCAATGCAGTTGCAGTTGATATAGCACTTTGTAAACTAATTGACGATGATCAAGAGAATATTAAATCTTTTGATAATGACAGTACAATTTGGCCAAATTGAATAGTCATTGCGTGAGGAGAGTATATTGAGAATCAACGTGAAGTATTTCCGAAAGGTTCTTTCCTCTAGTTGAAGACAATTACACCCTGTAAATTATAAACCTTTGATTGACCGGACGTCCGCACTTTACTGGGAGAGAAATGGTGGTTTCTGTGATCACCATTCTACTGTTAGTTGAGATTGCTGTTCAGTTTGAATACGTTACATCTATAAACCCAATGCACTCCAATGGTAGGTTCGTTACTTTTTCTCATAAGTTATTATTGTTGGAAGGCGTGCGTAATAGCAACGAGGGGTGGGGAACACGAAGTAAAAAAAAAATTAGACTCCTAATGAAAAATCGCAAAAAGATGTTGAATTCTTCCTTGACTTAGGTCCTCCTATGCCCAGAAAAACTACGAAAATAAAAACTGCTACCAAAAATTTGCCCCTTTAAAAACATGACTAAAGAAACTTATTTTGATAATACCATTTCTAATGAGTAATCTTTACTTTAAAATCTGGGATTTCTGACCATTCCTCTTCACAATACCGCACGAACACCCTCTGAAATAACTTGGGATATTGGAAGAGAACGTTGTCTCGTATCTCTTCCGCTTTACGAAATACGCCGAGAGGGATAATTAGCATCTGAAGATACTCTGTTACACTAAGTGTTTTTGTGGCTGTCAGCTGTAATGTTCACTTGTTAATGTACAGTCGTTTATAACTATTTCAAGATGCACCCAACTTGTATTTTAAAGTTACATGCGAAGATTGTTGTGATATTAAAACTCGTACAATACATATTTCTGACCAAATGTCCCTTTCAGAAAGGTAACTGTTTAGACAATGCAAATATTTTTTTGCTGCTTGAAAGACCACTTGAAATAGAGCTTTACTAATAGAAATGAATCACTTTTAGTTTACTAACGCAATTAAGGCTTTGATTGCGCCAATATCCAATTTCAAGAGGAACAAAAAAAATCTCTTCTCAGCTTATGACTGTTCTTTCGTGGACTCTCCCTATTACAAAAGATTGACAAGATGTGGGAAGGAGGCAAAATGGGGATGCAAATACCAACAAGAGCAGAATTCGTAGATCCATTGATTTTATCAATTATGCAATTGTTACTAAACTTTCAAACTCTTTCGTAAATAAAAGAATAGACGTGAATTGAAATATGACATATGATGTATTGACACTCCACCAACTTTTTTTACTGCTTTTGTTTATTCAACTTTTACCTAATTCAACAATGAAGACCCACAAGGTGGAAATGTTAAATAAACCATTATTATTATCACTACTATAAATATCGTCATCATCATTATTAATATCCTTATCATTGTTATTATTATTTGTGGTAGTATAGGCATTTTCACCATCTCTGTGTTTCAGTCTGTTCTGAGCCGTTGGGAATGCAGAGCCGTCTAATCCCTGACTCAGCTATAACAGCTTCCTCCGAGCGAATTAATTATCTGCGAGCTTCCCGAGCCAGACTGCACATGCGTTCTTTTTACCCATGGCTGCCAGCTGGTTGGTCAGCGGCTGTCTCAGACCACAAACAGTGGCTTGAAATTAACCTTGAATTGAAGACAATAGTGACGGGGATTGGTACCCAGGGACTAAGTAGCAGATGGTCACCTGATCAATGGGTTACTAGTTACCAGGTCTCACACAGGGACAAAGCAGATGAAAAATGGGTCCACTATCAGCAACAAGGACACATAAAGGTATTTATTAAAAGTGGTCAAACAGTCTCTTCGATAGGTTGATGTGACAAAAAATCAGTGGCTAGAAAGAGAGAATTAATAGCCCTTGGTGGTGGCGTCATTACTGACCTAGTACTTGCCATTAATGGAAATGAGACGGGGGGAGGGGTGGGTTTAGACGGCTTTGGTTACAAGTTATCGTTCACCTTCATTTCGCTTTATGTCGTGCTACGCACGCGTAGGGAATGCTTTTTTCAGTTTTGTCTTTATGATCGGAGCTTACAAACGTGGAGCTTTCAGCGCTTTGAAGAGGGTTGGGAACTTAAGTGAGAGAAAATCTAAAAAACTAATACAACTCTGATCTAATTTCTTTCTTCAGACATTAGTAGGCAATAAGGATGCTGAGAGTGTTGTTATAAACCAGGTGGAGCCCTCCTTTGAAGCTGTTTGTGTCCGACTTCATCCGCAGTCGTGGCATCGCTGGATTTCAATGAGAGTGGAGCTGTTTGGATGTCCAGGTAACAAAAATTACTCTACCAGCTATATTTTCCAATCATCAGTCTCCTTCCGCTCGTGTTAAGTCAAAAAGCTTCAGTTTAAGAATATTTTTATGCGTTGTGCCACCAAAAACCGCGTTGGGCTACATTTTTGCCGGGGTGTCTCAAAAAGTAGAAGATGTTAATCGGAAGGTGGCACATAAACGTAAGTTCGTTTAAGAAAAAAAAGACTCCCTAAAGGCTCAGATAGAAAAAGATGGAAGAAAAAGAATAGGAACTAGAGTAAGACAGGAGAACCAAAAGATGAAGGTAAATCATTTTTTCCTAAGGGGGGCTAAGTTTCTAAAGAAACTCTGGTGCTGCGGTGTTGGGGGTATAACAAAATAATTTGGTTTCATCAATTGGATTGATAATATCAATTGGCCTCTTAAAAAAGTTTTTCTATACCTAAAATCCACAAACCGGACGACCCATTTTCTCTAACAGTAGTTACCCTACTAAAACTACAGAGATTCAGAGAAAATTCTCCTGCGTGGAAAGTGAAATTGTTTCCTTGTGCCTTAATGGAGAGAGGGTGAAGTCATTACCAAATCAATTTGAGACTCACATGAAGTTATTTTAATGAAAACGTTATATCTCGTCTAGTCTCTTCGTGTTTTATGACTCTTGGCTTGCGAGACATGCGCATACCAGACATGGCTTTCTCGTCGTCGTCCATTTTGACTCAAGCTAATGCTCCATCTCGTGCCCGACTCCACCTACAAATTGGAAAATTTCAGGCGGCAGGCTGGGCACCAGCACGTGGTGACAACACACCCTGGCTACAAGTGGATCTGGGGAATAGGATGATCATAGCCGGAATTGGAACCCAGGGTGGGCACTACTTTTGGTGGTCAACTGGAGGCTGGATTCAAAAGTTCAAGGTGTCTTTTAAGAGCGATGGAGAAGAATGGCAGATATATGGCCAGAACACGTCAGAGGAAGTAGGAAAATAAAATTTTACAGTACTTCTTTTGCTTTTAGAAAAGCATGTGGTCACCGATACAGGCCATACTAAGCCCGCGATAAAATTTTTTCTGTTAAGGATCTTTTGAGGCAGCATATCCCGCTGATATGGTCAGCGTGAAATAGTCTTCAAGTGTCCTGACTTCCCTGGTGTCCTTCATTAATCAAAATCAGACAAGTTTACAAGTTGCAATTTTTCGCTTAGGGCCACTACAAGCGGTCGCTTGACGCCACAACTACAACACGACTTGTGTTTTTTCAATCCTGTAAATTGCTCCGTAAATTTTCCCAATTTTTTGTTTTCGTTTTTCGTTTTTATTACATCTCTTACTGTCCTCTCTTAAATATTACAGGAGCTGGTTGGTAATAGCAATATAAACTTAGTGGTGATCAACAAGCTCTCTCAGCCATTTGTAGCTCGCCTAGTTCGCATCCATCCCATCGTGCAGACGACATATGGTTACTTAAGACTGGAGTTGTACGGCTGTCCAGGTATTGAAATATCGGAACATCCATTAGAAGGACAATTACTCTGGACATGTAGACATATTTTCTAATCCACGGCCAAATTATCTGGTGTTGCGCTCTGTAAAGGAGGTTAGAAATCTGCAAAAAATAATAAAAAAACTAAAAACATAATGGCGGGGGTTTGGTACGGAGTGAAATCGCTTTCCTTATTCCGCTGCGTTTTGCCCAGGCCGCCCCACCTTTGGGCTCGTTCTCATTAACTGAGTGCCTGCAACAGGCTATAGGTATTGTGTTTCGAGACCACGAGGTTACAGTTAAAATCCTTTTGAGGTTCTAAGTTGAGCGAAATTAGGATTTGCGTAGTTTTTTGCGCAGATATATGTACCCCTCTTGACTGCTTTACCTCGCTCTATGATTGGTTCAGAAAACTTGCTCTACTCTCTCAACCAATCAGGTGAAAAGTTAAACCTAATCACGACTTGGTCGCGCGCGTTTTCCCGCGCTTTAGGTAGTTGGGTATTTTCCTCTCTTCTGATTGGCCTTTTTAATAATTTGGTTTGGTTTTATGACGTTCAATCGAGGAGCGCTATATCACAATTCTAATCAAGGATTCTTTTTACTCTCACACTCTTGTCAGTGGTTTATGTAATCTTGGAGTAATTCTTCATTCCAAGAGAGCAAATTAATTTTATTTCCTCTTCTTTTTGCAGATAATAACAACTGCGATAGTTCTCCGTGTTGGAACAATGCCACGTGTAAAAATCATCTCAGTAGTTTTAGCTGTATGTGTCTTCCCGGATTTACGGGAGAGACTTGCGAAACGGGTGAGTGGAAAATTGTGATTAAGGCGTTCTTGACACTCAATCAAAGTCCGCTCTGGGTTCCAGTTCTCTGTGCAAAAAAAAAGCGGCACTCAGTGGGTATAAATGTAAATTGGCCACAACAGAGAATTTATAGTAATACTTGCGATTCGCAAGTTTTTGCCCAAACATTTAACGTTTTAGGACCTTTTTTGCGACGCACAACGAAAAAACAGATAAGTAAGCAGAGGAATGAGAGTTGGGGCGCTTGCTTTTATCTTTTTTTGGCGCGAAAATCCATGAATACAAATTATCTAATCATATGCAAATGAAACATTTAAAGCATGGACTTTGCATGAACATCTTCCCGAGGTTATTACCTTTATAAATTAGTACACTACCAACTAACTTGAAAAAGGCGTCAGCTAAGTTGCTCATCTGTTAAAAGTTCAGAGTAGTATTTAAAGTTTTAAGGGGTATTCTAACGTTAAAGATTTAAAAAGGATATAGTTGTAACCCTGGATATGTGAGAGCGATGATATGTAGCCTACGGAGGAGGCGTAGTTCTTTCGTCAAATGCAACGGTAGGAGCGCCTTTTTTTCACGCTCACCCCCTCGCGCTCGATTTAAGTTTGCCTCTGTTTGCCTAGAAAACGCCAAAAAAATACGCCTGTTCTGTAAGCTGTAATTATTTGATCAAATGCTCAAACCAGCCAATTATTAACCTGTCGGTTATGAGCACTCTACAAAATCAAGACCATAAATCAACACAAACCTAACAAGCGCTTGTTTTGCTTGCGATAGATATCGACGACTGTTCCAGTTCTCCTTGCCAAAACGGGGGATCATGTGTCGATCACGTGAACAACTTCAGTTGTGTGTGCTCTCAGGGATTCACAGGACTTAAGTGCGAATCAGGTTATAACGAATCATTTCTCTTGACCTTCCTCTCTTTTACTATGGCGTTTCGTGTGATAAGTTGGCTTATAGTAAGAGTTCAAACCACAGAAAACTAGGTCCTATCAGAGAGAATATAGTTTTAGCTGGGGCGAAAAAATAAGCACGGTTAAGTTTCCGTTCACGATCCTAAGCATGACTTTATCAACTGAGTTGATAATGTAAATTGGCTACCGTGGACATTCCTAAAGCTGACGAGCTAATGCGAGTCATCTTTGGAAACTCTCCTCGGTGGCAAGTTGCATTATCTACTCAGTTCATAAAACAAGACCCAACCGCCCCGCCCCCCCACCCCCACCCCCACTCCCACCGACACAGCATCCCCTTTTTCTTTATAAACTTACCCCCTTCATCCTCGCCTCTCAGTCTTAACCATTTTCATAAATTAGACAAACATGCCTTCAAGAAAGATGGTCGATTTGTTGCAACTTGTTTCAGTTTTAATTTTTCTCCATCATTCAAGGTAAATGAAACTAACTTGAAATTCGCTCTGACGAAAGGCTGACGCTCGAAACGTCAGCTTTGAAACTCTTTACGGTGGCAATTTGAACTATCGACTCCGTTGATAAAACCAACTTATCATGTAAGACCCCGCCCCGGACACAGCATCACAAGTTTCTTTAGAAACTTACCCCTTTTATTAACTTGAAATTCGTTTCTTTACCTTTATGAAAAAACTCTTTAAAGCTTCAAAAGCCTCATATTTTAAAGACACATTGACAAGGCTTCAGTCTAAAGCTTAGTTAACTATAGTCATTTTTCACGTCTCACGTCTCACGTTTCATGTCTCACGTCTCACGTTTCACGTCTTGTGTTCTCAGTTCTCAAACCAAGCTGCACCTGTGGTCGACGCACCACCCGACGTATCGTGGGCGGTAAAAGGGCGTTACCAGGGGAGTGGCCATGGCAAGCCGGTCTTATGGTCAAGAATACGAAGCAGATTTACTGCGGCGGAGCTTTGATTAACCAAGAATGGATCGTGACAGGTGCACATTGCGTGACATACAGAAATGCCTCAACGTTGATGGTCGTGCTCGGAGAATACGATGTTACAAGGAAGGAAGGTATTGAACTCTTCCGGGAGGTTGATGGATATCAGTTGCATCCGGACTACCACTTATTAACAGCAGACTTTGACATTGCCCTTGTTCGCTTTAAACCAGCTCTAAGCCAGTTCAGCAGGTTTATATCGCCCGTTTGCTTGCCAACAGCTAACGAAAGTTTCCCGGCAGGAACCAACTGCACTGTCACTGGTTTTGGTCGGCTTACTGAAGCTGGTCGCCAAGCAACAACTCTACAACAGGCCGTGTTACCAATTGTATCACGGGACACTTGTCAAGCTGCCTACCCAGAATACAATATCACGCCCAGGATGACGTGCGCAGGATATGTTGCTGGGGGTATAGATGCCTGTCAGGGGGATAGTGGGGGACCATTGGTGTGTCGTAAGGATAAGATACACTGGTACCTGGCTGGTGTCGTAAGCTGGGGTCTGGGATGTGCCAAGCCTGAATCATATGGGATTTATGCTAATGTACCAGTGTTAGCATCATGGGTGAGGTCTGCATTAATCAATTCCACTATTTGTTCACCTTGACATTGCAAAATTCATTTCTGATATCATTAGCAAGATCTATCACTAGTAAAGAAATTTTTGTAACTCCAAACTGTTACTGTACACAATTTTGGGGGTTCAAATATCAATATTTGTTGTCCATATTCTTAAACTTCTGAAATGAAAATTATTAGTTTTATTATTTCAGTTATTGAGAATAACTATCTTTTATCTCGCTCTGCACAACTGCACAGTTATTGTACCAAAGCACTGATTTCAAAATTTGTTGCCTCTTATGATCCCTTAAAATTCAGTTGCTATCATTTGCTCTAACAAATATACTATAACAATATTTATTTCCCTTTGGGAAAGTTCCTACTTTGCCTCTCGTTAGACAAATCTCTTAAAATACCTTGGAGTCTGGACCTTCATCTCCTCTAATCCTTCAATTTGAGATTCCAAAGAATAACCTTACTGTTTAAACATTGTCTTCAAATAGGCTATAAAAAAGATAGAATGCTGCCGTGATGAAAGGACTTTTAATTAGTGACCCCAATGGGTGAATAACAAACAGCTGCTGCTGTTGCTATTGCAAGTTTAAAAAGTAAATTACCTAAGTTATACATGGATTTTAAGCACTTCATAAATTTCAAACAGATCATCAACAGTTGGAAAAAAAGGAGTTATTTTTTCAACTAAGTCAGGCAGCTGAATTACTAAGCAAGAATCACAATGGCAGTGTCTATTGTCAACTTTTAAGCTTCCTTGAAGAGAACTTGTGAGAGCTAGGTGACTATTTGGAATATTTTAATACAGTCAGTAGTGCAAAAATAAATTAGTTTTTTTGCTGGCACAAACCCCCTTACTTCATACTTTTTAAAAGTGATAAGCATGGAATTTGGCTGACATCAGTTTAGCAGAGGAATCTCAATCTTGTATACACAGCTAAGAATTTCCAATGGCTTCATTCTAAATAATTATGTAATAAAATCAATTTTCAGATGCTCAACAATAAAATGTGTTACTGATTAAGAGCCTATACAATACCAGTGGATGAAAAAAATTCAAAAGAAACCTAAAGTGAAAAATGTGCACTGTTTTCATGAAAAATTAAATTCAAATGTCACATTTTGCTAAAATACTTCAACCATTGGCAAAATTGTCAGTCTTTCTGAAAATAACGCTATTTTGTTTTGAAGCAACATATTTGCGTATTTACAAACTAGTCCACAATATGGTCTGTTCAGACCCATAGAGTAATCACCCTATCAACTAGGGCTTTAGTGACTAGCCTGTGTTCTTGCAAAAAAACAAAGATTGCAATTCTGAGAAAGGGTGGAATTAACACCCTAGTGGGATTGTCAGCCCTTTGTGACTAATGTTTATTAAGAAGTTAGGAAAAGTATCCATTAATTTCATAATTATCCGATAGGGTCTAACAATTTCTAATGGTTATCCAAAGGGTGATGTCACTAGTCATGTGACTGTGTCATGCCAGATTGTCACGTAGGTCATGCAGAGTTATTTTGATGGAGGAAAGAAAAGAAAACTTCATGTTATCAGACCCTGTTGGTTAACTATGAAATTAATTCATATTCATCCCAACAATATACCCACACTACATGTGTTTACTCCCATTACCCCCTAACTAGATTGGGTTTGCTCCTTCTACCCTACATCCCACACCATAGGCTCTGTTCATCCCATCCCATCTGCAAGGACACAGAAAGAGCTCTAAGGGATATTGTCTCTCATCAACACATACAACAAATACTAACAGGATTATGCAATTACATGCACTTAAGGCTAAATAGCCCTGATCACTTTTTCATACTTTCTTCAGATAAATGTCAACTACTGTCTCATGACATTCTCGTAAGTCAAAGTCACAGAAACCAATACAGAACTTTCCAGGAGGAGGTTTGAAGTAGTCAAGTCCTCTGCCAATTTTGATCACCCAGCCATTGCTGAATCTAATCTCGCGATTATGAAGTGTTTGAGAGAATGCAATCTCAAGATTTATGTTGTGTTTTTTTAAACTGTTTTTTAGTCCTTGAAGTCTCTTAGCCTGATTATTTTGACTCTCTTGATCTTCATCTTGAGCTAAGAAAACACCAAGTAATAGTTAGCTTTATTGAAAGGGTGGCCAAGTCAAAGCATTAATGCAAAAGGATGAACTTGCTCAAAATTTTTTCTCAAGATAAGCAGCTGTTACCGTTTTCATTTTGATCCACCCTCTTGACTCTGTCTGGGTGGAGAGCTCTGAGTTAGAGATCTAACCCAGATCATTTTGCTTTCTCTTAGACAAGACAGTATTTGCAAGCTACTCTCAAAGTTCATCTCCTCACCCAAAAAGGAAAATTGGTCCCAGAAATCTGCCAAGTAGACTTTAGAAAATGTTTATCAGAAACCTGCAATGTGCCAACACCCATATAGGGAAAGTTGCAGTACCTTAAGTTAATTCCTGTTGCAGAAACTAGGAAAAGGCATAGCTTGTGCAGACTTTGGTTGAACTGCCAGAACAAATTCTGGTTCATTGTGGAAGGTCATTGTAGCAAACAAGCTGGACTCTGAATTATCTGGGATCTGAGCATTGGGTATGTTTTGGGTCATTGAGCTCTGTTTTTCCTAAAGAGATATTTTCCTTTGTTGCCTTTTTTTACTATGAAAAGTGACTGAGCTTCATATTACAACAATTTTCTCACCCCCAAAACCCTGAAAATGCATAAACCCATCCTAGTAACTCTTTTGAAACTGCAACCCAAACATAGTCAATTCTTTTGCAATCCTAAGAAGAACTCTCCCCCCCCCCCCCCCTCGCCCCCCTAGTCTTTACCTCTCTCCCAAGGGGAAGCAACTTCCTCGAAGGTGTTGCGTGACAAGAAAGAAGAGGTCAGCTGTGACAAGAATTGCTGCAGTCAAAAATAAGAAGTTAACGTATTCATTTCATTTTCACTTACTGGTGAGCAGTTTTATGTTCCGCACCGTTCCTTTACGCACTAACAACTCGCAAAATCGAAGAAAATTATATATCTGGTGAATGTTTCGAATGTAGGGATCTTCGACTACAACTTCTTGAATATTACCCTCCAAGTACTTCTCAAACACGCGTCTATAGCTATATCCAGTGGATCCTTCTGTGATATTGAGTTTCTCGTGAAAAGTTCCCGCCTCTTGCTGTTCCTTGACCAATTTTTTCAGTTTCTCTGCCCGTTCAATGTAGGACTCCATCTTTGCACGATAGTGTACCTTCTGCGAGTCATCTTTTGTGTCTTTCAGAACGTTCATTAACAAGGCTAGACCTTCTTGATAGCACACTAATGCCTCAGAGTAGCTTTGAGCTTGATCAAGCTCCACAGCTCTGGTTAATACACTCACTGCAGCGTCTAAGCTCATTTCAAAGATCTTCGACGAAATCCTGTTACTGAAACCAGATCTTTTCTTCCGGGTGCATGAGTTTCCTCACTAGAGAACCCCTACGTCACGCAGACGCGGTTGAAAATGCGCCTTGATGCACCATAGGCTAGGACAGGTGAAGCTTTCAGGGATGACAAGATGGCGGATTCTACTAGAGAGAGAAAAAAGTCGAAAAAACCATCAAGTCAGTTATTTTTATTTATACTTTATCGCCGAAAAGGGAGAAATTTATTATTATTTCTTACCAATTTATTTCTTTAGACACTAACTTCAAACAGCAAAGACTGAAAGCTTGGCAACCGATTCTGACAGCATCTACGGCACTGCCTTTGTTTTTCACAATCGGAGTGGTGTTTATACCTATTGGAGCAGTTCTTTTAGTAGCATCCGATAAAGTAAGTGTGGTTCATTATTTAAGGGTTATTTCCCTAATAGAGCTGTATTAAAAGGTTGCAAAACTTAAATTATCTTGTAGCTTATGGTGCTCGGAGTACAAAATATATTTGTGTGTTGAAACCATATAATTTGCAGCTTGGCTAATTGATTTGAGCTTTCATTTTGGAGATAAAGCTTTGGGCCCATTTCTACTTCCACACCTTCAAAATAAACTTTGATGTCGATACTTCTTTAATTTTTCCTTAAGAAACTGTGTTGGTTCATCACCTCTCTTCAACCTGCGACATAGTGTTGTCAGAAAAGAACGAAAGATGGCCAACGCCATGATCCTAATGAAAGATTTAAGTTTCTCAATGACTGTATGATCAGTTGTTGTCGTTGTTTTGAAGACTATCAGTTTCATTGTGGAAGCAAATCTAATGAATTCATCCAAGAATTCTGCAGATTAAGAATTGTGATAGGATGGAGATCATTTCTGTTAATTTACTTATTGAGAAAATTGATCTCACATCATATGCGCTGAAACAATCTTGACACAACAGAGCCAAAAGAATGGAAGCATTAGTAATACTTTGGTTATAATAATAACTGATTGATAATGTAAATTGGCCACCATCAAGAGTTTCAGGTGTTAGTCCTTCCTCAGAGCAATGTTAGCCCTTCACCTGAGGGCTAATGCTCAAAACGTCAACTTTGAAACTCTTAATGGCCAATTTACATTATCAACTCAGCTGATGATACAAAATTACTCTGTTATACTCTCCCACCGATGCAGAACCACAGTTTCTTTGGAAACTTACCCCCTTTACATGATTATAATAGTTCGATTTTGTTGGGCTGTAATTTTTTTATGCTGGAATGTAGTGTTTGCAGTGACATTTATTCTTTTGTAATTTAAGAAACATACCATAGATATGAATAATCATTTTGCGATAAGGGAGTCCTGAGGTAAATTGGAGCACTCTGATTGATTTTTACTTGGTCTGTATTTTGCTATATGAACAGTTTTCACAGAAATGCTCATAAGCTGTGTACATTTCGTCACAAAAGCTAGTAAATTCAACTAAACAAGTTTGGTCCAAGTGCCACATAGTAAACTACTTACTAACTTCATATGCTCAAGCTGTACTGGGGAGTGTTGGCCCTCATTCTTTTTAAAACACGCTAGGTCCTTACTGCCACAACCTGAAGCCAATATTCCCCAGTACAACTGTAGTGTTTGATTAACTATTTAATTCCCATGAGTGAATGAGACAGAATTTTTCCTTACAATATCAAAGCAATACCAAGCTGCTGAAGGGAAAGGGCAGGGCCTGAAGGGAAAGGGAGGGCCTTGCTGAAGGGAAAGAAGAGGGAAAACATTAATAAGGGGATTATTAGTTTCTCTAATACCAAATTCTTTTCACTAACATTGTAAGAATTGTACAGCGTATAGTAAGGAGAATTACTTAAAAGATCTTGGGAGTGAAGGGGTGAGAAGTTATTATCTCTTAAGAATGGGATGATCATGTGAATAATGCTCAAAGGATTTTACATAATAGGTGCAAGAGAAGACTGTGGATTATACATATTGTAAAGCTTCAAGTGGTAAAGGATGTGACAAGTTCTTTGAAAATGTCACAAACACTGGCAAGACCTGTGTCTGTAAAGTGAAGTTTAATCTGTCCCAGGAATTCAAAGGGGATGTGTTTATGTACTATGGGCTTTCCAACTTTTATCAGGTTTGTTATATCTCTCATGTGAATGGCAATTATATTTTATAGTGCAATTAATTCAACTAGAATCACCCAATATTTTCAGCCAATCAAAACATTCAGAACTTCAAAGCAGAAGATTTATAGTCAGGGAATTTTTAGACCAATCACAGAAGAGGCAAAATAAACTGTGATCATCCAGTAATACAAAATAAAATGTCTCTCATTCACTGAGTCATTTATCTGAAAAGCCTTGATCCAAGTGTTTCAAATATCCCATTCCTCTCTTATAGCCAAAGAGTTTGATTAAGAGATGAATTTCAAAACTGAATTTACTGGATCAAACACTCGAATAACTGCTACAGATGGAGGCAAAATTACTAGTGAACACCCCCTATTGATAATTGTCTTATGTAATCAGAAGAATGCAGTGTTTATGCAAGCTGTCTAGAGAAAAGGCAGTTTGGGAATCTTTGTCATCATTATTTATTTCAAAAGCTAGGCAATTATGGTTTTCTTGGAGACACTAGAACCTAAAACATGTTTTTGTTTTACTTAATTCATCCAAACAATGTTTGTCTTGGTCTTGGAAGGAGGAGGTGGATCTTAAATTTTTTAAATCTGCAAAGCTTAGTTCTGCTTTTTTTTACTGATGTAGAATCATCGTCGCTATGTCAGATCAAGAGATGACCTTCAGCTCCACGGAGACCTAGATCATAAAGTATCATCTGACTGTGATCCTTTTGCAGAAGTCAATGGTTCTGCCATTGCACCGTGTGGAGCCATTGCTAATAGTCTGTTCAATGGTAGGTGTTATTTACCTGATAATGATTTTTTTATTGTGCAGCTGTAACCAGACCAAACATACAGTATTACTGTCTGTCAGGAGGCTTATTAGTAGGAACTGGAGTGAATTGGCTCAGTAAGTTTGTGTTTTGTTCTGTCTGTCCATCTGTCTGTCTGGTTCTTGGTTTCTTTGTGATTCAGTATGTCTGTCTTTCTTCTGTCCATCTGTCCATGTAAGTGTCTGTCTGAGTATTTGTCTGCCAGTAGTCCTGTTATATGGTTCATACATGGTTACTGAATTAGAACCCTCCTTTAATTTACACTGTAACTTGTACTGTTACATTTGTTTATGATTCATGTAATGTTGCTTGGTGTTTTGTGAAGTCAGATTGTAAGGAAGTGTTAATCATTACAGACATATGTAACAGAGTTTACCAAAAGCTGTATGTTGTTGTTGGGTACAAGTATAGCTCACGTTCATATATTAAACAATAGCCTCTATTTAGTGTGAAAATATGTATGGATATTTGTCCAGGGATGTTATTTGCACCAAGGAGCAAACAGTTCTCCAAGAACAAAGCTAGAGGAAAACTGTGCGCTTCAAGGAACAGATAATGTCCACAGGCAATATCTGTACATATTTTTGCACCAAAATAGAGGCTATTGTGTTTATTGTCCTTCAAATATTTTGCATGAAAAAATGTTTACAAACAGCTTACTGTATGCAGGGCAGGATGTTTTCTTTTGAGTGTTCTCTGGTGCAACTTAATGAACAAAATTCTTCAGTAGCAATCACAAAACCCTCTCTCATCCTAAATTAAAGATGAATCGTAAGATTTAAGATTATCATAAGATTTGAAAATTGGGGAATATCACTCGGATGATATTCTTGGATATCACCCAGTTTTAGCTGGGGAATATTTGGTGGGATATTTGATGTATTGTAATTGCTATTAGCATTATATTTCATTCTGACATATTCTTCTTCTTCTCCTTTCAGATTCTTTTAAACTGACATACCTCAAGAGCGAAAACCAGCAGATTAGGGTTAGTTTGTCTAATAAAGATATAGCCTGGAAATCTGACCGAGAAGTTAAATTCAAAAATCCATCTGGGAACCTTAAGGAGGCTTTCAAAGGTTATGCCAAACCACCCAACTGGCCTAGACCTGTATATGAATTAGACACGAACAACACTGACAACAATGGCTTCCAGAATGAGGATTTCATTGTCTGGATGAGGACAGCAGCGTTTTCAACTTTCCGCAAGCTCTACCGCAAAATTGTCCACTCTGGAGAGTTTAAGAATGGTCTGCCAAAAGGCGAATACCAGCTTGACATCATGTACAGTATCCTTTATTACAGTTGCATTAGAACTTCACAGGGGATGAATTTTCTCCATGCAAAGACAGCTATGTTTTGTGTGTCACCACACGTGGTATGGTGTCAACTAAGTAATTTATAGAGGAACAAAGTTTTACTACTTTTGAAAGTGGGGCCATGTGGAAATGTTTAGTTGACACAATGCGCTACACATAAAAATTATTGACCTTTGAACTCTTATGTATATAATTTACTTTTGGGTCTTGTACCTTCATTCTATTAAAGTTTTTTTCTCCAGAATTTTTTTTTTCCATAGCCAATCAAGGTGTTTTTTTTTTTCATAGTTGCTTGCTCAAGAGTAATCCTTGTCTTTCTCCTTGTCCTTAGTCAGAGGGCACACTAAGCATTCTTAAGGTTTTTTTTTTGCACTTTTTTTTATCTTTGTAGCTGTTTTCTTTCTCTCATACACTACAAGAGTTGTTTTATATGTTCGCATTTTTATGTAATTATCAATGCATTTACTCTTTCAACTGGACCAATATTAATAACATTATAACTGAAGTGGCTACCCTGTCTAAACATCTTCAAGTATTATTATTATTTTTTTATTATAATTGTTAAAGAGTAGTGGTCAATTGACTACCAGTATTAACAGTTCCATTCTGTTTTAGAAGACTTTACATTTGTTATTTTTAGCGCTTGGTTTTCCTTTGATCATGCAATTTCTTTTCAAATTACTTCTTTGACTTGAGAACAATGCACACAGATTTTCCTGTGACTTCATTTGATGGCGAGAAGAGAGTGATTTTAAGCACAACATCATGGATAGGTGGGAAGAATCCTTTCCTTGGAATTGCCTACATCACTGTAGGAATTCTCTGCCTAGTTTTGGGAGCATCCTTCTTGATCATTCATCTCAAGTTTGGGAAAAGGTAAGTCTATCATTCATTTCAATGTGTTGAGAATGAACAATTTTCAATGAAACATTCACGAGCATAAATTATGTTCTGTTGTTATCTACTGTTTGTTCACTTTGGTCCAACCACTGTGTCTACATTTATGTATGAGCAAGGAAGTTATTGACCTTATCGAAGCAACATGTGATTTACTCGACCCTTTAACTCTCATGAGTGACTAAGACAGAATTTCTTCTTACAATATCAGTACAATGTCAAGCAGACAGGTGGTGAGATAAGAGAAAAATATAAATTAGATGATAATTAGCTGATTCAAAAACTAAATTCTCCCAACTAAGATTATGAGACTCTTATAGTGGACAATAAGGAGAATTATCAATGATATCTTGGTAGTAAAACAGTTTAGACTAAATTGAGACCAAAAACAGAGTTTTTCTTACCAAATATGCCTGATGGAAGTTGATTTGCAAATTATTATTTTTTCCTCTTTGCCATTTATGCAAATCAAATGCTTTCTACCTGTTTGGTATCTTTCAAAGAGCTGTGAAAGGAGTTGCTTGTACCCTTTGATAGCCTCAGCAATGTCTCAGTATTTAAGTTGTCAGTTGCCATTGTCTCAGTAATGTTTCTATTTAAATACTTTTTAAAACAAACTGAAGTAACTATGGAAACCTCTGATTGGTGAAATGGGGCTGAATTAGTGCATCACTACCCTTAGTTACCCATTTTCTCATGTAAGTAGTTCAAATTCCTGACATGTTGCATTGGAGGCTATGGCAGAACAAAGCAGATCTGGGAGGTTTTATAGTCGTTGAAAAACTCATGGAGAAGATTTAACAAGGAAACTAATAACAGAATGTTTGAAATAGGGGGATAGTTCACAGAGGTTTCTTTGCAGGAAGTCTTTTTGCAATTGCCAAAAAATACAGGGTTAAGTATGCAGCAGTAAAAAGAAAATTGGAAGGACTTGTTTGAAGAAAGATATGAAAACATGAAGTGACGGTAGCACAGCATAGGAATGGAATGCGATGAAAATGTGTCACGGTAGTGGGCAGGGCAATGATGCATAAATTTGGCCATTCCATAGATCAGTGGTTTTCATAGTAAGTCAAGAACATTCTTTCTTAGTACCAGTGCTTCATTTCCAATAACACCATAAGGATTCACAATTTGTTTAAAATAGTTCCTTAAAAGCTAATTAAATTAAATTTATTCAGTTAATTGTTGGGTGTCAAACAAAGCTTAAACTCAAACTTTTGACTAAAACAAGATGCTTAAGAGGTAAACTTGATGAACTTAATGTGTCAGTTCTTAAGCAGCTGCATTCTGTTGATTGGTGTCTGTTTCAGTTACTAAATGAATGAAGCTGAAATTTGTTAGGTAAACATTCTAAGAAGAGATGAAAAATTTACATTTTGGAAAACCAAGGTTGAACATTCAAAGTTCAACTTTGTAAGCAAACCTTACACATAACAGCTGTTCAGTACACAAAGATTAGCAAAAACATCCCCATTTTGTAAAATTGTGACAAGAAAAATTTTGATTTATGAACCTGTTGCCTTCAATAGTTTGTTTTTATGAAGTGACTTTGTTGAAAGTGAATAATTTTACAAAAGCTTTTATATTAGGCGCAAGCTGGCAGTTGAGGAAAAAATAAGATTCTGCATTCCTCACCTGGTTGTTTTTGGGAGTGACCCTCATCACCAGGTGTTCAAAAAATCAAAATCATTATTGAAATATGAAAACTGGTGAAGTTTGTTGCAAGAGGTCTGAATGAATAGAGAAAGAGGGCAATTTTTTAAAAGATAAGAACAAAAACTGAAATCTGGTTACTATACATTGAAAAGCTGGTTTTGTATTTAGTCTGTAGTGTTAGCATTCTCCAACATCTGTTTACAAAAGACCTTATTTTTCATTCACAGGGATTATACCAATAGTGATCGTGGAATGCAGCTGCGAGAGATGGGAAATTAAACTGTTATTGTGTAATTAGTTTTATTTAATGAGTAATTTGTGCTGCTTGACAAATTAAACACTATGTAGTGAAAAAGTTATGTCTTAAACCTTAAGTTAAAAAGATCCAAAGGCTAATTTAAGGACCTGTATTTCTTTTTCGTTAAGATTTTGTAGATGTATTAATCTTTTGTCAAATCACTGTTGAAACAATTTTGGAATACCTACTTTCCTAACTTCAGGACATAAAACTAGAAGTTGGTACCTAAATAGCCCAGGAGGCTTGTTTATTCTCTCAGGTCCAGCCCTAATTAGGTGTTGAACAATTTGACTCTTAAGCACAAAATATGACCCCTTTTAGTTCAAATATGTGACGTATACGCAGAAAATAGATTTTATGGATGCCTGAAAGCATAACTTACTTTCATGAAATTTTGATGCATGTTTAATTTGCATTATAATTTTTTTTTAGCCCTACAATGTTAATTGCAAGAGTGCAAATTTATACCTTTGTCAACAGATAGTTTGGTAGAAAGGTGCACAATAGTAATGTGCTAAATTTCTTTTGTGTTAAAATTTCATGTTAGAGTTGTCTCTAGGCAGGTACCTTGATAATTTATGTTGTAATATTATTGGGAACTGCTAAAATGGTTAATAATTTCCAGGCAGTATTCAAGAACTTTTGTTTTTGTAAAAATCCTTCTTTTAATAATAAGTTTGAGTTTTTATGAATTTTTAAGGATTCTTGAAAAATGTGAAAAAGGCCACTCCTAACCCTAGCTTGCAATTTCAAAAGATGCACAACTAAAGTATGTCTCCATAAAATCACAAGGTGTTGAGTTGTTTGATATTGCTAAAAGTGCAGTGAACATGTTAAACTAAGCACTGACACTGTACATTTCCACTGTACCAGCAATTTTCCATTCAGTGGTTATGAGAAAATAATGATTTTGCAAAATTAATTTATCTTTTCCCAATGTTTTCTCAGTGAACTGTTCTCACATCTAATATTTTAGTACACTTATTTTAGTGTAGCAATTTGAAACTTTTGTATATATCATTAGGTGCTGGTGGGATTTGTTCACATTGCATAATGTTAATAATAATATTTAAAAGTTTGTATGAGGTTTCTTCTATTGAGCTTGTTCACCTTGCATGATTTATTCTCAACATTTGAATTTAATAGTCAGTTTAGCTAGACATAAGTACATAAAACATCATTCACTTGTCATAAGTTAGCCATGATTTTTTACTCTGACAAATTTATTTGCTTGTCAAATCACTGACTTTAGAGATAGTAAAGTGATATGCAAGGACAGAATTACCATGCTACAATAATTGTAGTAACAGATGATAGGTTTTGGACCAATTAGAGTGCACCAAATATTTGAATTATTGAAGAAAAATAAGAAAAGTACTGAAGTTTTCATTTTTTTAAAGCACAAAAAGTGGTTGTAGTGATGAGGCAGACAAACCAACAAAGGAATTATGTGACAGAGTACTACTGTAAACTTTCAGAATAGCATTTGTGGCTGATTTTTTTTCATTAAATCATGTTTTGAAATCTTAAGTACTATGCCAAAAATAACTGTAAGAATTTTGCAAAATCAGTGCTTAGGTTATGGGTATTTATTTAAGGAGGAGAGCACGCTTAACTCTATTAAAATCCAATTTTTTGCAAGGTGAAAATATCGTGTAGCATGGTCAAGTATGATGCATATTTGTTTCATCATTTATGTTAATAAATGATTAAATAAATAAATAAATTAATGAACCATGAAGTTAGTTGAAAGAACACATTGTTATGGCTGCAATCATTTATTAAATTCTACTTGAAAACAAAATGATGAGGCTCATGATTTTTTGGGAACAAAGAAAAGTTGAACTTTTACAATAAAATATGTTCAAAGATAACCTTGTCTCTGAAATTAATAAGAGATTTGAATAGTTTGTATTTCTGTTTCTAGTCCTTGTTTTAGACTTCAAATTTTTTTCCTGGTAGAGGGAAATGCTTGGATCTAATCTGGGGTATGGTCACAGCAGGATGGTTGGGTTGTGTTCTCAGCAATATGCTTAAATTTCATTTTATTGGCAAACTGACAGGGCAACTTGCTGAAATAATCAGGGGCATGGGAAGAGGGAGGTTATAACATTACAATGCTCCTAACACTGCAGTCAGAAATAGAAAAAATGGTTTTAGTTGCTTCATTCTCCAGAAACTGGGATTCACATTTTTATCAGATTGTATGCATGATTTTATTCACAATATCTGAACTTGATATCAAGGCAATATTGTTTAATTTTTCATCATACAATAGCATTTGTTTCTCAACTCAAATCTCTGTGAACATGCAATTTCCAGAAATTCCATTGTGATGTCATTATCACATGAAGGTCATGTCAGGAAGGGGGTCTCAGATATTTCTTTAGTAGTCTGGGGCCCATTTCTCAAAAGTCCTGGTAACCTAAAGGGCCTGAAACCATATTTTAATATCAATAAACTTACTCAACTATATTTGTATTGTAGTTCAATCACCCTTCCCTTTCTTTTTTCTTCGCAGCAAATAATTGGGGAATGATCATGTACATTTATTGCACTGACTATTGGTTGGAAAGTTTAGTCATATAAACAAATGCTTTTTGTAATGTAGCACCTTTCTCTTTCCCATAACAATTTTCTGCCAATTTGTTTCTGGCCAAGATCTGTTCAGAGCTTCAGGAGATGAGAAGTAAAGGTTGTGGAATGCCAAGAAGGAAAAACAGATTACACCACAAGAGAGAGATAGAGAGAGAGAACCATTCTTGTAGCATCTAGTAAATTTGAGCACATTACTTATAACATGAGACCTATTCAAAGAATATCAACCCTTTGGATCTTGTGCATGGTTACAACCAGTGGGAAAAAAAAAGGTTGACATCTTTCTCTTTGGGTGACATCAAAACACTGAAAAAAATTGAGAAATTTCTTGTCTTTTTGGTATGGTGAAATAAAGCAATTGCGATAATTGACCTGGAAAGAACACTTAAAACTACTGCACCTGAACTGTAAAATTGTCTTTTATTTCAGGTTTCAAAAAGGGTATTTTAAGGTTTGGGTGGAAATAACTAATTGAAAAGGTGATTTTATGAAGTTTTGCAATTTCCATTGCAAGTTTCATACTGAAAAGTAGAACAGCCAGAAGTAATCACTAATTGTTTACAGGGCAGGTTGAAAATTCATTAATCCTTCAACTTTCAGGAGTGATTAGTGTCTCATATGCTAAAGTAAATTTAAATTTAAATCAATGGTGTTGTTTTGAGATTCTAAAGAGTAACTTAAAGTAGACATTTTGAATCTTGCTTGGCAACATGTCCACTTACCTGTGAGGTTTCGGGGTCTCCCTCCTTTTTTCCAACTCATGGCAATCCTTTTAATAATTAGAAAATTTACATATTTTTCTTTTTGTTAGAGTCTGATATATGGTTAGAGGCTACCATGGCAACACACAGTTTAACAAAATTGTGGAGGGTGGGGTGGAAAATGTTCCTCTGGGTAGAAGAGAAATTTTCTCAGAATTTTTCTCAGGTTTTGTAGCCCATCTAGAGTTGCCATCACACTACAGCTAAAACTATCACTTGTATTGCCTAGGACAGATTTCTTGTGTATCACCCAGTTTCCAGCCAGTTTACCTGGTTCAATAATTGATATTTTCATTAAGTTTTACAAATTATTCTTTAATAGCTGCTGTAAGAAATTTTTCGAACTTGTGCTAAAAATTAGATATAAGAAGTGTAGATTGTTTGATTTGAACATGAAGTTCAAACTTTGGTCAGAGATGAAATGATAAGATTATCAAGATTTTTAGTGTGTATTTAATGAAAAGAAATTGTTACTTATATAATGTATTTGTGATAAATTATGACAGTTGGTATTTCAATCTGCTAATTAAATTAGAAAAATGAATATGAATGTGAGAAACAAACTAGTGTGATTGTTTTAGTAGTGTATAAAACTTGGATCAATGTCAGTATCTGTACACCTACTTCTTCCCAAGCCCAACATTAACCTCAACTTGTTATCAGTTGACTGTTTATGATTTAAGGAGTAGGTACGCAGTTGCTCAGATAGTACCACTGATTCAAGGAATTTTATTACCTTTATTGACAACTTTTCAACTTTTATCAAGTTTATATTCTCAGGATGGGGTTAGAAAAACTGACCTTGCAATAGAAATGAATGAAATTAAAATCTACAGTCTGTGCAGTAGTGACAGAGACACCTCAATATTGCAACAGTAGGGGAAGGGGAGGGGGGTCTATAGATGAATGCATAAACTTCTGCCAATAAGACAGGGAAATGGGGGCATTATTTTTTGTCTAAAAAAGTGACTGAGGGGGAAGGGTTAAAATCCCCCTAGCACCTCCCTCTATAGTTTCCCTTATAGAGAGTATTGAACGCATTGGTCATTAACGGCTTTTCAACTGCTTCTTGCAGCTTGATTATGAGCCAAAGAGGCTGGTCATTGGAATTGTTTAAGAGTTACAAGATTGTTGTCAACATCTTGTAGTTTACATCAGGGGGAAACCCAAACTTAGAGATGATTGTTGGGAATTTGTCCAGGTGCATGAATTAATGGGAATTTCAATTAACCCTCAATATGTGACTTTCATTTTGAAAATATAGGTTTTTTTCCCATCTCACGGCGGATCCTAAATTAGAGGTTCAGTTTGAAAGTACTGTCTACTCTTGGGGGGCACTGCACGTCAAAACTCCTCCCCACTCCTCACATCTCCTCACCCTCTCCCCCTCACTCTTAAATTTCACACAGTGAACGTCATGGAAATGATCCACACGGTGGGGAGAGGATCTGAGTAGACAGAGAATAAAAAATGAACTGAATGATTTGTCTTCCTTGCATCAGTTTAATTTTGGGGTTAAATCATTATCGTTCAAGTCTTTTTTTCTTCGTCTTTTGTCAAGTGAAATGATGAAAGAAAAAAGCGGGCTTAGTCTCCGAGACGGAAATGTCGGGAAAATACGGTTCACAGTTCATTTAAATTGCGAAAAATCTCATCTTCCTACAGAAACGATCAGTTGTTCGGTTCAGTTTATCAGTTTACTATCATGTTTAGTGATTAAGTGTTCTCTTCAGTTCTCTATGTTGTTCATAATTTAACGCCAATATTGCAGCCTATTTGAATTCGAGAATAGTAAATTTGTTTCCTACGGTTATAAAATCACATTTTTCGCGCGCCCTTGTAGTCCCTCTCGACCAATCAAATGCGAGCACGTACAATAAGCGACTGGTAATCCTTCGGAAAGCAAAAACAAATATGGCGGACGGAGTGACGCAACTTTGTGAACTCTGCAACAGATTGCGATTATCATTGTTTACATCCTCGAAATTGAGAAATATGCCTCCTGTGTTTCATTTGATTCTTGCAAGCCTTACGGGAGTTGCTGTGGCGCTGATCGCGACTTACATTCCCTCAATATGGAGGCCGTGGTTTTGGCGTCCATCACTCGAATCATACGCACCTGGTTTCAATCTTGTCTTAGCACCACAAACCGCTTTAGTGGAGAAAAGTGAGTTTATCTCTAATCTTTATGGTGTGTTATTGAATTTAATTTATTGCTTGTAGTCCGTAGGAAGGTGTAGATGTAGGCACTCCTGCAAGAAATTATACGCATTACTGCTGAGTGTGATCCGAATTTGACATATGTTTTCGCTCGAATCTGAGATCAACTTCCTGTTTGTAACGGTTGATCTTTTATCTTGGATCGAGATTTTCCTCTGACTTCTGAGGTCTATATAGTAGCACGAAGAAGATATATCTTTTAGGGCTTAGAGGTAAACTCCTGTAACTTATTTTACGTTGTTCCTCGGTTTTTTCCCTGACGTTATCCATGATTCAGTGATGTAAATAAATCACTACAAGCCTTTTCCGAAGCGTAATGAATTTGATGGTCGTAGATCCACTTCCTTTACACCAAGAGTGATGCAAGTCATTTTATTAACGGTTTCAATCATGAGATCAAGATTTGTGGGAGAGGTTAAATAGTACGCGAAATCAAGGGTGTTTTACTTCATCAAGGGAAGTGTATGATAAACAGATGGTAACATAGTTAACACTGTGGTCTCAGTATCAAGAGGCATCAGTTTTCCAATGTTACATACAACTGGGTATTTGAGTGTCTTGTTTGAAAGCCGATTAAACCAAATATGAGGTCAACTGCACACTGAAACACCACACTTTGCCATGACAGTTAATCTCAATTAGTCCTGGTCATGCCACCAGATTCTTAGTTGAGAAAGACAGAAATTTATATTTTACTAAGGAAAAAACATCTGAGAATCTGATTGATCAATCCCCTCTTCTGGCAAATGTGTATATTCTTGTTGATAAGTGTTGAGAATTTTGTATCTTACCAAGCTCTCATATCAACACTCTTTTGCTGATAAGTAAGTCAATTGTCATCTCCTGTTTACTAGACATTGTATTGGTATTTTAGGGAGGAGTAACTTGCTGATCACTCCTGCAACTAAGAACTATGTTCAAACATTGAGAAAAAATCAAAATCAAAACTCCCAATTGTAATAGGGTTACATTACATAGAGCTAAATTGTATTCAGCATGATTTCTTGCGTGACTGGGTGTAACGTGGAAAGTGGTAGGGTCAGGGGATGGGAATTTGTACCACCTCCTGGTCAGAAGCCAAATCCTTGCAATGGGAGGTTCCTGTGATACTACCTAATCTGAAGGTATTTGAAAATTATTTGTCTTAAAATACATATGTTGATTATCTTAGTTGGGGCCTGAGGGAGATATAAATATCTGTGTTTTTTAATCAAAGTTTGCACACCCCTCCAATCATAAATTCCTGGCTCCACCCTGAAAAGGTTTCACTGCTTGTTGTATGCTACTAGTAAGCTGTAAATCTAAAACTGTTTTCTTCTACAGCTCCTTTGCAAGGGGAGGCCCTTCATGCTCTTAAACTTGCTTTAGAAATGAATGGTGAAAGAAAAAGAGACAAAGCCTTGAAACTTTTCAAACAAGCTGAGGCATTATCACCTCATCACCCTGAGATTCTTCTACATTATGGGGAATTTCTTGAAGAAGATGATGTTATTCATGCTGAGCATCTTTATACAAGAGCTCTAGCTGTTAGTCCTGAAAACTCCAGGGCAATGGCAAACAGAGGAAGGACATTACCCAAGGTACGACAGCTTGATCAGGAAATGCTTGATAAGATTGATAAGAAAAGAGATGAACTCTTCCGTGTTCCAAAAGGAAGCCTAGCTATGAAAAGAGCTGTTACTGAGGCTTACTACAAACATATATATCACTCAAATGCCATTGAAGGTAACACAATGACATTATCAATGACAAGAGCAATTGTGGAAACAAGAATGGCAGTGCCTGGAAAGAGTATATTAGAGCACAATGAAGTCTTAGGGCTTGACGAAGCAATGAAATTTGTCAATGGGTCCCTACTCCAAAAACAAGAAAAAATTACATTAGATGACGTTGTTGAAATACACCGCCGGGTTTTGGGACATGCTCACCCTTTGGAAGCTGGTAGATTCAGAACCACACAGGTATTTGTAGGGAATCATGTTCCCCCCAGCCCAATGGAGATTGAAAGACATGTGAATGAATTTAATGAATGGCTTATGTCCAGAGAACCTGAAATGCTTCATCCCATAGAATTTGCAGCTCTTGCGCATTACAAACTTGTCTACATTCATCCATTTACAGATGGCAATGGAAGAACTAGCAGACTGTTAATGAATTCCATTTTGATGCGAGCAGGGTTCCCCCCAGTTATTATTAGATTTCAAGACAGATACAAATATTATGAATACTTAGATATGGCCAATCATGGTGATGTTAGACCTTTTATAAGATTTGTGGCCAGGTGTACAGAAAGAACCATTGATGAGTATCTGTCGGTAACAACTATTTATCCAGTGGGTCATGAGAAGCATCCAGAGTTGACTGATGCCCATGACATAAATAGTGAAGATACATTTAATGTGGATAAAAATTCACAATAATTAAATAAAAATTAGCTTGCCTTTTGTGCAGAAATATGCACAGATATTTGTCCACAGACATTTCTGTTCTGAGATGAGGACAGTTTTCCAAGAGCAAAGTTTAAGGAAAACTTTGAACTGAGTAGATTTTTGCACCAACTGGAGGCTATTGTGTTTATTGTCCTTCAAATATTTGTGCAGTGCATGGGGAAATCTCAAGGAACAGCTTCCTGTTTGCTGCATGGGATGTTTTCTTTTTAGTGATTGCTGTTATGACTTTATGAACAAACAAACATGTTACTTCCTCTTCTGTAACAGTAGCTGAACCAACTGCACACAAGCAAAATTATTTGATGAATTATAATATCACATTTATTCTGGTGATGTTAAGGATATTTTTTCAAATTACACTGCAAAGAATAGTTTTACTGTTAAAAATATTTAAAGAATATATACAGGAGGTGAAATTGAGATTCTTTTGTCCTTTTTTTTTTGGACAACCTTACTCAAAACAGCTGGATAACTGCACCTGTATGTAGTAACTCAGCCAAAAATATTAACTGAGCTGTATTTATAACCAAATATTGTACTAGAAAGGTCTATTTAATAGTTTAAAATGTTAATCATCAAAAAAACAATACACAGGTTTCAAAAATTAATGAGAATATATGTCAAAGTATTTTATTGAGAAATCAAAGAGGTCTGACCTACAGGTATCTTTTTCTACTTTAATTATCCACTCCTTCAATTCATTTCCTTCCCCTCCACACCCTCTCTGTGGTTTTATGACAAGTGATTCTGTATGCAGAAGAAGTTCAGTGCACAATTGCAGAATTCAGTTTGCAAATTGAGACTGTTAGACCACACATTTGTGGGTTTAAGAACCAGTTGGATTTGGGAATGGTTCTAGGAGCTGAGTGAAGTCCAATTCTATCTGTAATCCTTCAATTGATTACAGATTTCGAGAACAGCACAGTGGAGTCAGTTTTGTGAAGCAAGGAGTATGATTACATGAAGTCCTGTTACCAATTAGTCATGACCATTACAATTAAAAAAAAAAAACAAATACATTCAGGGAAAATGTCTCCAGTAAAGACATTATTTAAAGTTAAAAAACTCCTCCATTTTGGAAACTCCCCTGTTTTAATAGGAAAGTGCTTATTGCTATGGTATTATTGTTATCAATTCTGTGATCGGTGGATTTAGCTAAGATGACTTTGTATGATTGGCTGCTTTAACTTTCCAAATACAGGTCTGAGTACAGCTAACTGTCCAATCACACTGTCTGATCACAACTCTACAAAATAATTGGTGAAAATAAAGCAGCTAATGCACCAATCACATTTGAGGAAATTGTGATTTATGATTAATTTAGAAATTGCCTGTGATTTGCTTTGCCAGCACTGTTTTCCTGTCAGGAGGAAAACTAAAACAAAACTATAATAATACCAAACAAATAAACAAAACTAGGAATACAAAGATATTGAAATTTGCATTTATTTTTTTTTTCTCCTTTGTTCTGTACCAATTTTCTGTTAATTTACAAATACAGCTGAGGGAGCACAAATCATAATTGTGTCAGAAAATTACTGCATATTAACAATAGAGGAAAAGATCTTTACTAAGAAAAATTAGTGCTCACCATTGAAAAATTCTAACTATGCTCTAAATATTTACAATCCCAGGTACCAGTACCTTGATTACATTCAAGATGTACTGACCAACCACCCTTGTTATAATTTCAAAGCCACACATTTGTCTCAGATGTTTCTGAGAATTTGTTGTTTGTCTGAGCAAATATCCATGCGATTCACCCTCACAAGTTTTTTTCGTTTTAACCCTCTAACTATCCATTTTGCGTCATAATTTCTTAGAATTTCTAACAATTCTCCACATAATTAAGCTTAAATTCTGTCTCTATCTTGAGTTCTGTCTTAGCTACATGTATCAGCTTGTTTCTTTACCAACAGCCAGTTAATTAAGCCTTTAATCCCCAGAAGTGATTGAAATGTAACTTCTCCCAATTCCCTTAAGTTCTCTTACAAACAGGCTTTGAGAAAAGATGAGCCTATCAGCTAGAGGGTTTATCTTGATCTAAGATCAAATTCTGTTAATCCAATCTAAAAGGAAATTTATGATGGTCTATTACGAGAAATTCTAATTGGATCTTGGGAGTGCTTATTATATCCTAGTACAGTACAATTACAATAAATCAATTTTTTATTCTTGGCTATTCTTTTTTTAAAAGTACTGTGCAAGAAGAACACTTTCACAGCCAGCATGCAAGGTTACAATCCAGCTAAAGACATGGTGAACACTTGAAATATTTTGGGACTGTTTATCACAATCTTATAACAACTGGTCATTACAGTTCATAATCTCACATCTAATTGGCTTCTTCCTCAACACAAAAACAGTTCTGAAATATTTCAGGTGTTCAAAAATCATGTGGGTTTGCTTGTATGTCATTTTCCTAGTTCTCTCTCTCTTTCTCTCTCCTTAACTCTTTAACTCCCATGAGTGACCAAGACATAATTTCTCCTTACAATAATCAACCAGATAAGTGATGAGAATTAAGAAAAATATCAGTTTGGGGAGAATTAGTGGACCCAATGCTAAATTCTCTGAACCAACACTATAAGAATCATATGGTTGACTCTAAGGAGGATCAAAAATTTTATCTTGGAGTTAAAGGGTCAAGTGTCACAAAAGTTAATGCTCTGAGTAATAACAAGTTCTACAGCTCTATCAATTTCTACTATTTTCAAGACCTTACAATCATATATTAAAATACAATGTACATAGAAAGACTGCTTGTTCTTCATAAAATAATTTTTTGCTTCATTAAAGGATTCTATTTTAATATCAAAATGTTATTTTTGCATAAGTATAGAAGAGGCACTACAGACTTTAATTTCCATCAGATTATAGAATCAAAAATACAATTTTCTATAATATGACTGCAACCCTCACAACTGCTTCAAAGAACCTCTCTTAACCCTTTCACTCCCATGAGTGACCAAGACAGAATTTCTCCCCACAATATCAGTACAGTATCAAGCAGACAAGTGATGAGAATAAAGAAAAATATCAATTAGGGGATTATGAATGGATCCAAAACCAAATTCTCCAAACTAACAGCACAAGAACTGTATGGCAGACAGTAAGGAGAGTTGCCAATGAGATATTGGGAGTAAAAGGGTTAACAAGATACTCACTGTAACAAAAAGTGCTTTCTTATCATAATAATTATTTCCTCTCTTTACATTTACTTGCACAGATGACAAACTAAGCTGATAATCAAAACTATAACAAAATTCTTGAAGGTGATTGCTTATTACCAGGGATAATTAACACTTTATGCCTGAGTAAGTGGACAGAACACATTATGTGCGCATACTATTGCTTTACATTTTGGCGAGTTAACTGGTTTTTTTTGTTTGTTATAAAAATGTAGAATGAATGTCTTGTTTCTTTCTTTAATTTTGTCATAGTTTTGATTTATTGGTAACAGGACTTTGTGTTGTCCAATTCTGTCTGTAATCATACTTGTGATTAACAAATTGGACTCCCACTTGCTAATCACTTGTATGACTACAGATGGAACTGGACTCCACTCAGTCCTACAACCATTACTACTTGCATGTTTCATTGTATGTAAAAAATAAGAGATGCATGTATTTCACAGGAAAATCAACATCTGAAAAGGATCATGATGAGTTATATTTGAACGTTATCATACATCTTCAAGGATTCTTCTAACTTCTGTATTACCTAGAAACAGCAGAGGAAAAGAATTACAACAGAGAAAGGATTGGCAGAAAATTCTCAGAAAATGGGAACACTAAATTGACCTAAAGCTGCAGGTGTCATTGAGTTTATTCTGTTAGTGAAGGCTAATTTTGAAAGATGGGACTACTTTGAAGGCAAATAAACCTCTGTAAAACATAACAAACCTCTCCATGGGTTTTAAAGTTAAATAACTGAAAAGGGTTTAAATTAATTGAAAGCAGAAATTTGAATTAACATTGTAAAAATATTGGTGATATATATGTATCATTAAAGAGTAATAAACGTAATCAGAAATATAGAGCACAGGTGAATATGGTACTTTTTGTGGAAACTGATTGGCTGGTTTGGAAGTGATAAGCAAGTACTAGTCACCTCTGAGCAGCAAAAGAGACAAAATAAGGTGTCAACAATTTAATATCTGACCATTTTCTGGAATGTTGATGGGAATAATTAAACTATTTTTTTGGTTTCTGTGAGGTGTATTCTGAAACAATTATTCACCTCAGTGTTGGAGAAAATGGTGAATGTTAAAAAATATTCACCTCCACTTCCATGAATAGTTATTGAAAAAAAATACTACAGAGGTTGTAGTGATTTTTGCATGACTGTTTACTTTCAAACAACCAATTTAAGTTAAACCCTTTACCCTTTGATGATGGCTGATTTGTTCTTGTAGAAAGTGCTGCATCATACTTTTAAAGTCTTTAACTTTTTGATCATGAAAATGGCTCATTTCAGCTGTGAACAGAAAGAAATATAAATTTAAAAAAAACACGTAAAGTACAGAAAATTGGTCAATATGTACTTTGACAAATTTGTGTCCCTGGTAGGGATTAATAAAAATGACTCAATTAAAACAGTATGTGTTTAATTAATAAATTTTACTGTATCAAGTACGAATTTCTATTCTGGTCTAGTCATCAGCAAAATCATTGATTTCATTCTGGGTCACAAATGAAACAATATATCCATCCTGGCTAAACAAGTCACTACAAAGAAACAGAGCTACATGAAATTTAGGGGGCTTAGAACAATTACCCTCTGTCACTCCTTTTTGCAACCATACATCAAGTCCTACACTTTTACATAGTTTAATTGCTTTGGTGATAGTATCATGTAAGATATAAATTCCCAGCAAGCATCAGTAGACAATAAAATGCCTTTTTTTCCCATACCAGATATTACCATAGCAATACTATAGCCTCTTGGGACACTGGCCCTAACTTCAACTTTATTTAGCTCTCACTTCAAAACAAGTTTGGAAATCCCTCAATGTTTGTTAAATCAAATGGTAATCAGCACATCAAGTTTCCTACAAAGCCTGTAGTTTAGGTTCCGAGGCACCTTTATTCTTTAATATTCTATGGTGCACTTACCATATGAAACATATGTTATGGTGTCTGCTCGTGAGCAAACTTCTTGAAAAGTAGAATCCTGAAAAGATATTATAATAGTGATAATAAAAAATAAATTAATAACTACTGGTTTTAATTCTCACTGTTAATTTTCAAACACCACTGCATGCAAGAAGATATAACAATTGTCATAGAAACTGAATTTAAATCCTACAGAGGAATCACCAATGCAAATTTTTCAAAGCAAAGTAACATGCTGACAACAGTGGAGGCTGATAAACAAGCAGCTTTAACAGTATGTTCAATTTTTTTGAACAACACAACTTAGGTCTCCTGTACCTTTCCACAACATGTAACCTACATGCATTGGGTTGAAGTTGCATCACACATAATGTTAATTTAACTTTTGCACTGCTGTCAATCATAACATTGACATCTCAGAAACCAAAGTCAATACATAAATTTCTCACTGTTCAGAATGACACATTCCAGAGTTGTTTTGTGAAAGGTTTACACCAAGTACGGAAAGATATTACTCATTGGATCTCCAATGAGGGATTCAACCTTTGTGCTCTGTTACTTTACCACTACATTACAGAAAACTTGCTGGTGAGCAATGCAATTACTGGCTGAGAGTGCACAATGTTAAATAAACTAATTGAGTACCAAAAGCAAAATAAATCTGCTGTAAACTGAGTGATTGTGTATAGTTAACTCCTATTAACAATTAAGTAACAAAATTATTTCTTGTGCAATTTAGAACGGATAAGCGGAAGGAAATTTTCTCTGCCTGCTTTTTCTCTGTTATGATTCCTGTCCTCTACTATTTCCAGGTATACGACAGAAATTAAAAGGCTTGCTGAGTATATATGATATTGTTTCTGTACAGTTGAACCTATACTAAGTGGCACCGTATTAAGTGGTCACCCTATATTTAGCCACCAGTTGCCCAAAGTCCCAAATTTGTTTGCCCTTAATCACTGTAATTTTCACCTCTTTTAAGTGGTCACCCTTCACTAAGTTGCAAAAGCCTGTTTGTATTGTTTTCCACCTGTATTGAGCAGCACCTAAAGCCAAACCACTCTTATAAAACTAAGAATAATCCTTAAAGTAATGTTTAATCCATGTTTCTCTTCCAAAATTGAAGTAAATAGTATTTTTTTAGCAAGATTCTGTATACTAAGTGGTCAATTATGGCATTAAGAGGCTTTGTGAACCATTTTTTATAAAACCCCTCATCTAAAGAACCTGTAATAAGCCATAACCCTACCATTCCCAGTGGGTGACCGCTTAATACAGGTTTGACTGAGTGTCTAAGTCAGCCTTGTTCTTATTGGAAATGTAAACCATAATTGTCAAATGAAAGTATTTATATTTTTTCCATGCAGTTATCATAATACATATCTCTGAAAAAGGAGTAAATATTATATGTAACAAGATTTATATGCTGCAATACCTCCATCTTCTCTTCATCCTTAAGTCTCTGACATTCTTTCACTTTGCCAATTGTACCCTTTTGAGGAATAACAGAGTAACTTTAGGACATATTGTTTGTCCATAAAGACAGCAAATGCAGTTAAAAGATACTAGCAATCTTATGACGTTCACCTTGTGAACTTGTAGTACATCTGGGTAGGTGCTTAGCATTCCTGAATATTCCTTAAGTCCTTCTAACAAAGGTAAAAAGTCATTCTTGGGCTAAAAAAAAAACATTGCACATCATATTAACAAGTGAAAACACCATCCTGTGAATCAAACAGGGGTAGAAATGCTAATTCAAACTGACAAATTCCACAACCTTTTTATCAAGCCTTTGCACTCCAAACCTCACATATGAAACAAAAAAATGGCTCAAGAGGTAAAGAGGTTGTATGAGACCTTAAGAGACCAGGATATAAATATCTCCTGAGCTAAAAGATTGTTTTATTAGTTGGAAACTCTTGTTTGTCGGGTATCTAAAAGCATATTAAAATCAGTTAGATTTGTGAAATTGGGCTCAAAAAATATCCTTCAAGTTTTTCAATTACCATTGTAAAATAGTTGCATAGAATTCTAAAACTTGTCTAAAGAAAACATGACTTTTTGTGGAAAATAGAATTTTGACATGGCAATGTCTAACAGAGGAGTTGAGGGGTTATGAGATAAAGTATCAAGGTTGTATGAAACTGTACAATTATCACCAAAATTTAAACTATAGTTTTCTTGGGGTTATAGGCCTAATTTTGTTGCAGTAAAATTTTAATTTTCATTAACTTGCAGCTACCAGGCTATTTTCCCACTTTCACCAAGTACTCCTTCTTTGGTGCAGGCAGTAGAAAGTTTCTTTTAGAATCTGTTTTTATCTATTACAAGTGAAATGCTGCTAAATTACTTCTATGAGGTCTCTTACAAACCTGTTCTGCTATCATTTCTCCAATATCATCATAAATTTTTGCTGTATGCTCTACTGCTTGAGTTAATTGTTGAGAACCTAAACAAAACAACAAGAGAACCCAAAAAAGTTATTTTGAAAACAGAATTATGAAACCATAGAACATGAACTACATTTCAAAAAATACAGCTGAGTCATTTCCATGGAACTTGGAAACACTTTGTTTCAATTCTGAAAGCGCAAATATGATATGTAATAAAAACTGCCATACACATGTACTTAATGCTACCTAATTCCTGTAACTTGCTTTTTGAACTTTAGTTTTCTCATGCACAAGTTTATTCCATAAAGCACAACAGCATTTAATATATATTTTTGATGTAATTGCATTCCTGAGCATCATGAACAGAAAGATTACACTGAAAGGGGAACAATAGTGTATAAATCCTCATGAATGTTTTATTTGAGAGACTGCTAACAGCAGCATGACTTACTTGGCGAATCTTCATCAATAGCAAAAGCTGTGCTAAGAGATCCAAAAGTGCTACCAATCTTCTTATATTCATTCCTGTATGCTGAAAAGGAAAAATTTTAACTCAAATGAAGCAGAGAGTATACTCCTAAGACACCTACAAAACCATGTCTCAAGTTTCCCCTTGTACATTAACAATAAAACATACCACAGTGCACACCAACTGCAACTCTTAACAATTAAGTGACAAAAGTCAGTTCGAAATGAAACAAATTGTATTTTAAGCTGTGGATGATATACAAGTAAAGAGGCCATCTTGGCTTGAAAAAGTTCAGGCTTTGACAGAGTTTTGTACCCATGCCTCCCAGATACTGATAATGATCACTTCATTCATTTTAGTGTAAATTCCTTTTAGGGGAATGGAGAATTTGCTTAAATTTGCATTTCTCCTGACATGTGGCTTCACAGCTAATAGTTGCACCCAACTGGTATCTGGGAGTCATGGGTTTAAAATATGTTGAAGCAGGCATTTTAGCACCTTCTTTCTGCAATTGCTTTTTAGCAATTTCCATTTGCCTGCAAAAAAAATTCTCTAATTGAAAAGTAATCTTAGATGGCAAAGAAAATTGAGATGAAAATATATTTGCTTACATCCTTGGCACTTCTCACAGTGCACTTGACCTCTGTCCTGAATTGCCCTGACACTTTCATCCATACTTTTGATAAATCGTCCAAATTGTTCTATTCTATTTTCTCTGAAAAACAGAAGATTTGCAGGGTTAGTTGTTTGGTGTAAATTACTTACAATTCATGGTATAAATTTATTGAAGTCTTGCAAACATTTGTGTTGGATGAAATTTCATGACATCATGCAGCCTTTTATATATTCATAAAGATGTCGTCTTTCACAAGTAGACATGTAACAGATTTATTGTACAATAGGAGTAACAGGAAGCAAAAAATACAACAGCAACAAGCTCTAAATCTTACTTTGTGAAACAAGATTACAATATGATTTGTATTCGCTACAATAAATAAAAAGTATTTTGGCAGTAAACCAACTGAAAATGGAAATTAAAATAGATATGAGTTCATTGGTACAATAAAAAATAGGTTTTGACCAATCAGAACATGACAAGCATCATCTCCTTTTTTACTTACACTGGCACAAGTTCTAATCTTTCTTGGGGACGGTCTACTGTCATAAAAAAAGATGCACCAACAAGTTTATCACTCTCTGCTGCTCGTTTTCCTTGCTTCCATTCCTGCAAAGAGAAACCAATCACCTCCACATTATCAAATTGGTTTTGAAAATTGAAGAACATTTTAAACCCATCACCTCCTCAACTTTAAGACAAAAACACTTAACCTAAAGTAAGTTGGATTAGATACTTACACTTGCCTCAAGTCTAGTTTTGGGTTTTTCTTTAAACTTTTTCTATTAAGTGTCTCGCTCCTAATTCAATTCCCTTTGGTCTGACTGGTCCAATTTGTAATAAGTTACAATACTTTTTGGTTTTGTGAAACTGAATTGAAAAGCTCTGGATATATTTTATGTATATATGTGTAAGTATAAACTGCACCATGGCTATTTCTCATTGGTTATGAGGGAGGCACTGAAGTCAAAAGATACTGCAATACATATTATACTGTACAGTTTAAAACTATTCACCAAGGTGAAGGTGGGTGATGGTGGATATTAACCACCCCACAATGAGGAGAGGTAAAAATAACCATCACTAGCCACCAATACTGAGGTGAATATTTGCTTTAGTATATACTAAATAAGTGAGATACTATAGTTCAAAAATATGATTTTCAATCATTCATTCCTATGACAATTACAATATTTTCAGGTGCCATTCCTGCATGAGTTGCTCACTGGTGAATAGCAAAGAATATTTGGGATTTCAGTAGCCAATCAGAGCACACCTTTGATGCCATCTCCTAATTTAGTGTATACTAACAACAAATACCCAATAAATCAGGAAAGCAGATGATAATGCAGTCTGTAGAGGTACCACTTCACCTGGGAGAGAAAGTACCTTCTTACTACACCTCATCCCTCTTATTTCTCAAGGAGTTTGTTCTGTTTATGTGATTACCTTCTCATTTTCCCCACATGTAATAAAATGTTTGAACACAAAACTTTGAGATAGCACAGGATGAAGACATATTCTGTTCATCCACAGTTGAAGTTTATCTCTTCTTTTCTCCACAAACTCTTCACCAAATCTCCCTAAAAGCCAAACAAAAAAAATATTTAATAGCATTTCTTTTAAACCCTTTAACTCCCAGAAGTGATTAATATGTACCTCCTCCCTAAAATATCCATACAAAATCCAGCAAACAGGTAATGAGAATACTCAATCTGATTAAGTAGAGGTTGTTACCTTGATCTAACACCAAATTCATGTTACTAATTTACAAGGAAATATGAGGTAGCCAGATGGGGAGAATTAACAATCAGATGTTAGGAGTTACAGGGTTAAGCCTTTGAGGTTCTGATGGAACAGCAGAACCTTTCTACAGCTGTAGCTGTCAGCTTTTCCATCTCTCAGCTCAAAAGAGTGCAACACACAACAAGTTAGTAATTTGGTCCCTGATTTTAGAGGGGCCAACTCATAGCTTCAATATTATACCTCCAAGAATTTTTCCATCAAATTTTCCAAACCTCTTTGATATGTATGTGAATTGTTTAATTTTTCCCTACTGATGACAAAAATTGAGGGTGTGAAAAACTGGAACCATAATCCTTACAGTCCAACTTTGAGAAGACTTGACGCATCATCCCTTTGGTAAAGTAATCAGGAAGGCAGTGCATTCTCCTCAATTAAGAGCTGATGCAGTTTGGCTGCACACTCAAACCCTTACTGTCCCACAAGACAATATCGCACTCTTAAAGCACGCTAACCACTGGTAACCAGTGATAAATAAAAGATTATTTGAGTAAAATAATAAGTGAGTGCTGTTTACTAACCTGTGATTTGTTTGTCTGGTAATGGTGGAATTGATATACATGTATACTTTTCAACCAAGCGGCCAAACAGCCAATCAAAATGTTTGTACCGTCTGCTGACAACAACTCCAGTATTCTAAAGAAAAAAAGTAATTTATTTCATTAAATCTATGTCCTAAGAGCATGCTATTTCACTATATCCATTTAAGGAAACAAAAAGGCACAAAACAGGGGATTTTGCTGTTTATTAATTATTTTTATCTATTATGCAAAATGACAAGAAAAAGAAGGAAGGTTATAGAGATCACATATTGACAATTACATCAAAGATGACCACGATTAAGAGTTATTTATATAATTTACAGTTCTGTAGCAGTTCAGTAATGTTAGGAATTTCAAGGGGTGTGGCAAGGAAGCCAAATAGAAGCTGGTAGTTTGTCTAGATTGGCTCGTCGGGTGTTTCAACAGATGATGACAAGAAAATACTATGTCAAAGGCTGGACAAGTTTTATTCCATGCCCTCTATAAAAATTAATATCCTTTCAGTAAATTTCTAAAGCTGGAATAACTAGATATCAGGGTGAGATTATGGGGATGGAACTACACTGTAGGAAAGGACTAAAAAGAGATGGAAAGTGAAGCAACAAAATAGCTGCACTGAACAAATCAATCTTTGATTAAATGCAGTTTATGTTTTGAAAGCTTGACTTTCATAACTTCAGGTTACCAGAAAATTGAATAATCATGGCATAGTAAATCCCTTATTTAGTGGTATCACAGAAAATAAGAGCTAGTGGACAATTGCTCCTTGCTTACAAGTATTTTTCCTCACTGCATTCACAAATGATAAAATGTACTGTGTACTTGTTGTACAGTGAACCACTAAATGCGGCATATCTTTAATTAATATACAATGTTAAACTACTTTAGGTGAACACATACTCACACTGGGTATTATGTTGTACGCAATAAAACTCTTCATCCCTTTAAATTTACTTTTTTTCTCAGGGGAATTTATCACACATGTGAATGGGTCTGGGTGGCTGCACCAAGTAATCCGCTTTCTGTCTTCCTGAAAATCACAAACAGAAAAACAGAGTTGACTAATGGGCACTTCTAATATAGCACCTAAAATTCAAACATTTACAAAAAATGAGATAGACACTCTACCATGATCGATACTTTCTCATTCTGTGGAACTTTTACATCTGTCTGTTGTGTACCAATGACAAAAGCTTCTCCACCAGATTTCACAAAGTACGAGAACCTTTAAAACAAAAGCAGTTCAATGGTAGCAAGTCATCTTACAGTAAATTCTATTCAACAGCTAAACTATGTTGCTGTGCATCTGTATGGTAATAGATCACAGATGACATCAAAGTGTGGTATAACCAAAAAATGTCACACAAGGCTCAGCCAAGAGTGTTACTGAATGCTCTCACCACATTTTGACATATTCTGAGATCTTTTCCTGAACAGTCTCACAGCAACATGGGATCTATTTGTTTTATATAATAAAAAGCATCTATATTGTCTATGGTGTCAACAATTCTTTCCCATGTACAAGGCTGTTCAGTTGTTTTCCCTTCAAGTTACAGAGCAGATCAATCTGAACAGAATTGTCCAAGACATTTCTATTTTAACAAGGGAAAAATATGATCTTGCTCGTCCGAAAAAGTGAGCTATTAACCATTTTTTTCTGGAATTTGGACACAAAAAAAAATTATATTTTCCACATTTGCTGCCCAAACACATGTAGATTACGAGCGTGTTATTTTGTCAAGCAAAGAATAGCCATTGATTTTAAAGCAAATCCTACTTCTCACCTTGTCATTGTTATCAGGTTTTTTCCAACAAATAAACTAATCATGATCCAGACAGGTAAAGTAAACAAGTGAGTTTAAAAGAAGTTTTTTTCCCCTAATTGTATTTGCCTACATAAGATATTAATTTTTTTCGTTGATTGGATTTGGGAAAACTTTGTATTGGGTAGTGAGAAATTTAATAAAAAAAGCTCCTTATTCCATTATACAAAGGCTTTCCGTTACCTATTCATACTCTTTCGAACTGTCCCTGTTCTAACCATTCCTGAATTGGTTCCTCTCCTTGGTAATGATGAGATTGTTGACTCCTGGTCTCCCCCACTGTAGTTGCTGACAGTTTCATCATCATCCCAATCATCATCCCATCCATCTGCTCCATCCACTGAGCCCTGATTATGCAGAGGTGCTGAAGGTAAAGGACGGAGGTTGTCAGACTGTGGTGCTGGATACTCTGCAAGCTGTGAAGCATAAGTATCAAGAGTTCCTTAGCCCTTCAACTCTCAAGATCTCTATAGCAATTCTACTTAATGTCTGTTATACATTTCTCAAATGTGTTGTGTGAATTAAGTGTCGAATCAAATTACAGTTCCCTAATATTGCAAATAGGAATAATTGTTCTTGTGATTATAGGGAAGCAAGCTTTGATTTGTCTCGGATTCCATCATGTCCCACTGCTTTCACCTTGCAAGTTGTAATAATAGCAGGAGTGCTACATTTTGAAATGGTTAGCTTGCATTTTGTAAATGTTAGGAAAGGAGTGATAAACACTATAGCACAAAATACAATTTTGAGAAATGCAAAAATGCTATTAAGTTTGGTGTAACTCTTCAAAAGAAGAAAATGACATTTTTACCAATTGAATTATGTAAACCTGATAAATTCTAGTTAAAACTGGTAGCTTATCTTGATACGAATAATTAAAACAATTGTAATAGAATGGTATCAGCAAAAAAACAGAATTTGAAAGCAACTGAGCATTTATGCTACAACAATTACTTGCCATTAAGACTCAGTGAATATTGCTGAATAATCCCTTCCACTTCAACTCAGGGATTATTCAACAATATTCACCTCACCTTCAGCAAATAATTGTTAAATAGGTTGTGATTTATCATCATGGTGAACACGCTTTCGTAATGAAGCATAATTACTTGTCTCAAAATGTGCTCATTTCTATTTTGGATTACAACATTTCAACATTGCTACTAGTCTTCCTCGGGCACTCAATTTGAGTGAGTATGCAATATTATAACATTTCTGCTCAGCTGTGATTGGCAACTTTTTGCAAAAGGTTCCCCAATCAAACCTTTCAATGAAATGAAGCAACCATTGCTGAACTTGCTATAGTTAAAAAGACTGAACAAAACTCCAGTGATTTAACTGGTTACAAATCTCATACCAGTTGAGACTTCACATTACATCTTGTTCTGCACATTAACACTAGTCAGTTCACTGAAACAACTTTTGGCAAGTGCAGATAAATTTAAACACTTTCTTAAAACTGCTAATAACTCCGCGTAAGTTTGATCCGCTAGAGAATTAATCCTATCTCTGATATGCTGGTGTCTCATCCTTAACGTACCATACATTTCTACAAGGTGACCTTAAAACGAGGTAAATATAAATACATTGCAGAGGGAAATGCAGAGGAAATCTTATGCCATAGGAGTGAGAGTTGTAAAGGTTGTAAAGGTGATCTCAGGTTTAAAGCTTAAAAAATTTCCTGAATATTGGAAATAAAGTACTCAAGACCAGACAGACGTTGCCAAATTCAATACGGGAAAACCTTGAGAAAAATTTAAAACGAAAGGTTTCTTTTCTTGTAATATGGAAATTCATACTCGGGTAAGACTCATCATAAAGAACAGTATACCTTTAGTTAATATTCTATACACATTCTGGGATATAAAATTACATGACAGTTAGCCTATATATCTCACCTCTACATAGGCCTCAGGAAACAGACCTCTAGATCCGTCGGGTCCAACTCCTTCCCACCAACCCTCTCCGACGTCCTGTCGAAAACAAAGAAATAACATAAATATTATATAATAGCAGTCCCAAATGCAGACGGTATCAGCGTTACAAAATAAGCGTAACCGCACGTACCGTTCTGGTCACGGTCAGAATTTCGTCCGCGTAGACGACGAGTTCTCCAGAAGGTCGATCACCTTCAAAATCGTACAGTACGCGTACCTACGGACGAATGTTGTTAGGGTGAGTAAATCTGAGGGAAAAAAGGAATAAATTGAATGAAAGCTGTCAGAAGTGACGATAACGTACTTTACAGCCAGGTGAAACCGCCATACTGTAGATAACCTATACCATTTCTGAGGAAAGATACTACTTTTAGCTGTGATATCACGTGAGCACACTCCTCCGATCGCGGACGCGGATATGCCGCTGGATTTCGTCGGCGTTACAGAGAGAAAAATGGGATTTTTGAACTTTTTAAAACAGACTTGACCTTTAATTCGCGTAAAAAAAACACATGCAGTTTTGAAACCTTCCAGGAGACTAGGCTTTCTGTAGATCAGGATGCGAGAGCACTTAGAGTAGCGATGCGTTGTCCAGGGCACATCGTGTTTGCCTATTCGAAAGCATATATGCTAAATATTTTCAGCTGTACAAAATAATTGCAGTCTTAGACTAAAAATTAAAGATGGCAGAGGTCTCGAACCAACGCAGCAGCGAAAACTTGAAACGAAAACGCAAACACAGTCGAAACCCGCATTCAAAGGATTGGAATAAAAAGAAAAAAATTGAACCTGGAAAGGGAAACCGAGAAGTGAAAAAAACGCAGATTATCCAACCTCAATTACCAAAAACCACCACAGAAATATCGTCTAACTGGAAGGCTTTGCAAGCGGTGAGCATTGAGCGAGACTCTTTTAATCCTCTGATTGTCAAAATCTAAGCGTTGATTAACCTTAATTACCGTAAAACTCTTTCTTGTCTGTTACCTTTGATATCCTAGTCCCATGCCACGTGTTAATGAATTTCTTTTATAACCTCTTTGGATGATCGACTGCCAAGCACGTGGGGAATTGAGCTCACACAGTACAGTGATTGTCAAATAGCACTTAGTCTTCGTTGCTATAAGGATCCTTCTTGATAATGGCGCGTAAAATCAAGTGTTTTTCAAATTTTTGTTGAAGAAACATTCATTTTTTGTGGCTAGTGCCTCCCATTGGAGGCAAAACTACTTATGCCGTTGAGATGTGTGATTGAGGGTAACAATAGCATTCCGATTTTGACCTAATTTTGAATTTGTGTTTCCCGGTACTAGAAACTGTTTCTTTCAGAGAATCTGAGTAGTTCGACATTTGCACTTCATACAAGGTTGAATTCTCTTCTCTGTGACACTGCAGAAATCAGCATAAGATGATAAACATTTCACAATTATTTCAGGATAGTGCGCTGTTAACAAAAAAGTTTTCTTTGCAGAAATATCTTTATAAGTATGAACAACACATCATGAAATCTAGAGGCAAAATTTTTTTTCTTAGAAGAGAAAGCATTTTACTGGTTAAATCATCAAATTATGTAGATCTAAAGATATAATATTTCCAGTTCTTGCTGTGACATCACAAAAGACAATAAACATCTCAAAATAATTCCACAGTGGCATCCACCAATGTATAATTAAAATCAAAACTTTTTCTTGCAGAAACTTCTCAACAGATATAATATATATGTTATGGAAGCTTGGAGGGAGATTCTTTTCTTTAAAAAGAGAGCATTTTACTGTTTGAATCAGCGACTCATGCCAAAAAGAGTTACTAAATTTGACAAGCGAGGTAGCAGTGAAATACATACCTTGAGTTATTCAGCAGAATGATTGAACAGTGGAACAGTAGAAAGGCAGAATGTCTTAAATCGAGGAATGGCAGAATAACCCAAAAAAACAGAATGCCTGAATGTATGAAACAAAAGTCTCAAAAAATGGGAATTGCAATAAAATGAGAAATTATTTATAATTAACAGGGGAAATTAAAAGAAGCATAGGTAATCATTGTTGTAGCCCAAAGGATAATGGAACCATGGGGGTTTTGAGCTAGCCCCCATTAAATTATTATTGTATTGCTATTCTTATTATTATTATTATTATTATTGTTAATATTATTATTTGTTACTATTAAACTCTTAGTTGATTGTAACATGTAATTAGACAATATATTCTTGAGTCATCTTTCTCTTGTGGGACAGGGTAGTCATTAATATGTGGGATGCAGCAGGTTTTCTGTTTTACATGTGAGACAAATATTCAGCAACACTACATGTACCTTCTAGCGTCATTATGCAACCTCTACTTATTTTCAATGCTATAAAAATTGTGCTATATCAGTGGCCACATGCAGTCTTTCACTGTCTCTATTCAGCATGTTATTTCAAGAGATTACAGCTGATGGCTTCTATATCATGTCAATTTGTTATCTAGTATGATGATTTATTTTAAAAATATTAGGCTTTGACAATTGCGATACAGGGTTAGTAATTATAGACTGACTTCAAAGAATATTTCAATTCAGAGAAGGTAAATTTTTAAATACCAAATGGCATATAAAGTAAGGTAATCATCAGTAGGCCAAATCAAGTCTATCTCATGTGATGTATTATCTTTTAGTTACTGGAGAAAGAAAAAAACGCCAAGGAAACCACTGGAGATAAAAAAAGAAGACAGAAGAAAACATTAAAGAGAACTCTGAAGCCAAATCTTAAATCAGAAAACACAGCAAGGTAAGAACTTTTCATACAAAAGCTGTATTACCTTGAAAAAAATACCAAGTACAAAGATGTGGAAGAAAATATTAGGAAACACTATCATTGTCAACCCTTTCAACTCCCTGGATCTGATTGGAAATTCTCCTTTCTATCTGTTGTACATTTTCTTGTATTATAAGTTTAAAGAATTAGGTATTACATCATAGAAACACTCTGTAGAAAGATGTGATTAGACCTTGAGGTAACAGTTGATTATTTGGAGTGATCAAATGGGTTGCAAACCCTTTCAACTCCCTTGATGTGCTTGGAAATTCTCCTTTCCTCCCATAGCATATTTCTTGCATTTTTAATATACAGAATTTGGTGTTACATCATAATAACATTCTCCAGAACAAGGTTGTGAAGTCCAGTGGTAACAGTTGATTGTTAATTATTGAGATCAGGAGCATATATGTAAGAATTGTGCCATGGGCAGTTTGGGGAGTTACTTATGAGGTCTTGGGAGTGACAAGGCTATTTAGGCACAAACTAGAAGAAAACTCTCCAAGTTTTATCTGTCAGTCACACAGTGTGTGTAATTGTGATGATCTCTGTATTTACAATAATTGTTTTTGTTGAATTCAAGTTCAAGTGAAGTGTGGTTTGATGATGTGGATCCTGAAGATCTTGAGGAAATTACTGGGAAAAAAACAAAGTCAAAGACAACAATTGGAGATCCACATGATGTGCTAGTAACTGGCAGTCTGGAAGGGTTAGTTATGTTATACTAACAGTTTTATCTTGACTTGTATGGATAAAGAAAGTACCATGCTGTACCCCAGTAGTAGTGTAAGGAATGTACTTTGAATTTTAATTTGTTTCTTTAACCCTTTAACTCCCATTAGTGACCAAGACAGAATTTCTCCTTACAATATCAATGCAATATCAAACAGATACGTGATGAGAATTGAGAAAAATTTCAATTTGGGGATAATTAGTTGATCCAATACATTAAGGAGAACTTCAAATTTGATCTGGGAGTTAAAGGGTTAACTGAAATGCATGTTCCAAAATTGCCTCCAAATCAGCAAAGGAAATGATTATTTGAAGCAATAAAGGAAAAAATTATTTTGTGTTATCTCCTGTTGTATAATTAATTTTTGCTACTCTATATTCTATCACTTTGTTGCTAAAGAACTTTTTCACCAAAGATCTTACACATCGAGAATGAAATGCTAAGAGCAAAATTTTTAATGGGCACCTAACATAAATAGGCTTCTTTGCTTCCTACTTTTAAAGTGTTTCAACTTTAATTTCGTAAAATGCTGGAATGGAGATAGAATATGGAGAGACATAAGAGCCCTTGACATAACTTAACCCCCCCCCCTCTCTGTGGCAGGGGATGTTTTATACATTTTGTGGTATTCATCAGCCACTAATTTTAAAATTATGTGATAGGATAACAAAAAGGATTGCACTGGACTGTGAAATGGTTGGAGTTGGGTCTGATGCTAAGAGGCACATGTTGGCACGAGTATCCATCGTTAACTCACATGGTCGCGTGGTCTATGACTCGTTCGTGGCACCACAGGAGAAAGTGGTTGATTACCGCACTCACGTCAGTGGAATTAGACCTGAAAATTTAAAAAATGGTCAGTACTAGCTCACATACTTATTTTTGTGTACCAGAGTAAATGTTCCTTGTTTTGAAACACTTCATGTAGGCAACTGTCATTATTTAGGATTCTATTCCACATTCTTACACAGGATATTACTGAGATTCTGCCAAACCTCCTTCGCTTCTGTTTTTGTCAATGAAAGGAAATAATATTTATGTTGATTGGAATGGATGAACAGGAAAACATTTGGCTCAAGGTCATGTCATGAACGATGTAAAATTATCAAAGTGATTGTTATAATGCAAATGTTGTGATTTTAATATACATTTATATCCAGTTCAAATTTTGTCTCTTCTTGTTTCAAACGCATAATCATGCTTTAAGTGCTCCCTATTAAAGAATCATGTTTAACAAGGATTCAATTCACAGTTCATTGAATAAATATTGAAAAAAAAACATTGATTGTGTATATATTTATGGCCTGTAGCTACTGATCTTGTAAATGTTTCTGCTTCTTTTGTGTATCACAATTTATTGAGGAATTGTTCTTTTCATGTCAAGCTCCAGAATTCAAGACAGTTCAACTTGAAGTTTCAAGAATACTTAAAGAGAAAATCCTTGTTGGACATTCCTTGAAGAATGACCTTGAGGTGAGTTTGGTATAAGACTACAACTTGGTAGTGTCTTTAACCCTTCACACCTAAGCATCAGTCTGTTTATTCTCTATACTGTTCTCCATACAATGCCAAAGGTACTGACAAGCAGAATTTGTTTAACATTCAAGATCTTCACAGCTAAGAACACTACTGAACTAGTAGTTGAAATAAGACCTGAAAAAATTTTCAGGCCCGTATGGGATTTGAACCCATGACCTCTGCAATACCAGTGCAGTGCTCTACCAACTGGGCTAACAAGCCATCTGGGAGCTGAACAATATGTTGGGTCCAAATAAACCATCCAAGTGATGAATAACACCGCAATGCAAATATATGAATTTCATATATCTAAAATCATCATTCAAGATCTCCTCAAGTTTGAGATCATTTCCTTTATTCTTGCGATCTTAACAGTGCTTTCAATAAGATTTGAAGTTGGTGGCTACCTCAGTAAAGTACTTCATGAATAATAATATGAAAAGCAACTTTGCTCTTGCTAGCCTATTAGTTCCATTCAGAATAAAATGGCTTTAAACAGAGTTTTCTGTTTTGAATTTTGGTAAATGGTCATTGAATATTATTCTCCTGGTAACTTTTGTTTTACTGATTGCTTACTTTTAATCAAAATCTTTTATTTACTGACATGCAAACCTGCTGCCTGATTTTTTCACAAAAAGTCCTCTGAGAGGACATATGGTTACTGGTTACGGAAATTTGAGTCTGTATATACTTGTAAACGCAAACATATATTTTGGTGGAAATGTGGTATATGGTGTGATAAGACAACAACAATAACTTTTAGCAGAACTTGTTTATAAAGGTAACGGTCACTTGAAAGAAATAAAAAAGCTCTTGAGGTGTTTTAGTTGGTGAGTTTGTTTGAAAGCTTCCAAAATGTCACAGAAGGATCCAGAATGGTGGTAACTGTCTAACATCATATAATACTTAACACTTTCAGCAGGAAATCTACAAAAATAATACCAGGTGATATCCTGTGTGCATTAAATTTCTGTATGCACATTTTCTCAAATTTGATCCTACAATCCAAACCTCTCTTTGCCTGGCCAAGCCAGATTCTATTGTTTTCCATTTTTTTTTATTCACAAGTGCTTAAAGTATTTGTATTGTAATGCCATGAGCTTTGTTTACAGAGTTTTCTTCTGCTTGCAGTCTTCTGTTTGAAGAGGCTGAAGGCATTTTTCGTGATTGCAAGTTTTTTGTTTTGTTTTGTTTATTTTATTGAAAGAAATTAAAGATATGCAGCAGTGAACTTCACCAGTTGTATTTGTTGGAAAAACCCCAGAATTATTCTCATCTGCAGAAGTGTTCCATTATTGATGGATGCAACTGCTATAAATGTTTACATAAGATAATTGCATTAAATCAATCAGCCAATTAATTTTAGTGGTCTCTATGGCTCGCATTTCATATCAGATGATAAACAATTGTTGAGTCGCCGATTGCTGAAAAGTCACTTACTTACTCAGTTATGTTCTAGCTAACCAGTAACCATAAGAACAAAGTCTTCTTCACTTTTCTTAGCAAATGCAGCATAAGGTTAGACGCTAAGTGGTCAATGGCTGTTTTTATTTCTCTCTTCAAAGCTAAGCCTCTGTGAAGTGTTTTTAAGCAAAGTTAACATCTTTGCAAAAAGTTCCAAATTTGATTTACTTGTGCCATCAACAACAAGTTTGATTTTCAAGTTTTTTTTTTTTTTTACTAGCAGTTGAGAACAACTGTTGTTGTTTTATTTACCTTGTTGTAACAGACAATGTGTATTTCTACTTCATGCATGGTGAATTTTTGTAGAACACACAAAGGAAAAAAAAAAGAAAACTGATAGTGAAATAATGAATCTAAAAAAAAAGACCACAGTATTTTAAAAATAAATGGGGTGAATACTCCAATACTAAATTGACAATTATTTTCTAAGTTATTCATTAATTTTTTTTGTTCTGTAAATCTGATATGGACATGATTAAGTATACTCAACAGAACACCAGCCAAAGCTACGGCAAGTGCTGGGTGTTATTGAAAGCACTGCTTAATGTTTGATTAAGGGGTGATTATTGTGAGAGAAAATTAGATGCTAGGCACTCTTAGGGGGTAAAGGATTAAACAGGTACGGAAGTTTGTCACAGGGTTAAAGTTGATTTTTTTTCTTTTTTCTTTTACTTTAGGTACTGCTACTTGATCATCCATGGAAAAATATACGAGATACTGCCAAGTATAAACCATTCCAAAAACTAGTTAAGGTAAGAAAACTGTTCTTTGTGCTAAATCCTTTCAATGAAAAATAATTTATTGTGGGTTTGTAATTTGCACTAGATATAGTGTATACAGTCATCTTGAATGACTGTTGTATGGGTATACTGATTAATTTTGCTTCAAACACTGTGAAACAGACAGTGTTCTCCTTTACCAGCTTATGAATGCCTAAAATTGCTTGGAATTCTTGTTAGTTCAACTGGTGAAAGGACTTTCCTATCAGTTTGAAAAGTTATTTTTTAATCACCTGTTATGCTTAAGATAAGAAAGAACACAAAACAGAAACTTATACGATCAATCTGGCAAATCAGACTTAGGTTAAATTTTATTGGAGGTATTGAGAACTTAAGAGTAAGCGCAAACAGCTTCAAGTGTGCAAAAATGTTTAATGAGCTGAGCTGGTTTTAATTTGCATCTGATTGATGCAGAGGAAAGAGGGAGTACTTGAAAACAATACTCGATTCAAAATTTTAGGGTTTAAACTAACAGATGTTACTTAATTCTTATTGGTGAGAAATGATCAGAAAGTTTCTGTGATTCTGCAATAGTTTGTAGTTTCTATGGTTACTGCCTCCTTATAGTAGGCAAAGCCACACTGTTATCAGATGAGTGATGGTAAGTAACAAGAAAAGCTAAACCTCACCAGACTCTGACCCTCACCAGAGTACCTCGTAGTTAAAGATTATTGGGCTCAGTATACACTAAAGAAAGAAGAGTGCATTTGAAACAAAATTACTTTACACCTAAGAACACCCAAGATAATATTTTCTCTATGGTTACCATTTCAATCAATGAATTATGCCCTATACAACTAAAGATATAATGTTCAGTTCTTGTTGTGACACAGAACGATCTTAATGGATGTAATTGGTGCGTCATGAAAACTATGAGGAAGTTGTTTTTCTTTAACCCTTAACTCCCACGAGTGACCAAGACTGAATTTCTCCTTACAATATCAATACAATATCAACCAGATGAGAGAAACTGTGAGGCTTCCAAGCAAGCCCCTCAAAATTATTATTATATTACTATTGTTATCATCATTACTATTGTTAATATGACCGCTTGGTGCCATTCAATATTTTTTTAATGTCAACTAGGTACTTTATTTTTGAATCATCTTTCTTATGTGGAACAGGGTACTCAGAAATATGTTATGTAGCAGGTTTTCCATTTTGCATGTGAATACAAATACAATCTCTATTTCTGTTTAATGCCATACAAATTGTGGTACTGTATATCAGTAGCCACATGCAGTCTCAGACTGCCTATTTTCAAAACTTAGCAACACAATTATAGTCATTTACTATTTGTATCATTTGTTTATCTCTAGACTAAAACCCCTTCACTAAGAAAACTTGCTAAGCAGTTACTGAATATCAGCATTCAAGAAGGAGAACATTCTTCTGTAAGTATTCTTGGTGTAAATACTTTCTGTAGTATAAGGAAGAGACTTGGTATGAAAACGGAGCAGGGAATTAGCCCTTTAACCCAAACGAGTGATTGGCTTCCAAAATCTCCTTGCAATATCACTCTTTAATCACATGTAATGGTCAAGAGAATAATGCAAATGATCACCAAATGAAGAAGCTCCTGATTGTTCAACAAATTCTTTTTGTTAATAACACAAGAAATGTATAGAAATCAGTGTGAAGAATGTGGATGCTAATGTTAGGGTATAGAGGGTTATGGAGGTAAAGTTTTGTGGAATCCATTTTCTTGGATTTGTTTTCTCTAACTGATCAAGGAATAACAGCCAAATTAACTGGTTTTTATTGATTTTAGGCCAATTTTGAACAAAAACACCTGAAAAAAATTCACAATCCTATATATATTTATATTTATATTTATACCAGGTACAAGATGCACAGGTAGCAATGAAGCTCTACACTTTGCACAGAAAACAGTGGGAAAGACAATTACATGAAGCTAAAGTAAAGCCCTCTAAGAAAGCACTTGTAAATACACCTGTCACCTTAAGTCATGATAGATAACATAGCTACAGGGTTTGCGAAACAGTAGTGCATAATAGGATTGATTGCAAAATGGAAGACACAATGTTACCATGTAAAACGAAAATCATCAAGGTCATTTTTCACTGGCAGAGGAGTTGTCTTGGAGAATTTTTGTGTCAGAGAATTTAAAGAGTTTTTCCCTGGCTTGGTTATTTTCATTGAGTATTAGGCATCAGAGACTGGTTTTTGGACACAGCAAGGTTTAACAAGAACCTCAGTTATTCCACTTGGAGGAGCAAGTGTGAATGAAGTATTTCAAGTCTCCCAAAGAGAAGTTTAACTGTCCATTTTACAAAAAGATGGTCAAGCAAAGGCAACCATAAACTAGGGCACCATCAGCACTCAAATTGAACCTCTATTGTACCAACTAAAATTGTTTATACTTGAAAGAAGGATTTAATATAATTTTGAAATAACAATTCATGATATTATGCTATACAATACAGAACTACTGGTAATGCGATGGTAACATAGCAAAGTTGAGTCTCATTGTATTGATTTTGTACTGAATAGTTTGCAGAGCAGCCCAAATTCAACTCTTAATTTACGCACATGTAGGAAGGTGAATTGGAACAGAATTCTACTTAGAATTTTTAATTACATTTAACTGTTTGGAAATATCAGGGTAAAGAACAAACGAGGATGCTCTGATACAATTATTTCCTTAATATTTAATAGAGTTGCCTGATTACAATATCATGATAAAAGAAAACAGCAAAAAGAAAAAAGGGGAGAATGATAAAAGGCAATTACTTTGGAAAACATAATTTCCCTAGGGGCAGTGCTCACCCCTTATGAGACAGTTGATTAAGAAAATCAAAAAATGGAACAGGAGACATTTGCAAGTCAGTTTGAATTATATGGTTATTAATTAGGAGTTCAAGTTAAAAAAATAATCCTTACAGGTAATCTACAATAAAAGAAATTACAGAAAAGAATCCTTGAAAAAGTCAGGCTTGGACAGGTTATTAGTTGGGCACTTGTGGTTGGAAGTAGTGCTTAGCTAATATTTGTGAGCCACGGGCTTCTTTTCTTCTTTTCTGTAATTGAACCTCGCAGATCAATTCGCAACTTCAACATCCTTCCGGGCAACCTTTCGGGCAATTAAACTTTTTTAGATTGGTTTGTTCAAATTCTTGCTCCCCTGGGCCAGGTTTTTTTGAAAGGAGACTGAGATTTTCTACTCATTGACCAGCAATTGATTTGACTATTCAAGCTTAAAAGACCCTTTTCTTCCAAACCATCTGCTTGCCAAAGTGAAATCCTAAGTTCGTTTTTTTTCTCTTTTCACTCCTTTAATCAAACTACAACAAAATCCTCAAACGTGATTGGTCATCACCAGCCCGATTTGAGCACTAATAGGACAGTGTATGCGTCAATCAAGGGACAATTAATACGTCATGCCTGTGTAAGTGGACAGAACGCGTCATGTGCGCGCGTTGTTGCCCCCCATTTCGCCGAGTTAACTGTTTTTGTTTTTGTTTTTAATGAAAACGTATAACCGATGTCTAGTTCCTTTCTCAACTTTTGTCATAGTTCTGATAAATCGGACTCCCGCTTCGCGGCCGTCCGATTTTGTCAATTACTCGACGTATAATTACAGACTGAATTGGACTCCACTCGGTCCTATTACCATTACTATTTATAATCGTTACAATTTCCTCAAATGTGATTGGTGCATTAGCTGCTTTATTTTTCATTTATCATTCTGTACAGTTGTAATTGGACAGTTAGCTGTAATCGGACAGGCTTCCAAACAAACTTTGAAACTTTTTTTTACTCGTATCCGACACCTGTCAATTGGAAAGCACGTAAGAAAAAAAAGCGCATATACTCTTTTTAAAAATAAAAATGAGAAAAAAAAGTGACAAATTACCAAATTGAACGGACTCGCATAGACTTACCGGAAGCGTATTTGTAGTAGGCCTGAAAACTTCGCTCACCGTCTAACAACAAATAAATTGTTAGAGAGGATACTAATAATAAATGAATAAAAATTCCATCGATTAATTCAATTGTAAACATAATAACCCTACAGTTTTAACTTTCTAAGTTACTTTTGTGAAGGATTAGAGTCAATTACAAACGGTTTTTATGCCGTGTGTCAACCAATTTAATGACACATTTCGCTACCACAAATTAATTTCGAAAACAATTTTTGCTGACAACCAAAGTGATTTGAGAGAGAGAGAAAAAAAGTTATCGGCTTGATTTGCTAAAAAAATTAATCCTTCCTTGAAAATATGCTTAGCCGGCAAAACGGAATATATGATGAAAAATGGCAATGAAGCTAGGGATGTACTCGGCGACCCACGAAAACGTGATTACCGTGCCCTTGAGCAGAGATAGGAATAATTCCGGGCCGCACAAAGAACCAAACATATTGCAGGATTTGTCACCGTGCCCTCAAAGAAACAAATAAACTTCAAAAATTCTCTTGGAAACTCCAGCGGCAAGTAATTACTCCGATGCCCGAATTAAGGTTTTTAAATCGACTTCAGCATTGTTGAAAAGTCTAGTAGTTAAGCCGTAGCAAACCTTAACTTTTTCTCTCACAAATGTTATTAAGTTTTTCGTTTCTGTTAAAGAATCTGGTCAGAATCAAATGGAACAAATCAAATGTTGACCCTCAGACAAAATATTGGTAAAGAAATGATCCTTGCAAGTCTGCTGCATGCAGTTAAAAAAAAGTTTAGAAAAGAAGCATTTAAGAATTCCGGCTTCGATAGGTCTTAGATCTCTTGGTTTCTGTTCTAAATTGTTTGTGAGAATAAAGGCTTCAAAAAAAAAACAAGCATGATCTCGTGACTCACGCATTTTCCCCCAGGCGTTTATTATCAGCGTTATGCAAACATTCCTTTAGATGTTTAAAAATAACACGTGAATTGAAATTATAAACGGTGGCTGGGTTTTGAAGTGTTGACGAACTTGTTGACGGACAATGCTTTGGTTTCCAGCTTGGAAGACATCTTGCTGAACACTTAAGACGGATCAGGATCTCGGGCAAACGGTAGGTTGACATCCCAAGGTTTTGTTGGTCTTCAATCTTCCACTGATACATTTTCTGCCTGATGAATCCTAGATGTGGTCAAATAAAGTCTCTGTTGTGAACGTTAATTAGTACTGTTAATCAAGATTACATTTACACTAACTTCAAGAGACATTTTGAAGAAACTTGATGCAGTGATGTCCCAATCTCACTTATCGATCACAATTCTTGTAGGGTAACTTTCGATTCAACCCACTTGTGTAATAATTGACTAAAGAGGGTAAGATTCTAAAGAAACTGTGGTGCTGCGTCGGTGGGAGTGTATATCAGGGTAATTAAGTCTTATCAACTGAGTTAATAACGTAAATTGGCCATCGTAAAGAGTTTAAAGGCTGACGCTTCGAGCGTTAGCCCTGAATCGCTCTTATGTAGGGCTAACGCTCGGAACTTCAGCCTTTAAACTCTTTACGGTGGCCACTCTACGCGTTATCAACTCAGTTGATAACACTAAATTACCCTGTGAAATAATTGGCTTGCCATAATACATGTATGAATAAATGGTTGGTGGGTTTTGGAATGTTAATAACTATTTGATCGTAGCTAAGACCCATGGTGCCCTTAAAGTTTTCAGCTTTAAAGATATCTTGCTGAACATTTACAAGACAGACTAGGATCTCGGGCAAACGGTAAGTTGACATTCTGAGATTTTGTTGGTCCTCTTGATATACATATGAGTTGAGTGTGGTTGAATTCCAGAAAATATCACGAAACTTCCGCTTCATCAAAGCACGATTCAAGTCATGCTTGTTATTCTGACAAGGAAAAACTACTTCTGTCTTTGCTCTCGGTTGAGAGGAAATGTTTTCATTATCGACCACAGGCTGAAAAAAATTAAATTTTATCCCCACAAGTTTGTATTAAGATCAAAATATTTCATTGCAGCATACAAATTTGATAACAGAGAAAGTTAAGTTTGCTTGGTAATTAATCTGAACATGTTTGGATTTGAATCACCTCATTATAATAAAGACGATAGAATGAAAATATACAAACAAGATGGATTAGAGACAAAGTTGGATCAAGACTCTGACCCTAACCATCGGTAATATCTTCAGAAATTAAGTTCTGTCCATTAAATCTCTTGATGTTTATCGATGGACCTTGATTAAGAAGTTGCAGAATGGCCCCGTTCTTTGATATTTTTCAAGTCATTTTTACGAATCGAAATGCAAATCTCTAATTCTTATCTGAGGAAATCGGAGGTTGAGTTGGCTTATTGGCTGTCTTAGATCATTATTGTGAAAAACAGTTTCTCTAATCGAGTTTCAGTGCGGTAGCTTATTTAATCTGCTAGTTTAGAGCTGTCAAATGCGCAAAACTCCCTTTCATTTTAATTTAGGTGCGGACCAGCTGCAGTTAAAAAAGTTGAGAAAAGAAGCATTTAAGAATTCAGGCTTTGACAAGACTTGGATCTCTCAAGTTTTGATCACTGAAACTCGATATGTAACTTTAAATTCAACCTACTCTTATAATGCTTGGCTTGCCATAATACATGTATGAATAAACGGTGGGTGGGTTTGGGAATGTTAATAACTTTGTGATTGTAGTGAAGACCCACGGTGCTTACAATTTTCAGCTTGGGAGAAATCTTAATGAACATTCACAAGACGGATCAGGATCTCGGGCGAACAGTAAGTTGACATCGTGAGGTTTTGTTGGTCTTCTTGGTACACATATGAGTAGAGCGTAGTTGAATTTCAGAAAATATCACCAAACTCTCGCTTCATTAAAGCACAATTGAAGTCAAGCTTGTTATGTTAACAAGGAAAAATTACTTCTGTATTTTTGCTCAATCGGGGAGAAATGTTTTCGATATCCACCACAAGCTGCAGCAAATTATATTTAACCCCCACAAGGTTGTGTTAAAATTACAATATTTCATTGCAGCATACACATCTGAGCAAGTTAAGTTTACTTCGTAATTAAACTTGATCATGTTTTGCTTTGAATTGCTTCCTTAACGAAGACAATAAAATGGAAATATATACAAGAGCGATTAGAGACAAAGTAGAATCAAGACTCTGACCATTACCATTGATCATATCTTCAGAAATTAAGTTCTGTCCGCTTATATCTCTCGATGTTCATTTGAACCTTTATTGATAAGTTGCAGAATGGCCCTGTTCTTTGATATTTTGCGAGCCATGTTCACGAATCGAAGTGCAAATCTCTGATTCTTATCTGAGGAAATCGGAGGTTGAGTTGGCATGTACGCTGTATTAGACCATTGTTGCCAAAAGCAGTTTCCTTGATCGAGTTTCAATGCTGTAGCTAATTTGATCTTCTAGTTTAAAGCTGTGGAATGCACAAAACTCTCTACCTTTTTATATTTAGGTGCAGAAGGTCTTTTTGTGCAATGGGAAAAAAATAATCCCGTAAAATTTACAACATTCATTCATATAAGAATCAGATAGCTATTACACTGATATGTTCTCTACCTGATGAATGCTAGATGTGACCAGATGTGGTCAAATAAAGTCACAGTTGTAAACGTTAATTGAAGCTGTTAATCAAGATTACTTTCACACTAACATCAATAGACCACTGCATATACGTAGGGACATTTTGAAGAACCTTGATGCAGTAATGGCCCAATCTCACATATCGATCTCTGAAACTCGATGGATAATTGTGAATTCAACTCACTTTTGTAATGCTTGGCTTGCCATAATACGTGTATGAATAAATGGTGGGTGGGTTTTGGAATGTTTAAAACTATTTGATCGCAGCTGAGATCCACGGTGCTTTACAATTTTCAGCGTAAACGATATCTTGCTGAACATTTACAAGAGGGATCAGGATCTCGGGCAAACGGTGAGTTGACGTCCTGAGATTTTGTTGATCTTCTTGGTACACATATGAGTTGAGCGTAGTTGAATTCCAGAAAATATCGCCGAACTTCCGCTCCATCAAAGCACGATTCAAGTCATGCTTGTTATTTCAACAAAGAAAAACTACTTCTGTCTTTGTGCTCAGTTGAGAGGAAATGCTTTCGTTATCCACCACAAGCTGCAGCAAATTATATTTTATCCCCACAAAGATGTGTTTAAATCAAAATATTTCATTGCGGCATGCAAATTTGTTAACATAGCAAGGTCAATTTGCTGGGTAATTAAACTTGAACATGTTTCGCTTTTAATTATGAATAATCTCCTGAAAAAAGACAATGGAGTGAGAATATATAAACAAGATAGATAAGAGACAAAGTTGAATCAAGACTGACCATTATCATTAATAATATCATCAGAAATGAAGTTTTTTATGTACATTAAATCTCCCGATGTTCATTTGGACCTCCATTAATAAGTCGCAGAATGGCCCCGCTCTTCGATATTTTTTCAAGTCATGTTTGCGAATCAAAATGCAAAATTGGTATGTCGCAGGATGGTCCCGCTCTTTGATATTTTGCGAGCCATGTTCACGAATCGAAATGCAAATCTCTGATTCTTATCTGAGGAAATCGGAGGCTGAGTTGGCTTATGCTCTGTCCAAGATCATTATTGCTAAAAACAGTTTTCCTGATCGGGTTTCAGTGCTGTTGCTAATTTGATCCACTTGTTTAAAGCTGTGGAATGCACAAAACTCCCCTCCATTTTAATTTAGGTGCAGAAGGCCTTTTCGTTTAGAAGGAAAAATATTTTAAATGTTCAACATTCACTTGTGGAGAGCAGGTGCATTTAAGAATCAGATAGCTATTACACTGATGTGTTTTCTGCCTGATATATGTTAGATGTGACCAGATGTGGTCAACTAAAGTCACTGATGTAAACGTTAATTGGTGCTGTTAATCAGATAAGGGTAAACACTGCAAACTTGGCACTCAAGCTGATGGGATTTTACAAATACAGAAATGAGACATCTGCGTGAAAAATTACTGTCTCAAGAAGTAGTTTGAAAGGATGTGTTCTGGCATCATTCGGAGGTGGGGTGAAGTGGGCATAGGCTTGCCAGTTATTTCATACCTCTGTCCCACCTAAAAGGCCAACACATACTTTCACATCAAGAGAATCAGTATACATTCTCTTGTTTTACAGTGAAACTATAATATTGTAAGGGTAAACAACATAATTTTTAGTTTACAGAAAGCACTTTGATCTCTCCACACAACACACAAGTTGGAAGATGCTGGCAGCTTGCTTTTAGATAGAGATTAACTTCAATAAACCACTGCATGTCCAGAGACATTTTGAAAAACCTTGATGCAGATTACATACGAGGGGTGACACTTGTTTGAATATTAAGACTCCTTTCGACTTCGCCTCCAGCAAGGGTTTTTAAAGCAACAGTTGAAGAAAAATGGATTGGTAGAAAGTCTTGAGCACATGGAAGAATTTAATATATAATTTTTGGGAAAATCACTCAAATTAAAACGACATATCGGCTCAAGACGTTTCTCAAGCCATTCCTTTTAAGGTCGTAATTTGAACCCTCAAGTATCAGGCTTTGTGCACGCTTTAAAATTTTTTTTAATCTTCCCAATTTAAAGGGGATAAATTGTACAACAAAATTATGCAAAAAATATAGGTCACCATGCTTATTTAAGAGCTAAAGACCATTTCACCTCTTCACCTGGTCCATGGATTGAAAAACAATACCATGTTCTCAGAATGCACCCATGCTCATTCCCCCGATTAGGCGATTTTTATGCGCTTTACAGGATGTGCAGTGCAAAACTGAGGAATAACCTTGATATGACATCTTAGGGATTAACTGAGGCATATTTTTCTGTGCTGAATGGTGAATTACCATTATTGGATTAAACTCACAGCGCATGGATCAAAAATACAAAATGATTTGCTTCACTTATTACCTTAATTATAAACTCTTTTGCTTGATCATGAAAATAAAACTAGCACCAACCCAAGCTAATGAACAAAACTCATGTGTAAATTAAGTGGACTGAGAGTGAGGTGAAATAATCAACTTGTGAAAGAATCTCACTGAATTGGATAAGGCTTATGGTTTTAGCCATATCTTCACTGATGAGTCTCCTGAGACGATGTAGGAGGTATCTGTTTTTGTATCGGCATTGGCATTTCAAGCTTTTCAGAGTGTTCACGTAACTTGAAATGTAATCACCCAAAGTCGTAAATTGTTGGGAAAACTTTGGAGGCAAAAAAGAACCTCCTTTGTTTTTACGCAAATGTGCCCTTTTTGAATAAATTAGCAGCCTTATAAGGTATGTAAACTTTACAGATTGCCTTAAAATTTGGTCCAAAGACCCAAGATACCAAACTAAAAAAAAAACTGGAAAAATGGATCTCCACAATGGCCAGTGACGTAAATCTTTGATTAGCAAACTTTAAGTTGACAGACAAACTGCAAAGCATCTAGCAAGAATATCAAAGAATCCCCACACAGCTTTGAAAACCAACCTGTCAGGATTAAAACTGTCCAAAGGGTTTACTGGTGCTGCCAGATTTGATATGCAATTAATTCACTTAAAGAAATATTTTCCATTTATAATTGTTCTGCCTCATTCGGTTTACGATAAGATCAAGCATAAACAAAATAATTTTGCCAAATAGTGTATTTCATTACCTTTACATTGATATATAGTTTATGGTGGTTATGTTATTAATATTATGAACCTTGACATTTGAGGGAAGATGATCGATACACAAATTCTGGCGAGCTGGTTTATAATGTAAAATGTTAAGGATTATTATCTTCCTGTGCTAAATGATGTGATCATATATAATTTTTATTTCCAGCAGCCAACTTTCCAAAAAGGCAGCAGGATCTGGGTTTCTGAATACAGGAATAACTTCTTGCAGCATGGGTGAGTTTTATAACTTAAGATGTGAACTGTTTTGAGTGGGTTAATTGCTCCAATATAAACCCTTTACACCCTGATATTAGTCTCTGTATTCTCCATACTGTTCTCTATACATTTCCTCCTGCAATAAGCAAAATTTGAGCCATAAAGTATGAATTTTTCCTCCTTCTTGAGCTAACTTACAGGAATCTTGATCTTATGAATCTTAAAGGAGTTACAAAATGATATACTTCTAACATTATTAAAAATGTTAAATAAGTGGAATTAATTATAACAGTAATTATAATAATTATGAAATAATAATGATAATAACTCCTGATTCAAACACAAATATACAGTATTTTAAAAGGGAGACCCCTGAGGTTATCCTTCAAAGAAGGGCTTCCTAACTATCTAACTTTACTGTTCAAAATCTAAGTACATTTTGACAGTTCAAAATCTATCAACCAAAACAGCTTTGAAGTTTAAAACAAAAATCAAACAAAACAAAGTAGGACTAAGGGGGTAGTAAATTTGTTAATCAAATAATGTTCATTCAAATTAATAATTCACGGTTCATTAGAAGCACCTGAGTGGCTGACATTTTTTGCAAGTTACACATTTCTGAAGCAGCCACTACACTCTGTGCTTAGATCAGACAAAGCAGTAATTACTTCTCTAAATCTGAATTAAATTTTACCCTTAATATTTACATATAGTGTTTTTTGTGGCTGGCAACTAAAATGTCTCTGGAGACCAATGACCTAATTTGTTTTGAGAATACAAAGAGTATGACTAAACAGTTGGAAATTGTCTTCAAATGTTCTGAAAATTTGATTGGGGCAGCCATAACTTTGAATCATACTTTGTAACCTGAGTGCTTAGCTGTGAAATGCAAGGCCTGAATCCCCATTTTTCTGTCTTATGGCGATATACTGGTAATTGAAAATTAGAAGTTACTCCAAAAGACATTCTTATTAATTCAAGAACTGATTTTCTCTGGTTTCATCAACACTATACCAGTAACTGGTTATAAACCTCACATTATGTTTTGCATGTGCTGTTAGCAGGACATCACTATTAATAATGCTGGTGACATTCACATTTAAAACTTTTTACATATTTAAGGAAAAAGTAATATTTTAATGGTTAAAATACTCCATCTTTTAAATCTCAAACTGTGGTTTACAGTTTAATAATAATGAAAACTTTGTATTGGTAGAGATAGAAATATGGAGCATTACTTGATGATGATGATGAAGTTTTTATTGAAAAAATCAGACTCAGCAGAAGTGAGTCTTGACAGTCAAAAATCATGAATAATAGAGAAAATCTGCTATTTTCAACATGATATAAAAAGAGATAAAAAGGAATAATCAAACGTAATGGAATATGATCATACAAGTTTTAAAAGACATCTGTTGCATAAACAAGTTTTTATACATTTAATTTCTTACCTGGGGGAGTTGGAATTCATTCCCCGTTGTCCTTTGTATTCTTTTTCATTTTGGCTGCAAGGGATCTCGAGATGGATGGTTTTTCATTGTGGTGATTTTGTTAAACAGAGGTGGATCTTTGTCTTCACTCAAGGTCCATATCTTGAAGTCAGCTTGGGTGGTACATTATACACATAATACCAAGCATCTTTAGCCAGTTCTTACATTCAATGCCAGGTACTGGGTGTGGTTTAGGCTTGGTAGTCTTACTGTATATCAGCATTTCCCATTGCCACACTTTGATCACCTTTCAGATATGTGACAGGCTTATAGGAAAATGTGTTTACAAATGATTTATGTTGATATCTTTTTTAATTGGTTTCTGATTTCGTTTGTTCACTTTCAGGGAAACTTTGAACACAGATCCAGTTTGTTATGATGTCAGGACCTAGTAATGACAAGTGCAGCAGGTCAGTGGTTTGCAATGATGACCCTCCACCTCTGAGTATTACACTGAAGGAGCTTGGAGATTTGCCAAAGAAAGTGAAACGTTGGGACACAGATGATTCTACAGGTGACATTCTGCTTTTGACTGTGGAGGATTGCGAGTTCTTGGCTTGTTATCATTACTTGCGAGATTCCTTTAAAAGCTATGAGAAATCCATTGGATATTTTTACTTTGGAAAGATGGGTGACAATGAAGAGGAGTCACTGAAAGTTGCTTTAGTGAAATGTCCTAAAGAATCGTTGGATCCTGGAGGTTCTCAAACTGCTGCTAAGAATGCCATCACACTCCTGAGACCTAAGGCTACCTTTTTGGTTGGTTTCTGCTACAGTTTGAATCCTGACAAAGCCCAGCTAGGAGATGTAGTGATATCCTCACAGCTTACAATAGATCATCACAAAAATCCAGTGAGTAGGGATGTTGGTAACCTTGTCAGAAGTGCAGCTGATGGATGGAAAGCACCATTACAAAACCCAGAAGTGCAAAAGGTCAAAGTGCATCGGAATGAAGAGATTTTGAGTTGCTCTGATCTGATTGGTGCTGAACAGCGGTGTCAATTACACCCTGGGGCAATTGCAGTTGAAATGGAAGGAAAAGGTGAGAATTACTCTCAGGGTTACTCTTGCTTGGCATCTGTGATCATTATGCAGGAAATGGTTTTTGCCATAAGAAGGATTTCATGCATTCGTTGTGTTCAGTGTGTTTCGGTATAATTTAAAGGACAAAAAGAACACAATGCTCCAACAAACTCAACGATTTTATTAAACAGCGTGAAACGTTGATAAGGAGTGACTCTTAAAGACAGCACAGTAGTGATCCTTCAGTTGATAAACTTACTTAGGCCCATTACAGACTATGAGTTAGCTCACCACTGACACAATCTCACATGTGTTTCCAAACTTTCTTGAAGTGAACAATCTTCCACAGAAGCTCTCTTTCTATAAAACTTTCTAGACGTCTGATCACTCCTGACAACAGCAACAACTACTACTACATGACTGAGTCCTTATTTACATTTAGAAAGTATTCCAGAACATTTTGGAAGCTTACAACACAACTGTTTCTGTAGTAATACATCATAACAATCAAATATTTTATTATGTAAGGATACATAAAAGGAACGTCGGAGGTTATCCCTATCGAGGACGCTCCCTATATAAAATAAATATAATACAATGTAAAATTTAAGAATAATTAAGAAATGGCTAAAAAAAATTTGCAAAACTTTACGATACTTTCTAAGTTTACTTCAAAAAATGCTGAAATCCTGTTCGTGCACTATCTCTTTGGGAAGAGAGTTCTACTGTATAATAATTCTAACAAAGAATGAGTGCAAAAAAAAAACAATTTACCCTAGCTATTGGCTGTCTTAATTTAAATGAATGGTTTGATCTTGTTTTACCATAACAATTAAATTCAAAATAATCATTACAGTTGAGGCCATTAAGACCATGAATAGTCATGTAGCACTCTAGCAAAGATAGATTAGACCTCCTTGATTGAAGACTGGACCACCCAAGCATTGTCAGAATTTCTTCGTACGGAGAAACTACGTTGGACTCGTTCAAGAGCGTCAATGTTCTTCTGTAGATAGGGTGACCAGAGAGGGACAGCATATTCTATACTAGCGGAACCTAGGTAACCGCTCATAAAAGAAGAAAGAAAACAATGAAAAGCTACATAAAATAAAGAAACGAGAAACTCGAGTACCGCGAGATTCGTAGGTAAAATGAAGATTCATTTTTAACCGACGCTGTCCACGGCGTCGCCGTCGTCGTTTCTTAAACTCCGTAATTAGACAGCGCGAGCACCTACATGTAATACTGATCACTCAGAAATAGGTAACTACCTACTCCTAGCCTAGAATAAAGATGCACCATCTAGATCAAAGAAACTATTCTCAGAGAAACAGTACATCTATTTAATTGACACCTGTTTAAAACACGTGCTGGCCACGTGCATGAAGGAAAAAAATGCAGTTAGGCTGTTAGACATCATATTGTTTGCGCGCTTTCTGCCTACTTTCGAGGGAGCCGTATTTCAGTTTCAACTGAGTTAAACGAGTTTGTTCTCATTTTTGGAAATCCACAAGAAAGAAGGAATCAAGCTAATTATATACGCTTAGAGTAAACGTTTTTTAAACTATAAAGCTTCTACTCACATCAAGCGATTCTACGAATTCAAAGTAAAATTATGCATTAATACTAAAGCAACCCTTATGAGGTCACTCGTCACAACACTTGAAACCTTTTTTTGTTAGTCCGGCATGCCAACGATCTTTCAGGAATCGAACCAATCCTATAGCTAAGAAGGTGCTGTAGTGAAATCAATTTTGAATCGAAAGATTCACTTTCTGTTCATAGCTTTGAAATTTTGATAACACAATTTCAAAGCCACCTGGCAAGTTAGCGAAAGTTTATTTTTTTCTTTACGAGATCATTTATCCTGAAAAAGTAAAATTATACAGCATACCCAAGCAACCTCCTTTTGTTCGTCCTTCGCAATCAGATGGCCTTATGAGCAGCTAAAACATCTTTTTCATGGGTAAATTTGCTACAATGTAGACTGGGGTTTGAATATCTGCTGATGCTAACAGCTATCATAGCGATTATTCTAAGCACTGCTCAAGCTTATTGAAGGTCGTGACCGCTAAATTTCTAAACATGCTAATCACGATAAAATAGGTAAAGCGGGTTGAGGCTACAGAAATAGTTTCCGCATAACATCTTAAGTTGTTTTCGTATATTCGCACTACTTTGACTTACTTTAAGATGAAATACGATTTTTTTCCAAGAAATCAAATTGCACTGATTTCTTCTTACGGATAAGCCTAAACTAGATTTTGCATCACGATAACCTGTCGCTGTAATTTTCACTTAAAAGAGAACTGCAATGTTACAATGTTATCTAATAAAATGTTCTAGAAAGTTCAATGGTATATGCATTTCAGCATGACTAGCTAGGCATTCTTAGAAATTTCTAGAAACTTGTTTTAATAGTCACTATCTATAACAAGTGCAATATAATGTTACCAGGATCACTCATACAAAGCTGACCAAACCCAATTACACAAAACGGTCAATTACATGTAACCGAATGTAAAATCCTTTTCCTCCTTTTAATGTGTCTGCTTTGGGCCTAAGCACTGATTGGCACTAGTGAATTAAGATGGAATCATCATTCATATCTTTATAATGTAACTTTCTGATCTCGTCCAAGTGACCCAGTAAGCGAATAATTACCAGAAATATGATTTTTCCCAGTCATATACAAAGGCGTACTGCAAGCAAGAAATAAATTTTCAGTAGTCCCAGAGGTTTTCAAACATAATTTTTATTACATTGTACCCCCAAATTGATATTCTCAATCTTTACCTCTGAGCTACAGGGTTAGAGAGGAGCTTCTGGTTGCTACTTTGTAAGGCTAAGTTTCTGAAGGAGGAAAGAAAGTTAGCAATTTTTTTGTATGCATAAGTGTACAATGATAATGATTTTTACAGTATACCCTCCACTTTGATGTTCTTAAGCTTTACCTCTGAACTACAGGAGGATCTGGTTGCTAAACTATTAAGCCAGGAGGAGGGGAGGTACTCAGCAACTTTTTGTAGGGGAGTGGTCAGCACAGGTGCATAATGGTAATCTTTATTGCACTGTATCCTCCAACTTGTCATTCATTCAAGCCTCACCTCTCAACCATTCACAGCTTCTGATTGCTAGACTATTAAGCCAGGTTCTTGTTGGAGGTGAGGTACTCTATACTTTGTGTTTGGCAAAATTCTTTCCTGAATTCCAAATCCTTATTCTTTGCTATACTGCTTCTGACTAAAAAGGTACCTTGCCCTACTCATTATACTCTTTAGAAAGAGTGGTGCTAATTTATATACCTGCAGAAAAACACAATATCTCTTATAGTATTCCAATATTACAAAGAACAAACAAAAAGAATGATCTGCAGAAAAACAAAGCCTCTTTTGCTCAAATTAATTGTAACTATCTCCCTATAACATTACTGTTTAAATCCATTCCAATTGTTATTGCTTATTTTTTTCATTTTTCTACCTCAGGCCTGTTTGCAGCAGCTCATGACATGAAGATGGAGTGGCTGGTCGTTAAAGGTGTTTGTGGTTTTGTAGATGGTGTTGCAACTACAAATAATTCATGGAAGACTTTTGCATGTGTTATGGCAGCATCTGTTGTATCAAGCATGTTGAAGAACTCTTTTGTGTTTGGAGACTGGCTTCATTATGGAGGTACGTGTACATTTTTGTAACAGCTTTGGTTGTGTCTTCCAAGAGATTTTGTACCTTACTTGTTTTCCTTGGTATAGAATATTATTATCTGCTGATGAGAACATGGAGACCAACAGTGGAATTTAATGTGTATCAGAAAACTGAAAAACATACACATTCTTTGTTTTTCAATCGCATTGCCTTAAAAGAGAACTTTTAAAAAGTCTGAGATACGAACAAATTCACTTTGGTAGCTTTAATTTCAATTTTGAAGACATAAATAACATTCTAAAATTCAAGATTAGAGGGGGTTAAAAAGAAATTACTCAATTATGTTGAGTAAGTCTTGTGTGTTTGGAGACTGGCCTCATTATGGAGGTACGTGTTCATTTTTGAGCTTTGGTTGTGTCTTCCAAGAGATCTTGTAACTTGTATCAAGGAAAGTGGCTCAACATTGTTAACAATAGGCTTTGTTATACAAGAGAAAAATGATCCTATATAACCCTTGCTAAAGCTGTTGAGATATTTCCATGTTTGAAACTGTAATCGTTTAGATTAATCAGAATTTTGATTCTACTATGGAATAAGGTAAAGATGCAAAAGAAATTGAAACTGAAGTGCTCAATAGATATACTGTATGTGGTAATCTATTCATTGCTAACAAGCTCTCTGTTTGATTGGTGTTGCCTCAATATCATGTTCTCACATTTCAATGGTCATATAGGTAACAGGTAAAAGAACCTTGCTATAGTAGGATTAAATTTGACTGTTACAATTTGACAGATAGTGAATTGAAAATTAAGGTTGAGTTGGATGACTTGAAACCTGAAGAGCAGAATAAGCAGATGGCATGCTGGCAACAGAGCAACAGGGAAAAAGTGATAAAAATATTTTATCATAAGTTATTATGGGAAGTTGTTGTGAACAGTTATAACATTTGTGTGATAAATCTTCAAAGAATTATCTCAGTGCACTCATGTGGCATCAATGAATTAATATAATTGTACACAGTTCCACTTATGGGAACAGAACATTTGAAGAGAGGCTGTGAATGCTAGTCTCTCTCTGCATTTTTTACCTTTAGATACTACACCCCACACTGTAGTACCCACCACTGGTCATGGAAGAGAACTAGAAGAATCAAGGGGAAGGACAGGTGAACAGGATGCTCAGTTTGAACTTATTTTTCAAGTTAATTTAATTGAAACATGGTTCTTCATGTTGGTTGAGTTTTTCTTTTTGTTATTGGGAAATAAAAAACCACTTTTAAGTCCATTTAGTTGATTTTAACTGGTATCAAACCATGTTGAAATGAATGAAAAGGTGTGGGGTTTACCACTTTCAGTTGTTTTTGTTGACTCATTGAAGCCTAGCATAAGCTCCAGTTTGGTTTCAGTTCCCCCTCACATGCTCCAATAAAAAGGAAACCAACATGGCAAATCACTGACTTGTTGTTTTGATGTATTGATATTGAAGAAGTGGAAGAATTCATAGGTGCATAAATTAGCCAAAAAAGCTGTAGGACTGAAGCTGTTTGGAAAAGAAAGGAGAAATGAAAAAAGAACCTGAATGTAGTTTTAGTCATCTTTTGAAATAGAAATTAATGTTATTAATACCAAGAAAGCTTCTGTCAGCAATTATGAAAAATAATACTGGTCAATGCAAATTATTTCAAAGGTGTTTTTACCTCATGCTCTTCTCTAGTTTAAGGAAGTGCTGAGTTCACCTGTGAAAATGAACATATAAATAAATACTTACTTGTAGACTGAAAAATTTTTTAGCTGTTCTCCACTTTTTTTTTTCTTTTTTTCTTTTTTCAGTTTTTAAGCTTCTTGGTTTAAAAAAGGCAATCTATAGTGCTCATGTACCTATCGTTAAATACAAGCTGGTATGCTTGTTTCTTACTATTTAAATAAAGAAAAGTCATCGAATGCTAATCTCTCTCTGTATACCTTTGTTTTTAGACACGGTTCCTCTCCTTGTATCTCCCAAGTGTGATCCTGAAGAAGAACTAGAACCAGGAGAGCTACGTATGGAACTTCCAAGAATGAAAGGTGAATAAAAGATACTGTTAAAGGCTAAAATATTTTAAAAATAAAACCTGTATGTTGTCGACAGTCGGTCATCATCAGGGTGATGATGACCAAGTGTCGAAAATGTTTGTTTTTTACTTATTTTAGCCATGTATATAGCTCAATGCCATTAAATGTTTTCGTATTTTTTCCAGTAATTAATTTCAAGAGAAATTATTTCCTATCTGAGATATCAACTTTTTTTTCTGTCGTTTAACTTTAATCAAAGAATGCTGTGAAGTGCTCTCAGCCGTTATTCGATAACTTACACTAGCTCAGAGGTAGATGGCCAACGCACACGTAAAACCTTCGCACGTTTTTCGCGTTCTGCGGCAAAAAAAAAAAGGGCGTGCTAAAGCGTGTGTCTTAAGAGAGTTTTTGCTATTGTTGTTCAACGCAGTCAGCTTGTTTTGTTCAGCACTGTTTCGGAAAACTATGGTTTTCTGTCTCAAAATGCTGCCAGCGAAGCATCAAATCAATATGTGCATATCTCAATATCAAAAGGACGCAAGGGCTGCCGTTCGTAAGGGCCGTGCACGGTGGCGCGAGCAGGGTGTATTAAAAGCTGCAGTGCCAAGCATGCGGCTCAGCGATAAGACAGTAGAATGGGAGGCAGCCAAACCCAGATAAAAATTGGCAAATTTTCCTCCAATTCCAATATTTGTTATTTCTACTTGATGTTAATTGCAAGTATTGGGAAAACTTCGAGTTTGAAATGTTTTCAAATTTCGCTGGCAAAAATTAAATGTGTGCGTCACAACTAGCTGTGTCTACAGACTCTGGTCTAAACTGACTAGTAGACCTATGAGTTCGATCGAACTATCTCAATTGTTTTATAACTGTTAATAGTTATGTCTTTGATCGTGCAAATCACACCCGCTAGAAAATGAAAAGTGCACGAAGACAATTAGTCGTTTATCCTGCTCAGATAGCTTATCGTTGATAAAAAGAAGCTTCGGTGAGAGGGTGATTTATCTTGTGATGAAAATCAAACAGTTCCACAGCGATGGACCGTGAAGCCTGAGGTTCCTTGTTAAAAGAGAATAAATATTTCATTTTTGCATGCTCAAATCCATCTGAAGTTATAGAGGTGAGCGCGCAAAACCGAAATAGATTCACTGCGGAATAAACTGCCAATTGGTTTTCCATATCAGTTTATGAAAAGTTGATTATCGCGCACAGATAGCTTACCGATTAAAGAAAGAAACTTAGGCTCTACTGGTATGAATCTTGTTATGAAAATCCATCTTACCGGATGGTTGGATACAGAGGCCTGACGTTCCCTGTTACAAAATAATGTTATTTTTTCATGTTCAATTCCATCCTTGGTTATAAAAGTGACACGTACAAAACCGAAATTCATTCTCTTGAGTTGGAACACTCGAATCTTCTGAGTAAATGCTGATTCGCTCTCCATATCTCCCTCTCATTAATTCTCCCTTAGTATTAGATTTCCGTATTGAATTTTCGGCAGTCGCATGAAGACTGAGCAGTTTAACTCTCACAATCTTCTGCAAGATTATAGATATATTTTTGATCAATATTGACATTTTGTGAAATGAGAATCATTATAGTTCACGTCTCGTACATATTTAATCACTTAACGGAAAAAAAAGATACCATTTTAATCTTTTTCTCAATCGTATTTGATAATCGATCAGTTCCTATTCTCAGTCATTTTGTTAAATACTTTTGATCTCGGTTTTCATTTTTCCTAATCACAAATTGGCAGTAACAGTGTTTAATAGAAGGTCTTTGTAAAGTTAACCGTTAGCCGTAAAACGGCCAAAAAATTAGCCGTTCGTCGTAAAAATTGACAAATCGTAACCGCTAGTCGTAAAAGAGTTAACTGTAAGAAAAATTTATGGTGACAACAATGAAAAGATATTAACCGTTAGCCGTAGAAGCCATGCCAACACCCCTTTACGACCCTCTTTATACTTAGAAAGGGGTATTCAAGGGTTCATTGGAAGATTTTAACCCCCCTATCCCACAATTCCTGATAATAACCCACTCCCCCTATGCAGAAAAAATTGTCACTCCATTATTTTCCCGATGAGTTACGAGCTTTTCCGCCTCCCTTCGGCCAAAGTCCCTCAGTACTACCAATTACAGAAGGGCTTTTATTTGATGCTTAACGGAAAAGTTGAGCCAGAAAAATAGACCATTTCTTGATACGCTTGCTTGTTGTCCTTTGTAGAGAGTATCGTTATCTGCTGATGAGAACATGGAGAGCAACAGCGGAGTTAAATAAATATCAGAAAACTGAAGAACATAAGCATTCTTTGTCTTTCAATCGCATTGGTGTGAAAAGGAACTTTCAAAAAGTCTGAGATATGAGCAAATTCACTTTGGTAGCTTTAATTCCAATTTTGTAGTCATGGATAAGGTTCTAAAATTTCAGATTAGAGAGAGTTTATCCCCCTGCCCTCCTAATTATTGTTTTCGTGTCCAGACTCTTGTGCGTAGTAAGATGAACCCAAATTTTCTTTGTTTGCCTTTCTACGAAATACCTAACTGCTACTGAGGGGGTTAAAACTTTGTTGAGATCTAAATCTTAGCTTTTATTCCGTTCTAATGAATTTCAATTTTTGAAGTCCATCAATTTTCTCTTCTCTCTTTTAGAGACGAGATTTTGATCTTCAATCAGCACTTATTTCGACTCCTGCTTGTTACCCATTTCACAAATTTAGTAAGATGTGTTTTAATGCTCATTACAGTTTGACTTTCCTTTCCCTTTTGCAGACATTTCAGCGGGAGAGGAGAGTTGTAAAAGTGGTGATCCTTCAGAAAATAAACGTAGAAGGCTTGCAGGTATTATAATTATCAAATGAAGAAATTTCATATTAAGCTTACGTTTTAATAACTTATATTATACTTATAGTGGTGGAGTGTCCGAGCGCGGAATCTGGATGTGTTAGGTTCTATTCCTGGTGAGGACTCAAAATTGTTCCTTTGTCTCACGCTTGTGACAAGACAGTCATACTTCTTTCCTTTCCCTTTTCTCATGCCAATTTGTCATTCTTGTTCAAGAAACAGTACTCCGCAAAATTTTATGAAATTAAAATTCATGAAGTTTTTGTTTTTACTTCGGCCGCTTCGTTTTCCAACATTATTGATCCATGTGAATGAAAGTGATCCTCGCAGTAATTTGCACTACTTAGGCAGTAGTGAAAATAAGGCCTGAAAAAAATTCATTTCTCTGAAATTTAAGAAGAGCTACCGAGAAAGGTAAAACTTAAGGAACAGAGTTTGGATTTGTTTTTTGCAGGGGGGAGGGAGAGAGCGCGGTGGCAAGGGTGAATTACCTTACTCCTTTCATGCCAAGGAAACTGAACTTGAGTTTGTGTGGCTTTACAAATTTGTCATCGTGTGCATATTCGTTCTTTCAATAAAAGTTAACTCCTGATTTTTTTCTTAAATATTTCTTAGAACCGTTGACTGTTTGGTAGCATTTTCCCTCTGGGAAGAAGACCACCGACGCCCCCAATAATACACCTAGAAATTTCTGCCTTAAAAATTCACTCACTACACAACTGCCATCTGTAAGCGTGAGGTTATAGATATATTTCTGTTCACTGATGCACAGTACGGATGCATAATGCAATGGCGCGAATTGGCCTTGAAACAAATTCATTAGGAGACGTTTCATTAGGAAAGGAAAAAAGCTTCATTGCTACAATAAATCTGTTGGCTCAAATAATATGTTCTGAGCTAATTATTTTTTTTACATTTGTTATCATGCAGGTGGTTCTCCTAAACATTTTCGTCGGTCAAAGGTGAAACACCGTGATGAAGAGTCGTCTCCCATCTTCCTTTTCCTGCTTTTTGTAAAAATAAAACTGCGTGGATCCAGGAAAATGACAGGAGTAGATGCGGTACGTACTACCCGCTATCCTCTCATCTCTATGCTTCCCTGTGATGTCTATATGTGTTAAGTTAAGCAAGGAGTTCCCAGCGACGAAGATTTAGAGTGGCTTTACCCAAGTTGCTTATTGCATGAAAAAGAGTTTTTTTAGAGCTTTTCGCTCGATTGTAAACTAGAGATATAAATGGTATGTCACCAAATCCGTTTACGTGGCAATGCAGTACGTACTACCCGCTATTCTCTCATTTTGATTCTTTGCTGTGATGCCATTATGTGTTTAGTCAAGCGAGGAGTTCCCAGCGATGAAGATTTAGAGTGGTTTTACCCAAGTTGCTTATTGCATTAAAAAGAGTTTCTTAGAGCTTTTCGCTCGATTGCAAACTAAAGATATAAGTGATATGTCACCAAATCCGTTTACGTGGCGATGACAGTTTTTTCTTACTGGCTGAAAGCACAAGAAATCTTCTGTCCGCGTATGTGGGCGTGGATTTTTCGTGTAAAACAGTAGGGATGCGTGATGGAATGGCACAAATTGGCCTTGAAACAAATTAATCAGGAGACGTTTTATTAGAAAAGGAAAAAGCTCCATTGCTGCAATGAATCTGTTAGCTCAAATAATATGTTCTTGTCTGATGATTTTTTAAAATTTGTTATCATGCAGGTAGTTCTACTAAACATTTTCGTCGGTCAAAGGTGAAACGCCGTGATGAAGAGTCGCCCCCGAGTGACGCCTTAACTCCGAAGAGAAGAAAAACTCGTTTAGCAGGTAAAATGAGGACATATCTATGGGCGTGCCCGTTAACCCCCAACCCCATCTTCCCTTTCCCTGCTTTTGTAAAATAAAAATGTGTGGATCCAGCAAAATGGCATGAATTGATGCGGTACGTACTACCTGTTATCATTCCATCTTGATGCTTTGCTGTGATGTCTTTATGTTTTTTGCCAAGCAAGGAGTTCCCAGCGACGAAGATTTAGCTTTTCATCAGGGAAAAGCCCCATTGCTACAATGAATCTGCTGGCTCAAATAATATGTTCTGATCTATTTATTTTTTTTACATTTGTTATCATGCAGGTGGTTCTATTAAACATTTTCGTCGGCCAAAGGTGAAACGCCGTGATGAAAAGTCGTCTCCGAGTGACGCCTTAACTCCGAAGAAAAGAAAAACTCGTTTAGCAGGTAAAATGAGGACACATTTATGGGTGTGGCCGTTAATCCCCACCTCCACCCAGACTCCCCAACCTCATCTTCCTTAACCCTGGTTTTGTAAAGTAAAAATGTGTGGATCCAGCAAAATGGCATGAATTGATGCGGTACGTACTACCCGCTATTCTCTCATCTTGATGCTTTGATGTGATGCCTTTATATTTGTGGTTGCGATGAAGATTTAGAGTGGCGTTGCTCATTTATGAAAAAAGAGTTTTTAGAGCTTTTCCAAACTCCAGCTTCTTTTTCTTACTGGTTGAAAAAAAACAAAGAACAAGATATCTTTTAGACATGGTTTGATGCTATCCATTTAATGAATGTAATTTATAGAAATCGAACTGGTTTTATATGATCACTAATTAGTTTTTTCTGAGGAAGTGTAAATAGGCATCACGATTTAAAGGAGCGTGGGCGGATAAATTTTTGGCGATTAGTGAATAGTTAATGGTTGGTTAGGCATGTGTGTTCGATAAAGCTATCAGTTTTAGGTGGCCTGGAAAATGATGCAACATAATGCTGGCGTGAATTGTTCTTGAAACCTACTTTCAGAATGCAGAAAAATAACAGGGTGGTTCTAAAACATTCGCGTACGCCGTTGCAAACTTCATATCTCTTTTTAACAACTCTTCCTTCCCCTGCCTTTGTAAAATAAAAATGCTGTACGTACTACTCGCTATCTTTCTTTATGTTTTTTAGTTAAGCTTCCCAGGATAGTTTTGGTTTGAAAAAGTTACAGAATGTTACTACATTGGAAGAGAGGAATGGCTCAACTGCAACATACACGATCCTACATGATGCACTGTGTCATCCATTGGTTAAACGCACAGATTTAGCTGAGCACCTTATGACTGGTAATATACCACTTATCTTGATTTTTCTCGAATTTTTTGTAAAGTAGTTTTCTGGTAGAGTAAAATTCACTCACTACTTAACTGCATGTAAGCGTAAATGATAGTTTTTTTCATCAGAGATAAATTTTTCGATGAATAGTTAAGTCACCTACTAGAATGCCAAACAACTCTGTCTTTCTAGGATAGTTTTTTCAAGTATTTTTTCTCGAAAAAAAAAAAAAAAAAATTCGGTTTGTGTACCCAGGCCTTCTTATCACGTATAAAACGATATCTCAGTGTAACATGTAGGTATGCGTAATGAAATGGCCCTAAACGACGGGAAAACCTATGTACAAGCTTATCTATTGAACGAGAAAATCTGTTCCAATTTTTTTTTAACATTTGTTAAGAATGCGATACAACTGTGCACGTGCTACAAGTGCTCTTACAAGTTTTCATTTTTAGTGAATGTCTATGTTTTTCCCCTAAGTTGATTATTGTATGGAACATATTTTTCTTCAAGTTTCTCGCTCGATTGCAAACAAGAGATATGAATGGTAGGTCGCCAAGTCCGTTTACGTGGCGATCATAATTTTTCTTCCTGGGAGAAAAAAAAAAACAAGAAATCTTCCGTTCGCGTAGATGGGCGTGCATTTTTCGTGTAGAATGATACACAGTAGGGATGCATGCATTCCTGGGAGAAAAAAAAAGAACAAGAAATCTTCCGTTCGCGTAGATGGGCGTGCATTTTTCGTCTAAAATGATGTACAGTGGGGATACATAATGCAATGGCGCGAATTGGCCTTGAAACAAATTCATCAGGAGACGCTTGTTGCCTTTGGTATAGAATATCGTTATCTGCTGATGAGAACATGAAGACCAACAGTGGAAATTAATGTATATCAGGAAAATGAAAAACATATGCATTCTTTGTTTTTCAATCGCATTGCTGTGAAAAAGAACTTTCAAAAAGTCTGAGATAGGAACAAATTCACTTTGGTAGCTTTAATTCCAATTTTGAAGTCATGAATAACGTTCTAAAATTCAAGATTAGAGAGGGTTAATAAGAAATTACTCACTTCTGCATCTTCATTGTGTTTAACGAGTCTTAAATCTATTTTCTTTGTACTAGATTGTAGGTATTACAAATCGCTGATTAAGCACGGTTATGAACTACCCCCTCCCCCTGCCCTCATAACTATTGTTTTCGTGTCCAGACTCTTGTGCGCAGTAAGATGAACCCAAATTTTCTTTGTTTACCTTTCTACGAAATACCTAACTGCTACTGAGCGGGTTAAAACTTTGTTGAGATCTAAATCTTAGCTTTTATCCGTTCCAATGAATTTCAATTCTTGATGTCCATCAATTCTCTCTTCTCTCTTTTAAACTGTGATCAGGCTCACATGAGATTTTCATCTCCACTCAGCACTTATTTCGACTCCTGCTTGTTACCCATTTCACAAATGTAGTGAAGTGTGTTTTAATGCTCATTACATTTTGACTTTCTTTTCCCTTTTGCAGACATTTCAACAGAAAAGGAGAGTTGTAAAAGTGATGATCCTTCAGAAAATAAACGTAGAAGGCTTGCAGGTATTGTAATTATCAAGCAAAGAAATTTCATATTAAGCTTACGTTTTAATAACTCATATTATACTTATAGTAATGGAGTGTCTGAGCGCGGACTCCAAAGGTCGGAGGTTCTATTCTTGGGGAGGACTTGATTTTTTTTGTCCAACGCTCGTGGCAAGACGATAAAAGATATTTCCTTATTCTTTTATCATAACAATTTATTATTCTTGTCCTGGTTTACTTCAGCTGCTTCAATGCCGAAAATTAGTGATGGATCATAAAATGAAAATAAGATATTGTTTTGGAGCTTCTCCCCTCGCACTTAATTCGGACTTTGCACTCGCCCCAACCTTTCCTCCATTTGACTGAAAAGCGCCAAAAACTTGCGTCTGTTCTGCAGGCAAGAGTTCGTGTGGTTTTGGAAACTTGGCGTTGTATGCTTACTCATCCCAGCAATAAAAGTTCATGTTTCTTTTCTCTATTTTTCAGAACCGTTGAATGTTGAGAAGTGCCAAGAGAAGCTAAAATCTTATTATGACACCTTTAGTAAGGTGAAAATCGTTCCATGGGACGAAAGCTCTTCCATTGAGATTAATGAGATCTACACACCTTTGAATTGGGTGAGAGATCACAGGAAGCCCAGCGGAGTGACACAAGAGGAACTTGAAGACTATACCGACATGTTCAAGGGAAAACATACACGAATGCTTGTTTATGGTCGGCCAGGAATTGGAAAGAGTACTTTTTGTAAGAAGGCTGCATATGATTGGTCGAAAACCTTAAAAGAAATCCTAAAGAACTTTAGCATTTTGCTTCTGATTAAGTTGAGAGATGTGTGTGACGTGGGAAACATCCGTGATGTTTTACGTGCGTCTAAATTGCTGGCCAGTGATGGTCCGATCTCAGTTGATAGTCTCTATGATTACATAATTAACAATCAAGATGAAGTGCTCCTTATTTTGGATGGCTACGATGAGTACAGCTTTGCAGAAGAACACTCACCCATCCTTGCAATTTGGAAGGGTGAGCAACTAAGAGATTGTCACGTCATTGTCACCACGCGTCAACTTGCATGTGATAAGTTAAGAGGCCCGAGTCACGTTCAGTTAGAAATTCAAGGATTCAAAAGCTTGGAACGAATAAAAACCTTTGCGAGAAAAGTTTTGGCAGATGAACAAGATCCTAACGAGTTTATGCACTACCTGGAAGAAAAAGATCTCGTTGACATGGCAGAAATACCTCTCCTCCTACTGATGTTGTGTATTTTGTGGAAAGAGAAACATCACGTAGGACTGCCAAAATCACGGGCCGATATATTCACACAATTCATTCAAACTATGCTGGATCACAAAGATGGAAGTCACCAGCCTATGCCATTTCAGAAAGTGACCTCAACAGAAGCTAAAGAAGACTTTAGTAATCTTGGAAAGGCTGCCTTTGAAGCACTTCTGCAAGACCGTCTTTACGTACGCTGCAGCGAACTCCCCAGTAATATTTCAAGAAGTTTTGAAAAATTAAGTGAAGTTGGGCTTTTCCAGATTGTCAATCTTACGAGTCTCAATCCTGAGAAAGGGGCCTATTTCATTCATAAATCCGTACAGGAGTTCCTTGCAGCCTGGCACATTAAGGAGGAAGTGTTGTCGATTAAAGGAGAAAATACGCCTAGCCTTTCCAAAGTTGAATCATTTGAAGAGATCTGGAAGATGAAAGAAGTTCTGAAATTTGCCTGTGAGCTGTCAACAGAAGCCGCGTGCGCAGTTTTCCATCATATGGGGTCTGTTGGAAGAAAGGAATCTATGTCGGAATGTGATTTTGTTGAGTGTTTTCTGGAGCATGGAATACTGGATCGAAATGAAGCACTTTATCTTGAGCTTATCTCGCATAGCTACGTTTATTGTTCGGCCGAGAAGAGGCTGGATCTCTGCTCAGTATTTCCCTCTTGCACCGGAGGTGTTTTGTATCTTGAGTCTAACACGGTGAACATTACTGCAAATGAACATTTGCTGAAATCTAACATGATACCCGACTTTATCTTTTTTCCTCTCAGCGTAAATTCTTCAGAGAAAAGCTATCGAGACTTGATCACTGTAGCGGAGGACATAAATGCAGTATTTTTGAGCTGTTCGGGCGAAAAGAAAGCCGCAGATTTATTGAAGAAGTTTCCGCCTCTTTCTTTGGATAATTTCTTTTTGGAGAGAGAGAGAAAAATCGTCGTTTATGTTAAACACATATTTAAAGAGGCTGGTGACTTTTTTCCTACTGAAATGCTGCGAGAGCTCATTTCGCCAACAGCAGAGTCTACTCAGGTGGCGCGTCTTGTTGATCCGTTGAACGAACACGACAGCGAAACAGCTTCGAGTTTGACTCAGAACAGCCTTTCCTGTGTGAAGAATATTTATATTATCGGTATAGATAGGCAAGAGATGAAGGTGGTGGCTGATTGCTTACCACTTTTCACTGCTCTGGAAGATATGGCTATTTTTGGTAAATCCTTTAAAATCATTGATGCTCAGTTGACAGAGACCCTGGTGTCTCGTATCATCTTCACTGACAGATTTGACACATTAGAACTTGTTAGCATCAATTTAACAGCCAAACCTGCCGCAGTCATCGCCAGATCTCTGCACCAGTCTCCTAGCCTGAAACACCTCAACTTGTCAGAAAACCCTCTTGGTAAAGGAGTTAGTGTTCTTACTCAACATCTCAGCCGTGTTCCTCACCTGGATAGGCTGTACCTTTCTGATGTTAAAATGACAAAGCAGCAAGTGAATGAATTGAGTGCCGCTGTACGTCAGAGTAACATCCGCCTGTTTAACACAAAATACCACGTAAGTTTTGTGATCGTAGTTTGCATAATTGTAGTCATAATTCTTATAGATTCTGTTCAATTTCCTGTGGTGTTGTTTTAAGAATTTTTACGCCCTTGGTTCGCGGAGCAATTGCGATGTAGCTATCTCCAAGCCACAAGAGGCACTTGCGCATTTCCGAAAAACACGTGTGCGGGCAACAGTCAAAGTTGAACTGAAATGGAGCATCTTCTAAATGGATTCCTTAAGAATCCCCCGTCCCAAAAAAAAAGAATGAAAAAGTCCAGTCCATAATTCGCAGCTCAGTTTCGTTCCGTTTTAATCATGCTTTCATAACATTCTTTTGTATTTTGTCGCAACAAGCCGACTCGCAAACGGTTCGTAAGAGAGGAAATCCAAAGCGAAGCAAATATTGTGGCTTTTTAATGATTTTAACGATTTCAATTACAAAGTTTTACATTCCGAATTATTGAAAAGGCTTACATGCATGAGAACGTTATACTGTCACTCTTTGTCGCTACCATTTAATCTGTTAAACTTGGAAGCAAAGCAAGTCATTTTTTTTCAGTGAAGATGAGAGCCCATTTATTATCTTTGTTTACGTTTGAAGAAGAGTGAATTCTAAAGAGTGTAGTCTGTTTTTGAGTGTCTTAAACAATATTATTTTGTGTGTCTACAGTGGAAACACAGAAACAGGATGCACTTCATTCCTAATTCATCCCATTAACCTCGATAAATCTATTCCTTTTATAATTAGGACCAGAGAAAAAAGGAGAAAATAAAGTAAAACGAAAGTAAATGCGTTACCACTCTGTGCGCTTGAATGTGAGGACGGCCGCGTGTTTTCAGATATTACTTTTGTTTATTCGTTTAGCTATTCTTTTCCTTCGGAAAATGGTCTTGATTTCCGTAAGGGCAACAGAATGGAGGGAGTAAACAATTGCTTGTACTTACCATGAACTGAGCATCTGTCTGTAAGAAATGATTTGAGACCCTAGTTTTTTCACTTTGTTTTATTTACAGCTCTTAGGAGTTGTTAAACAATGTCATACTTTAAAGCTGATTCAAGCTTCTCTCTGATGGAGGAAAAGCTAAACTTCAAAGGAAATGTGGTGTGTTTCTGGACGCTCTGAGAAAAAAAAAATTGTAATACCTGAGTATTCCCTTAGAAAGAGCTTCTGGAATAGTATTTGGGAGTTTTGTAGAAGGAAGGTTAGCATAAATCTGTAAATTTTATTTGATTGATTAACTCAGTGGTTTACTATATCAATTAGGTTTTGAAAAAATGCTGTAAAGGCACCACAGAATTTTTTCCCTTAAACTTCCTTTCACACAGATTTTCCTCTTCTTCCTCTGGTCCTAACCAAAAGTTACCGGGAACATTGTCGATTAGAAAAGAAATGACCAAGGGCTTCCCCTTGAAAAGTAGTAGAGAAAGAATGCTACCACTGTAAGAGAGATACTGGTTCAAATTTGCAGGCAGAGATTCTCTAATGTCAGTGGTTTGCAGTTACTTTGTTCAAACATGTTTTTATCCTACTCTATCCAGAGAATTTCTTGTTAATCAGCCTGTGTAAAAATAGCAATGAAGGTTACATCTGTCTGAATAAAACTTGCCCTAACTGATGATATGCCTTTAAATTTTTTACTATTAACTTACTAAGCAGACTGCTAAGCTGATGAGCTGCTGAACTACAAAAATATTGCAGCATATGAAATGCTCACAAATAATGCCCACTTTTGCAGTTTCCTAAGTTTGAAAATGAGTACTAGCTGTGGATGAGCCACTAAGTAAATATTCATAACCTTTAAAGAGGAGACATCAGCAGTTCCTCGTTCTCACATGAACTACTGAGCCTTTTCCTTAAAAGGTTACCTTTAGTTGTATTCTCTGCATGGGCTTGTCAGGTCAAGTACCTATAAGACTCTAGGAGAGGTGGTCACTTTGATGTTATGTATATTCTTTGAACACTTCAACTTATTTCTCAAATAACATAATCAATATAGGCCCCACCATGGATGTAATTGGAATATATCTAAATTTTGGTGAGCCTTGCGATGTTTGCTTACAAGGAACGTTCCTTAATATAAAAGTTGTTTTAAATTAACTCAGTCAAACATACTCATGGCATAATTTCTCTTTGTTTAAAAAGTAACCAGGGTAAACAAGTTGGAGTACAGGTGTATGTTGTTTGACAAGATGATGTTGATTGTTGGTTTGTGATTTATGACAGGATCTCAAAGGAAATGTCAAACCTGAAGAAAAATGGCCAACAGATGAGTACTGGAGTGGTGATTGGTGGGAATCAGAAGAGTCGTCAAGGCATTGGGTATTTCTTGGCTCAGGTGAGGAGGAGGTGCCTGGGTCAGTTACTACCTTAGGTGACGAGGGGGATCCTGGGTCAGTTACTGACTCAAGTGACCAGGAGGACCCTGGGTTAGTTACCAACTCAGGTGATGAGGAGGATTCTGGGTCAGTTACCGACTCAGGTGACAAGGAGGAGCCTGGGTCCTGCCTGGAAACGTAACTGATTAGGACTGACTCAGTAGACCGCCTGAAACTAAGGAAACTTACCATTGGTCAGAACTGTCAGGCCAGACCAGTCCATCCATTGATAGAATTCCTTCACATCTGCCCAGTTAGAGAAGTCAATACCTAAGTTGTAGTCATTGTGTTGAACAAAATTTGAAAACAAGTTTAGGAAACCTGATTAAACAAAGCACATTTCAAGATGATTGTTTGGTTTGGTTGGTTTGGTTGGTTTCTGACCAATGGTAGGAGACTTCAGTGTTGTGATCAAATGAACAAACAATCAACTGTTGGACAAAGGATAAGGAAATATATTTTTAGAGTCATTTAGCTTAGGTAAATTGGTACCCTCACCAACATGGTAATTCCCTTCCACAACATCGCTAAGAACATGTGGGATGTTCATCTGGAGTCAGAGTGTCTCATCCTTGAAGTAGATTGTTGGATTTGGATATATTTTAGGTTATTTTTCGATGTCCAAAAATGTTGGTTGTAGTTTTGATTTACAGCTTTGGGCTTCAAAATTTGGTTTCCATGTTACTGAGCTAGAGACTGAGGTATTTTTTGTCATTTTTTAGTTTAGTTGGCTAATGGTTATGTGCTGCCTTGGCAATTAATTAATTCATTAGGCTGACTGTCATTTCTTTTGATATAAATGTAAGAAGTCCTCAATGCAGCCATTCTTCAGAAAATCATAGATACCAGTATTTCAATGTGGCAAAGAGCAAAACCATAGCTAATATTTTTCTTATTTTCATGGCATTCAAGATGCTGTGAATGAATTTAGCTGTTTGTTAATTGGGGATGAGCTTCTGCCTGCCTAAATTTCTAAACATACCATTTGAGATTAATGTAAATATTGCATTGTGGTTGACATTCAGTCATCAGAGCTTTCAAAAGTCAGTTGAGTTTGATAGAAGAAGGGAGACTGTTTGACAAGTATTTCCCTTACTCTGAATTGTAAAATAATTTAATTCAGTATGGTGTTGGTTGTACTCTCAAAATTGTCGAGTGAGTTACAGTTAAGTCATTGTTATATTATATCTTTTTTTATTTGCTGGAATTGTTCCTCAGGTGACATGTTCCATTGTGGCTGTATACAGCACATCGTAAGACACTAACTCTATCTCCTGATTTCTATATATTAAGCCTTTAAGGCTGATTTCTCAGTGATAAGTTCTGTTTTTAAGTGCTCTGTTTTGCAATTGTAGAAATGCACTAAATTAATTATATCAAATTAGGAAAAAGGGAACACTTTTGAGCCCTGTGATGTTAGCGAAGGTCATCACGACGAACCAATCGGACCATTATGTTTTATCACAGGCGTCCCAAGCTCACGTGTATCGAGAAACAACAAACGATTAATTCATGAAAGCGTCACGCATTGTGTGACTCGGTGTTAAGTTACGGAGAGAACCGTTGTAAGGAAAAGTATGGGGAAAGAAACATGGTCGATTTGCTTCGATAAATATTTCGAAGTATGAACATTTCACAAGTAAAATCATCAGAACTTACTCACATCTTGTGTGTCCGTCGTGGTTTCCGGTGTTCTCTACCGTTTTAAGCTTGTTTTGCCGTCACTGTTATTCCTGTTCCCCATATTCCAAGTCACACAACGTGTGACGCCTTCATTAGTTAATTGTTTGCGTTTTCTTGAAACGTGAGCTTGAGACGCCTATGGTTTTATCCACACTGTAGTGTCTGGCTGTTTCAGGCCTGCTCTATTTGTGCAACTGCTCACTTGATGTGTCATGCTCCAATTGATCAAGTAGAAGAGGATCACGGGATTTATGGGACGGCATTGAAAGTTACCCACCCCTTCAACCACCCCCCTCCCCTCCAACTCACCACGAAAACTCTATTTCTCATATATCTCCTAATAGTATCTCAAGATTTCCAATTTCCTGTCCTTCCTTCCTTCTCAGACTCTAACCTCCTAATGGTTTTCTGTTCGAAAAGCCTTGGTCAAATTTATCAATTTGCAAACTATAGTGGAAGGGGGACCGTGGGGATATTTTTGTAATCTCCAAAATCCGCCATTTTTTATTTTTGAATTGTGATGTAATGAAAAACTGTTTTAAGAATCTTGATTGAAATGTATTCCATGAAACGAGAAGGAGAAAAAACATACAGTGAAGAAAATAAATTGTGTACTTGTACTTAAATGAAGAGAATGCTGTGATCTGGTCAACGGTACATGAACTGTGTATCAAACCGATTACAAATTAACAAAACATCCCCTACAGCCTGTCAAAAAAATAAAACTGAGGAACTGGCTGATATTTACTGTATGCCACATTCTTGAAAGATTCCGAAATTTCAGCCCTTACAGGAAAATTCCCAGCAGTGTCAAGACGAGAGGGTCCGTGAGTTTTTTTCTTAATGACTGTTTCCTGGTTGCTAAATTGATGTTGCGTTATTGTTGAAGGAAAGCAACCGAGTACCGTGTTTCCTCGAATAAGCGCTCACGCTCCTATCATGTAAATCAAACTCCTCAATTTTCTCTTTCTTCACTTTCTTAATTAATAGACATACAAGGAAAACCTGTTTCTATTACCACTTTATTTACAACTTTTTAGCCCTCAACCACAGCGAAATCAGTACAGGTTGATAGTTTCTTTGATAACTGGCCCCCTCGGTTAATCGTCCTCCTTCCAATAAGCGCCTCTCCTTTTAGCCGAAATTTGAAATGAGCGCGGAAATAAGGTATTTAATCGGGTAGTGGAGGACGATCTTTCACCAGAAGCTCTTATTGCCAGATTTACCAATAAAAGCTCGTCTACTAGAAAAACATTCTTCATTATTTCCTTACGGAGGTAGGTAACCCTCTCATCTTAATTGCATGCTATGGATGGACTGAGCTGTCAACCGAATGACAAACCTAGTGAAAATAGTTTCTTTCCTAACACTCGGTGGAAGATCAAATTTGAAAATGATAGATCTGCACTTTTATTGAAAACTAAAACTTGACAATCGGCCAAACAATTTGTCAACCAACGGATGAAAATGTGCGACGCTCCATCGAAATGTGTCAAAAAGGTTTTAAGAATGTTATCAAGAGGAAATGAGACTTTTATTAATTTGAAAATCGAAGGTGACTGACCATACGAAAGTTGTATCATGAATTTATAATAAATAATATTTAGGGCAAGGTTTTCTATACTTTTGCTTTTGAACTCTTAGCTTTGCAATGGCTATATTTAGTTTTTTCCACTCGACTCACTATTATAGTTTCATAGAAGTTATTCAAGTAAGGATCGGCAAAACTTTATATTTGAATTTTCCCTCGGATTTATCATTACGTATGAAAAACTTAGTCTATAATCAAGTGCACTTTCAAGAAGCGGTAACTTTTAGGAAGTCTTTTTTTACCCCGACAAGTGGATCGCGTGACTTGGGAAAACCCAAGTCACGCAAACATTGCCTCTTTCCAGATTCCTCGAAAATATCACAGTGAGTATTGGAAGGACATGATTTGATAAGCACATTCCAGAACACATACGCGGGAAAGCTCTAATTGCCGTACTTGTTCAGACTTTTAATGGTAATAAGACTTGCTTGGAATTTTAAAGATAAACCAGTGCATCGGAAAAGATGTAAATGTAATCTTGACTCGAATATCAAGGTGAGCGATGCTTTACATAGAACTCTTAATCTTTAATTTATGTTTATTAAAAATTAAAATCTCATTTCTTGAATTAATTTAACCCAACGCCATCAGTTGTCCACATTGTTTTTAATTCATATCTTAACAAATATTTACAGGAATAACACCTACAATATGTCATTTTAAAGTATATAAAATGGGCTTCTCAGGAAAAAAAATTCATCATTGAAACCCAGGACTTTCCTAGAAAGTAAAATCTAAAACACAAAATAAGTAAGACATAGTGTAAAACTTGAGGTAAAAGTCACTTTTCCTCATAGGTATAGGTTAATCAAGATTAATTGATAGCAGAAGTTAATTATTAACATGTCAGCAGCATTTCCTGAAAATCTGAAAGAAAAAGAATAAATAATGAATTTTTATGTGCACCCATGTCACTCCAAAAATATTAGCAAAAATTTGTCCAAATTCAGTTTTTAATTCATATCTCAACAAACATTTACAGGAATAACACCTACATTTTAAAGTGTATAAAATGGGCTTCTCAAGAAAAAAATAATTCAGCATTGAAACCCAGGACTTTCCTAAAAAGTAAAATTTAAACACAAAATAAGTAAGACATAGTGTAAAACTTGAGGTCAAAGTCACTTTTTCTCACAGGTATAGGTTACTTAAGATTAATTGATAGCAGAAGTTAATTAAGTCTTATCAGTCATTGTAAGGACGTCGTTTTCTAATTCGATGACCTTTTCGGTAATTAGATAACGGCGTAATATGTGATTATCGTAGTCTATAAACTGTGAGATTTTAAGCCACTTACCCAAGGTCTGAATGTACTTTATACATAGAGATTTTATGCCGTTAATTAACGGCGTAAAATTTTACAGTAAGTTTATTCACAACCTGAAAGGAATTAATTTCTTACAGTTAGTATATTTGAAATATGTTATTTTGTATATATTAATTCATGATTGTAATTATACCGACGCAGATGGTGGCGTATAATCGTTCAGTATGTAGGCTAAGATATTCACATATTATGTTATTATATACATTCCCGTTCCTTTTGTAGTTAGGTTGAAGTTTAATTTGCATTTACTTTTAACAAGACGTCTTTACCCTTGGTGATATTTGCAATAAAACCTCCAGCAACCCACTGAAATTTTGTAACAGAAAAAAATTCTTCCAACCAAGCAAGATGCATGTCTCGGTATCATTTCTTGTACATGAATTTAGGCAAGGTGTGGAAAACATTTGGGGGCCAAGTGTGGGTAAAGTATGAGCCACTTGTCAACGGAGTATCATCTGCCATACATGTCGGTCAAGAGGCAATGAGTTGCGATGTTTGCCCCGTGGCGATCCCAGAAATCTGTGCGCAAACACAATGATCCGACTACTGGCAACTCATTCATTGATGTCAGTCAACATGTGGACCGAGTGTTTCTCTACACATCGGCTGATACTCAGTTATTGTGTTGACTGTTAGTGTCGGTCGATACCCGTCCAACAGATGCCTTTAGTACACGAGATCGGCTCTTTTTAACTACATATCCCATACAAAAATTTGGAGCCTGACAGAGCCTGAAGACGGCCTTGTTCCGGACAGATTACCATTCATAGAGCCAGACATCGACATGACATGAGCCGGACAAAAAAATTGTCCTGGCTTTCTACTAATGAACCAGAAAATGTTACGCTTTTTTCGGGGCCATGAAAGACCAGACAACGCTAACAGGAGCAGGGCAAGAGCAGGACAAGAGCCAGACAACGCTGAATACCTTTACACATTTTAAGGCAACATATAATTCACCAATGTGTCTGTTTTCAGAGCCTGACAAGAGACTGCTGCGAGCCAGACAAGCACTGTTTTTACACTTCGTTTCTTGAGGCTAATTATCACCGCTCGAAACTTGCTTTCACTTGGATAACATAGCATAGTCACGCAACAATCTTTCCGTCGGTCTTCTTGACACAGATGAGTAAGTATGAATTTTTCGGATTGGAAATATTAAAAATGTTCATTCTAGGAAATGAGTTATAGTTGACGCCCATCGAACGACTATAAAAAGTACATTTAACTCAGTGTTTAGGGGAAGCTCTGAGTGTTAGCAATTCGCGAGAAACTTTGATTCCTTTTCTAGTATTCAAAGACTTTAAAGAATGTTAACGTGCCTCAACGTTCTCAGTCTGAAAAGAGAACATGTTGACTATTTCACTGTACTCAAAATGTCACGCCCCTTGGATGTGATCGGAGAATTTTTGATATCTTTTGATTGTGGCTACAATTTTGATTTACTGAGTCACATATGAACCTTTTTCGGATTTGAGCTTCAAAGTCTGCATTTTATTGAATTAAACAGATGGCTTTCATCATTTTCTAGTTTAATGTGCTCAGGTATGTGCTGTTCAACGATCCTGTTTATAGTTACGCTGCATGTGTCAATATCTCTTATTTCCTTAACTCTTTATCTCCCGTGAGTGACCAAAATGCCCTGGACCGCTCTTACAGAGATCTCCACTTAAGTCTCTAAACGAGCGGTTTATTGGCGCCTTTATTTAGGATTTGTATTTCGATTTTAGCCATGAAGATATTTGCAAAAGCTACTACCGTTTCGGTCTCCATAGGGTCTCCGTGCGTTTGCAAGTAATTTTGTTCGTTGAATTGGGATGAGTTTTCCTGCAAAATCAGTCTAAATGGAGGGGAGGGGTGTATCTGTGCATAAATTAATCTGTGCATAATTGTAATCATTCTGCTAATGAAATTGAGAACAACTTGGACGACAATGGCTTATTTCTATCACAGAAGTTAAGTGACATCTCAGCGATCAAGGGCTTTAAGATTGTCCACCAAAATATTAGTAGTCTAACTGGTAGGATTGATGAATTGCTTCTCATCGCTTCCGAACTGCGCTCGAGTCTATAGTTTATGAGTTTCTTTGAAACCTGGGCACATAAAGATATTGCAGACTCTGGGCTTGAGATTCCTGGCTACAAACTTTTTCGCCGAGACAGAGGAGTTAAAGGGGGTGGCCTTGCAGTGTACGTAAAAAATGATGTGAAAGTTATACGTAGGCCCGACCTTGAGGAATCGACTATCGAGCGTCTTTGGGTCGAAGTTTGCCTACCAAAGTCACGTAGCTTTCTAATTGGAACATTTAATAGGCCGCCAACGTCTTCAAATCATGCGGTCAAAGACTTCATGCCTATATTTGACAGCTGTCTTAGGCGTGCTATGGCTATGGATAAGGAGGTGATCATTACTGGCGATTTAAATTGTGATTTTTTGCCAAAACGGACTACAGAGTCGGACTGTGGTGTTTGTGGTTTTGTACCTGGCAGTGCAACTAAAAACAATTCATGGAAGACTTTTGCTTGTGTTATGGCAGCTTCTGTTGTATCCAACATGTTGAGTAACTCTTTTGTGTTTGGAGACTGGCCTCATTACGGTATGTGTACATTTTTGTAACAGCTTTGATTGTGTTTTCCAAGAGATTTTGTAGCTTGCTTGTTTTCCTCGGTATAGAATATTGTTATCTGCTGATGAGAAATTGGAGACCAACAGTGGAATTAAATATGTATCAAAAAACTGAAAAACATACACATTCTTTGTTTTTCAATTACATTGCCTTAAAAGAGAACTTTTAAGAAGTGTGAGATATGAACAAATTCACTTTGGTAGCTTTAATTCCAATTTTGAAGTCAAATAACATTCTAAAATTCAAGATTAGAGGGAGTTAATAAGAAATTACTCAATAATGTTGAGTAACTCTTGTGTGTTTGGAGACTGGCCTCATTATGGAGGTACGTGTTAATTTTTGTAACAGCTTTGGTTGTGTCTTCCAAGAGATCTTGCAACTCGTATCAAGAAAAGTGGTTCAACATTGTTAACAATAGGCTTTGTTATACAAGAGAAAAATGATCCTAACCCTAGCTAAAGCTGTTGGGATATTTCCATGTTTGAAACTGTAATCGTTTAGATTAATCAGAATTTTGATTCTACTATGGAATAAGATAGAGATGCAAAAGAAATTGAAACTGAACTGTGCTCAACAGATATACTGTATATGGTAATCTATTCATTGCTAACAAGCTCTCTGTTTGATTAGTGTCGCCTCAATATCATGTTCTCACATTTCAATGGTGATATAGGTAACAGGTAAAAGAACCTTGCTACAATAGAATACAATTTGACAGATAGTGAATTGAAAATTAAGGTTGAGGTGGATGACTTGAAACCTGAAGAGCAGAATAAGCAGACTGGCATGCTGGCAACAGAGCATGGGGAAAAAGTGATAAAAATATTTTATTAAGTTATTATGGGAAGTTGTTGTTCGAACAGTTATAACATTAATGTGATAAATCTTCAATTATCTCAGTGCAATAATGTGGCATCAATAAATTAATATAATTGTACACAGTTCCACTTATGGGAACAAAACATTTGAAGAGAGGCTGTGAATGCTAATCTCCCTCTGCATTTTTTACCTTTAGATACTACACCCCACAATGTAGTACCCACTACTGGTCATGGAAGAGAACTAGAAGAATCAAGGGGAAGGACAGGTGAACAGGATGCTCAGTTTGAACTTATTTTTCAAGTTAATTTAATTGAAACATGGTTCTTCATGTTGGTTGAGTTTTTCTTTTTGTTATTGGGAAATAAAAAACCACTTTTAAGTCCATTTAGTTGATTTTAACTGGTATCAAACCATGTTGAAATGAATGAAAAGGTGTGGGGTTTATCACTTTCAGTTGTTTTTGTTGACTCATTGAAGCCTAGCATGGGCTCCAGTTTGGTTTCAGTTCCCCCTCACATGCTCCAATAAAAAGGAAACCAACATGGCAAATCACTGACTTGTTGTTTTGATGTATTGATATTGAAGAAGTGGAAGAATTCATAGGTGCATAAATTGGCCAGAAAAGCTGTAGGACTGAAGCTCTTGGGAAAAGAAAGGAGAAATGAAAAAAGAACCTGAATGTGATTTTAGTCATCTTTTGAAATAGAAATTAATGTTATTAATAACCAAGAATGCTTCTGTCAGCAATTATGAAAAATAATATTGGTCAATGCAAATTATTTCAAAGGTGTTTTTACCTCATTCTCTTCTCTAGTTTAAGAATATCAAAGAATGCTGTGAAGTGCTCTCAGCCGTTATTCAATAACTTACACTAGCTCAGAGGTAGATGGCCAACGCACACGCAAAACCTTCGCACGTTTTTCGCGTTCTGCGCCAAAAAAAAAAGGGCGTGCTAAAGCGTGTGTCTTGAGAGAGTTTTTGCTATTGTTATTCAACGCAGTCAGCTTGTTTTGTTCTGCATTGTTTCGGAAAACTATGGTTTTCTGTCTCAAAATGCTACCAGCGAAGCATCAAATCAATATGTGCATATCTCAATATCAAAAGGACGCAAGGGCTGCCGTTCGTAAGGGCTGTGCTTAGTTGCGCGAGCAGGGTGTATTAAAAGCTGCAGTGCCAAGCATGCGGCTCAGCGAAAAGACAGTAGAATGGGAGGTAGCCAAACCCCAGATAAAAATTGGCAAATTTTCCTCCAATTCCAATATTTGTTATTTCTACTTGAAATTAATTGCAAGTATTGGGAAAACTTTGAGTTTGAAATGTTTTTAAATTTCGCTGGCAAACATTAAAAGTGTGCGTCACAACTAGCTGTTTCTACAGACTCTGGTCTAAACTGACTAGTTGACCTATGAGTGCGATCGAACTATCTCAATTGTTTTATAACTGTTAATAGTTGTGTCTTTGATCGTGCAAATCACACCCGTTAGAAAATGAAAAGTGCACGAAGACAATTAGTCGTTTATCCCGCACAGATAGCTTACCGTTGATAAAAAGAAGCTTCAGTGAGAGGGTGATTTATCTTGTGATGAAAATCAAACAGTTCCACAGGGATGGACCGTGAAGCCTGAGGTTCCTTGTTAAAAGAGAATAAATATTTCATTTTTGCATGCTCAAATCCGTCTGAAGTTATAGAGGTGAGCGCGCAAAACCGAAATAGATTCACCGCGGAGTAAACTGCCAATTGGTTTTCCATATCAGTTCATGAAAAGTTGATTATCGCGCACAGATAGCTTACCGATTAAAGAAAGAAACTTTGGCTCTACTGTATGAATCTTGTAATGAAAATCCATCTTTCCGGAGGGATGGACACAGAGGCCTGACGTTCCCTGTTACAAAGTTATTTTTTCATGTTCAATTCCATCCTTGGTTATAAAAGTGAGACGTACAAAACCGAAATTCATTCTCTTGAGTTGGAACACTTGAATCTTCTGAGTAAATGCTGATTCGCTCTCCATATCTCCCTCTCATTAATTCTCCCTTAGTATTAGATTTCCGTATTGAATTTTCGGCAGTCGCATGAAGACTGAGCAGTTTAACTCTCACAGTCTTCTGCAAGATTGTAGATATATTTTTGATTAATATTGACATTTTGTGAAATGAGAATCATTATAGTTCACGTCTCGTACATATTTAATCACTTAACGGAAAAAAAAGATACCGTTTTGATCTTTTTCTCAATCGTATTTGATAATCGATCAGTTCCTATTCTCAGTCATTTTGTTAAATACTTTTGATCACGGTTTTCATTTTTCCTAATCACAAATTGGCAGTAACAGTGTTTAATAGAAGGTCTTTGTAAAGTTAACTGTTAGCCGTAAAACGGCCAAAAAATTAGCCGTTCGGCGTAAAAATTGACAAATCGTAACCGCTAGTCGTAAAAGAGTTAACCGTAAGAAAAATTTATGGTGACAACAATGAAAAGATATTAACCGTTAGCCGTAAAAGCCATGCTAACACCCCTTTACGATCCTCTTTATACTTAGAAAGGGGTATTCAAAGGTTCATTGGAAGATTTTAACCCCCCTATCCCACAATTCCTGATAATAAAACACTCTGGCCGATAGGCCCCTAAATTCAAATTTGACGTAGCTAAAAAACCCCACCCCTCCTCAGTTAAGTAAACATGTTGGTTCTAAAAAACGAGCGCCTTCTTTGAAAACAGCTGTGCGCCAGAAACAAGGTCTTTAATGCCTCGAGGCTCTCTACAGAAAACAGACATTTTCGATTGCATTTATCATCAGTAGTAAGACCAAAAAATATTTTTGTGCGTTGACTTTTTACAAGGCGACTTGACTTGCATATGGAGATAGGTGGTTTAAATGAGTCAATGCAATAAGGATAACTTTAATCGTTTTTAAACTTACGAACCTTTGGCTTAATGCGCTCATCGAGGGTCAAGTATACCCTTGGGTGCGCCGATGGAGATTGATCTAACTGGTGCATATTTACACTACCCACTCCCCCTATGCAGAAAAAATTGTCACTCCCATTATTTTCTCGATGAGTTACGAGCTTTTCCGCCTCCCTTCGGCCAAAGTCCCTCAGGACTACCAATTACAGAAGGGCTTTTATTTGATGCTTAACGGAAAAGTTGAGCCAGAAAAATAAACCATTTCTTGATACGCTTGCTTGTTGTCCTTTGTAGAGAGTATCGTTATCTGCTGATGAGAACATGGAGAGCAACAGCGGAGTTAAATAAATATCAGAAAACTGAAAAACATAAGCATTCTTTGTCTTTCAATCGCATTGCTGTAAAAAAGAACTTTCAAAAAGTCTGAGATATGAGCAAATTCACTTTGGTAGCTTTAATTCCAATTTTGTAGTCATGGATAAGGTTCTAAAATTCCAGATTAGAGAGAGTTTATCCCCCTGCCCTCATAACTATTGTTTTCGTGTCCAGACTCTTGTGCGTAGTAAGATGAACCCAAATCTTCTTTGTTTACCTTTCTACGAAATACCTAACTGCTACTGAGCGGGTTAAAACTTTGTTGAGATCTAAATCTTAGCTTTTATTCCGTTCTAATGAATTTCAATTCTTGAAGTCCATCAATTTTCTCTTCTCTCTTTTAGAGACGAGATTTTGATCTTCAGTCAGCACTTATTCCGACTCCTGCTTGTTACCCATTTCACAAATTTAGTGAGGCATATTTTAATGCTCATTACAGTTTGACTTTCCTTTCCCTTTTGCAGACATTTCAACAGAAGAGGAGAGTTGTAAAAGTGGTGATCCTTCAGAAAATAAACGTAGAAGGCTTGCAGGTATTATAATTATCAAATGAAGAAATTTCATAGTAAGCTTTCGTTTTAATAACTTCTACTATACTTAAAGTGGTGGAGTGTCCGATCGCGGAATCTGGATGTGTTAGGTTCTATTCCTGGTGAGGACTCAAAATTGTTCCTTTGTCTCACGCTCGTGACAGGACAGTCAAAATTCTTCTCTTTCCTTTTCTTCTACCAACTTGTTATTATTGTTCAAGAAACAGTACTCCGCAAAATTTTACGAAATTAAAATTCATGAAGTTTTTTGTTGTTACTTTGGCCGCTTCGTTTCCCAACATTATTGATCCATGATGAAATCAATGCTAGAAATTTAATCTTCCCTGCAATTTAAGAAGAGCTACCGAGAAAGGTAAAACTTAATGAACTGAGTGTGGGTTTGTTTTTGCAGGGGGGAAGGGAGAGAGCGCGGCGGCAGGGGTTAATTATCTTAATGCTTTCATGCCAAGGAAACTGAACTTGACTTTGTGTGGTTTTACAAATTTGGCATCGTGTGCATATTTATTCTTTCAATAAAAGTTAATACCTGTTTTTTTTTCTAAAATATTTCTTGAAACCGTTGAATGTTTGATAGCATTTTTCCCTCTGGGAAGAAGACCACCGACCCCCCGATAATACACCTAAAAACTCCTGCCTTAACCCCCCTTCCCTCCCCCCCAGCCCAACCCCCATTTTATTAACCACACCCAACCCACATTTCCTGATCGGTCCAACGAAGGTCTAACACTCGAAGCATCAGCTTCAGAATCTCTCTACAGAGGCCAATTTACATTATCAACTCAGTTAATGAAACCAAATTATCATTGCTAACTGAACATTTGATTCACATTTCTTAATACTAGTAAGAGTAATCCTATAATAAACTCCTGTTAGAAATGGATGCTAACCCTTATGAACTTGCAAGTTATGTTGGAGCAAATTTGTTGTTTTATACATGAAACCTTGTTTGTTAAAGTGCCATGAGTTGTCTCTGTAGCACATGATCCCTTCGCTGAGTGCGCTATCATCAAAGGAAACTGCTGAGAAAATGATGAACGTTGTATATCTCAAAGTTATTGAATGAACCTGGTCAATACTTTATGTTTCGTTGGGGCAAATTCGAGTTGGGAAGAGGTTTAGTCTCCATGCAGACTAATGGAAGACCCAAAGAGAAATGTTCCCTTTAATGTAGGGAAGAGAACATTTATCAAGCTGTTTGTTTTTGCTTTCATTTCGGCCATCTTTGCCTAAATTCTCAGACACCATGCTTTTGGCCACTGTATCTTTTATGTACGTTGTTGACAGTGCCTCGAAACTGGAAAAGTGTCGCTTTATTTGTGGGTAACCAAATCAAAGCGAAGGAAGATCATTTGATGCGTATATATTTTGATGTAGTTTTCTGGTAGCGCAAAATTTACTCACTACACAACTGCCAACTGTAAGCGTAAGGTTACAGACATATTTCCGTTCGCGTATGTGGACGTGCATTTTTTGTGTAACATGATGCACAGTAGTGATGCATAATGCAATGGCACAAATTGGCCTTGAAACAAATTCATTAGGAGACGTTTCATTAGGAAAGGAAAAAAGCTCCATTGCTACAATGAATCTGTTGGCTCAGATAATATGTTCTGATCTAATTATTTTTTTTTACATTTGTTATCATGCAGGTGGTTCTCCTAAACATTTTCATCGGTCAAAGGTGAAACGTCGTGATGAAGAGTCGTCCCCGGGGGATGCCTTAACTCGGAAGGAAAGAAAAACTCGTTTAGCAGGTAAAATGAGGACATATCTATGGGCGTGCCCGTTAACCCCCAGCCCCCAACCCCATCTTCCTTTTCCCTGCTTTTTAAAATAAAAATGCGTGGATCCAGAAAAATGGTATGAATAGATATGCGGTACGTACTGCCCGCTATCCCCTCATCTTGATATTTTGCTGTGTTGTCTTAATGTTTTCAGTTATGCAAGGAGTTCCTAGCGACGAGGATTTAGAGTGGCTTTCGCAGGAACTCGAAGAATGGAAGACAGTTGGGCGTCGTCTAAAAATTAAGGAAGCAAAATTTACGGCGTTTGATAATGAAAAAAGGGAATGCTCTGAAAAAATCTACAAAATGTTACTACATTGGAAAAGAAGGAATGGCTCGACTGCAACATACAGGGTCCTACAGAATGCACTGTGTCATCCACTGGTTAATCGCACAGATTTAGCTGAGCAACTTATCACTGGTAATATATCGCTTATCTTGCAATTCAATAAAAATGCAATTAGATACATGTATAGTGCCTAAATTCTCAGACACCATGCTTTTTGGCCACTGTATCTTCTGTGTTTGTTTAGAATATCGTTAACAGCTGATGAGAACATGAAGACCAACAGTGGAATTAAATAATATCAGAAAACTGAAAAACATACGCATTCTTTGTTTTTCAATCGCATATCTGTGAAAAATAACTTTCAAAAAGTGTGAGATATGAACAAATTCACTTTGGTAGCTTTAATTCCAATTTTGAAGTCATGAATAACGTTCTAAAATTCCAGATTAGAGAGGGTTAATAAGAAATTACTCACTTCTGCATCTTTATTGTATTTAATAAGTCTTAAATCTATTTTCTTTGTCCCAGATTGTAGGTATTACAAATCGCTGATTAAACACGTTTATCGACTACCCCCTCCCCCTGCCCTCCTAATTATTGTTTTCGTGTCCAGACTCTTGTGCGCAATAAGATGAACCCAAATTTTCTTTGTTTACCTTTCTACGAAATACCTCACTATTGCTGACAGGGTTAAAACTTTGTTGAGATCTAAATTTTAGCTTTTATTCCCTCCCAATGAATTTCAATTCTCCAAATCCATCATTTTCTCTTCTCTCTTTTGTTCCGGGATCAGGCTCACACAAGATTTTCGTCTTCAATCAGCTCTTATTTCGACTCCTGCTTGTTACCTATTTCACATATTTAGTAAAGTGTGTTCTCATTACAATTTGACTTTATACTTATAGTGGTAGAGTGTTCGAGTGCAGAATCCGAAGGTGTTATGTTCTATTCCTGGGGAGGACTCAAAATTTTTCCTTTTTTTTTTTCACGCTCGTGAGAAGACAGTAACACTTCTTTCCTTTCCCTTTTCTTTTACCAATTTGTCATTCTTGTTCAAGAAACAGTACTGCGCAAAAATTTAAGAAATAAAAATTCATGAACTTTTTTTATGTTATTTTGGCCGCTTCATTTCCTAATATTGTTGATCCATGGTGAAATAAATGCTGGAAATTTAATCCTCCCTGCGATTTAAGATGAGTTACAGGCAAAGGGAAAAATTAAAGAACAGAGTGTGAGTGTTTTTTTCCATTATCTTAATCGTTTCATGCCAAGAAGACTATACTTGAGTTCGTGCGATGTTAAAAACTTGGCATCGTGTGCATATTCATCTCTTCAGTATCATATTCGTCAGTGTATTTTAATTCTCATAAAAGTATAAATTTCTTTTCTCTTTTCAGACATTTCAACAGAAGAGGAGAGTTGTAAAAGTGATGATCCTTCAGGAAATAAACATAGAAGGCTTGCAGGTATTGTAATTATCAAGCGAAGAAATTTCACATTAAGCTTACGTTTTAATAACTCATATTATACTTATAGTAATGGAGTGTCTGAGCGCGGACTCCAAAGGTCGGAGGTTCTATTCCTGGGGAGGACTCGATATTTTTTTGTCCAACGCTCGTGGCAAGACGATAAAACATATTTCCTTATTCTTTTATCATAACAATTTATTATTCTTGTCCTGGTTTCCTTCAGCTGCTTCAATGCCAAAAATTAATGATCGATCATAAAATGAAAATAACATATTGTTTTGGAGACCAACGGTGGAATTGGATATATATCAGAAAACTGAAAAACATACAAATTCTTTATTTTTCAACATTGCTGTGAAAAAAATTGAGATATGCACAAATTTACTTTAGTAGTTCTAATTCTAACTCGCAGTCAAGGATAACGTTCTAAAATTCCAGAGCAGAGGAGGTCAATAAGAGTTATTCACTTTCTGCATCTTCATTGTTATTGTTTCGTCTTTGATCGTAGGTATTACAAATCGTTGATTAAACACACTTATCAACTTCCCTCCTTCCCCCGCCCTCCTAATTATTATTTTCGTGTTCAGACTCTTGCACAGTAAGATGAACCCAAATTTTATTTGTTTACCTTTCTACGAAATGCCTCACTGTTACTGTCCAGTTTTAAACATTTATGAGATCTAAATCTTACCTTTTATTCCCTCCCAATTAGTTTTAATTCTTCAAGTCAGATAATTTTTCTTCTCTCTTTTATTCTGTGAACGGGCTCACATGAGATTTTCATCTTCAATCAGCACTTATTTTGACTCCTGCTTGTTACCCATTTCACAAGTTCAGTGAAGTGTAGTTTAATTCTCATAATTTGAATTTCCTTTCCCTTTTGCAGAAATTTCAACAGGAGAGGAGAGTTGTAAAAGTGATGATCCTTCAGAAAATAAACGTAGAAGGCTAGCAGGTATTATAATTATCAAGTGAAGAAATTTCATATTAAGCTTACGTTTTTATAACTGATATTATATTTATAGTGATAGAGTGTCCGATCGCAGACTCTGAAGGTGTTAGGTTCTATTCCAGGTGTTGACTAAAAATTTTTTTTTTTTGCCTGACGCTCGTGGCAAGAGGAAATTCATGAATTTTTTTGTTGTTACTTTGGCCGCTTCATTTCCCAACATTGTTGATCCATAATAACATAAATGCTGGAAATTTAATCTTCCCTCCAATTTCAAACGAGCTACCGACAAAGGGAAAAATAAAGGAGGGGAAGGGGGAAGGGGACGGGGGAAGGGGCGGGGTAGAAGTGGGTAGGGGGAAGAGGGGAGGGGGAAAAGGGGGTGGCAGCAGGGGTTAATTATCTTAATCCTTTCATGCCAAGAAAGCTGTACTTTAGTTCGTGTGGTGTTAGAAACTTGGCATCGTGTGTATAGTTATTCCTTCAATAAAAGTAAATTCTTCTTTTCTTTAATATTTCTTAGAACCGTTGAATGTTGAGAAGTGTAAAGAGCAGCTTAATTCTTATTACAACACCTTCAGCAAGGTGAAAATCGTTCCATGGGACGACAGCTCTTCCATTCAGATTGATAAGATCTACACACCTTTGTCTTGGGTCAGAGATCACAGGAAGCCCAGCGGAGTGACACAAGAGAAACTTGAAGACTACACCGACATGTTCAAGGGAAAACCAACACGAATACTTGTTTATGGTCGGCCAGGAATTGGCAAGAGTACGTTTTGCAAAAAGGCGGCATATGACTGGTCGAAAGCCTTAAAGGAAGTCCTAATGAACTTTTATGTTTTGATTCTGATTAAGTTGCGAGATGTGTGTGACGTTGGAAACATCCGCGATGTTTTGCGTAAGTCTAAATTGCTGGCCAGTGATGGTACGATCTCAGTTGATAGTCTCTATGATTACATTATCAACAATCAAGATAAAGTGCTTCTTATTTTGGATGGCTACGATGAGTACAGCTTTGCAAAAGAACACTCACCCATCCTTGAAATTTGGAAGGGTGAGCAACTAAGAGATTGTCACGTTATTGTCACCACCCGAGAACTTAAATGTGACGGGTTAAGAGGCCCCAGCCACGTTCAGTTGGAAATTCACGGTTTCAAAAGCCGGGAACAAAAAAGAACGTTTGTGAGAGAATTTTTGGCAGGTGAAGATGATCTTGACGAGTTTATGTGCTACCTGGAAGAAAAAGGTCTCCGTGACATGGCAGAAATACCTCTCCTTCTATCGATGCTGTGCCTTTTGTGGAAAGAGAAACATCGCGAAGGACTGCTAAAATCACGGGCCGACATATTCACACAATTCATTCAAACCATGTTACATCACAAAGGCGAAAGTCAACAATCTATACCATTTCAGGAAGTGACCTCTACAGAAGCCAGAGAAGATCTTAGTAATCTTGGAAAGGTTGCCTTTGAAGCACTGCTGCAAGACCGTCTTTACGTACGCTGCAGCGAACTCTCCGGCAATATTTCTAGAAGTTTTCAAAAATTAATTGAAGTCGGGCTTTTCCAGATTGTCAATGTTACGAGTCTCAATCCTGAGAAAGGGGCCTATTTCATTCATAAATCCCTACAGGAGTTCCTTGCAGCCTGGCACATTAAGGAGGAAGTGTTGTCGATTAAAGGAGAAAGTACGCCTAGCCTTTCCAAAGTTGAATCATTTGAAAAGATCGTGAAGATGAATGAAGTTCTCAAATTTGCTTGTGAACTGTCAACAGAAGCCGCTTGCTTAGTTTTCCATCATGTAGGGTGTGTTGGAGGAGAGGAATCTTGGTCGGAATGTGATTTATTAAGTGAGAATGAAGTACTTTATCTAAAGCTTATCTCGCATAGCTACTTTTGTTGTTCGGCCGAGAAGAGGCGAGATCTTTGCTCAGTCTTGTCCTCTTACACTGGAGGTGCTATGTGTCTTGATTATAACCAGCTGAACATTACTGCAAATGAACATTTGCTGAAATCTAGCATGATATCCGACAACATCATTTTTATTACCGACGAAGATTCTTCAGAGAAAAGCTATCGAGACTTGATCACTGTAGCGGAGGACACAGATGCTGTTTTTTTGAGCTGTTCGGGCGAAAAGAAAGCCGCAGATTTGCTGAAGGAGTTCCCGCATCGTCCTGTGGAAGAGTTCGTTTTGAAGAGAGGGAGAAAAACCGTCGTTTATATTAACGAGATACAAAAAAAAGATGGTGTCACTTTTCCGACTGAAATGCTGCGAGAGCTCATTTCGCCAACAGCAGAGTCTACTCAGATGAAGCGTGTTGGTGATCCGTTGAATGAAAACGACAGCGAAACAGCTTCGTGTTTGACTGAGAACACTGATAGCATCACTGGTCCGACTCGTCAGAGCCTTTCCAGTATGAGTACTATTGTTATTTACCACATAGAAAGGCAAGAGATGAAGATGCTGGCTGATTTGTTACCACTTTTCACAGATCTGCAAGTTATAATTATTCAAGGGAAAACATTTGAAATCATTGATCCTCAGTTAACAGAGACCCTGGTGTCTCGTATCATCTTCACTGACGGACTTAAAGCATTAGCACTTGATGATATCAATTTAACAGCCAAACATGCCGCAGCCATCGCCAGATCTCTGCACCAGGCTCCTAGCCTGATCTATCTCGAATTGTCAAGGAACCCTCTTGGTGAAGGAGTAAGTGTTCTCACTCGACATCTCAGCTGTGTTCCTCACCTGGAGGGTCTGAGCCTTGTTAGAGTTAAAATGACAAAGCAACAAGTGAATGATTTGACTGCAGCTGTACGTCAAAGTAAAATCAAGTTACGCACAGAATACCACGTAAGTTTTGTGATCTTAGTTTGCATATGTAGTTATTATTCATGTCTATTGTGTTCAATTTACTGTGGTGTTGTGTTAAGAATTTTTACGCCCTTGGTTCGCTGAGCAAGTGCGATATACCCTTTGCTTTTATAGAACAAGCGGAAAGTTTATCTCATGAAAAGTCACCACCAGTCAGTTCAAATCAATTTTATAAATGTTATTTGTAATTATGTTGAATTCTTTCATGCGACATGTGTAAATACCACGGTGTGCAGTTATATTTTTATTTCGCTGTTTACATCGCTGTCGCTTTGTTGTTTGCATTTACTTTTTGGTGTGTTTCTGGAAGAACTGGCGGAAGTCTGGACCACCTTGCATTTCTCGGCGTTTAAGATCACTTTGTCAGTTCGCCCACTAAAAAATAAGAACACAGAACTGAAAAGACTGTTTACGATGAAAATAAGACATTTTTCAGTTTGCTTCTTTTACGGTATGTCAGTCGGTAAAGGGCTATCCTGTATTGTGGAAAGTTGAGCGAGAATTGAGATACCAAACGGCGTGCAGAAAATTTCTTCCTACTCGAATTTTAATCACGGTGCAACTTTCAGTATTAGTAATAACTACCTTACATTACCTAGCGTCTTCTTTTAAATTTTGAAAGGATGCCAAAATAGGAGAGGAAATATAAAGCTAAGCAAATATTGTGGCTGTTTAATTTTTAATAATAACGATTTTCATTAAAGGGTTTTACATTCCGAATTGCTGAAAAGGCTTACATGCATTAGAACATTACACAGTTACTCTTTGTCGCTACCATTTAATTTGTTAAACTTGGAAGCAAAGCAAGTCATTTTTTTCAGTTACGATGAGAGCCCATTTAAGTATGTTTGTTTACGATTGAGGAAGGGTGAAGTCTGAAGTGTGCAGTCTGTTTTGAGTGTATTAAACAATATTATTTTGTGTGTCTACAGTGGAAACACAGAAACTGGGTATACTACATTCCTAATTTCATTCCATTAACCTCGATAAATCTATTCCTTTTATAATTAGGACCAGAGAAAATATGGAATGTTTCTCAATATAAAAGTTGTTTTTAATTGACTCAGTCAAAAATACTCTTGGTGTAATTTCTCTTCGTATGAAAAGTATCGAGGGTAAACAAGTTTGAGTTCTTGTGTATGTTGTTTGACAGGATAATTTTGAGTGTTGGTGTGTGATTTATGACAGGATGATGAAAGGAATGTCAAACCTGAAGAAGAATGGCCAACAGATGAATACTGGAGAGAGTTTTGGAGCAAATATCGTGGATCAAAAGACGAGCCAGATCCTGGGTCAGTTACTGACTCAGGTGATGAGGAGGATCCTGTGTCAGTTACTGACTCAAGTGACGAGGAGGATCCTGGGTCAGTTACCGACTCAGGTGATGAGGAGGAGCCTGGGTCAGTTACCGGCTCAGGTGATGAGGAGGATCCTGGGTCAGTTACCGGCTCAGGTGATGAGGAGGATCCTGGGTCAGTTACTGACTCAAGTAACGAGGAGGATCCTGGGTCAGTTACCGACTCAGGTGATGAGAAAGATCCTGGGTCAACTACCAACTCAGGTGATGAGGAGGATCCTGGGTCAGTTACCGACTCAGGTGACGAGGAGGAGCCTGGGTCCTGCCTGGAAACGTAACTGACTAGGACTGACTCATTAGACCGCCTGAAAATAAGGGAACTTACTATTGGTCAGAACTGTCAGGCCAGACCAGTCCATCCATTGACAGAATTCCTTCAGATCTGCTCAGTTAGAGAAGTCAATACCTAAGTTGTAGTCATTGTGTTGAACAAAATTTGAAAACAAGTTTAGGAAACCTGATTAAACAAAGCACATTTCAAGATGATTGGTTGATTTGGTAGGTTTCTGACCAATGGTAGGAGACTTCATTGTTGTGATCAAATGAACAAACAATCAACTGTTGGATGAAAGATAAGGAAATACATTTTTGAGTCACTTAGCTCAGGTAAATTGGTACCCTCACCAACATGGTAACTCCATTCCACAACATCGCTAAGAACATGTGGGATGTTCCTCTGGAGTCAGAGTGTCTCATCCTTGAAATTGATTGTTGGATTTGGATATATTTTAGGTTATTTTTCGATGTCCAATATTGTTGGTTGTAGTTTTGATTTACAGCTTTGAGCTTCAAAATTTGGTTTTCATGTCATTGAGTTAGAGACTGAGGTATTTTTTGTCATTCTTTAGTTTAGTAGGCTAATGGTTATGTGCTGCCTTTGCCGTTTTAAGCAAAAAAATAATGTGAGTGTCAATTTCGGGATTTAGGATCAATATTTTTCTTATTTTCATGGCATTCAAGATGCTTTGAATGAATTTAGCTGTTTGTTAATTTGGAACAGGCTTCTGCTTGCCTAAATTTTCTAAACATACAATTTGAGATTAATGTAAATATAGCATTGTGGTTGACATTCAGTCATCAGAGCTTTCAAAAGTCAGTTGAGTTTGATGGAAGAAGGGAGACTGTGTTTGACAAGTATATCGCTAACTCTGAATTGTAGTATTGTATTGGTTGTACTCTCAAAATTGTCAAGTGAGTTACAGTTAAGTCATGGTTATATTATATCTTTCTTATTTAAGAAGCTGGAATTGTTCCTTAGGTGACATGTTCCATTGTGGCTGTACATTGCACGCGGTAAGACACTGACTCTATCTCCTGATTTTTGTATATTAAGCCTTTAAGGCTGATTTCTCAGAGATAAGTCCTATTTTTAGGTGCTCCGTTTTGCAGTTGTAGAAGTGCACTAAACTAATTTATATCAAATTAGAAAAAAGGGAACACTTTTGAGCCCTGTGATGTCAGCGACGGTCATCACGACGAACCAATCGGACCATTATGTTTTATCACAGGCGTCCCAAGCTCACTTGTATCGAGAAAAAGCAAACGATTAATTCATGAAAGCGCCATGCGTTGTGTGACTCGGTGTTAAGTTGCGGAAAGAACCGTTATCAGGAGAAGTACGGGGAAAGAAACATATCGATTTGCTATGATAAATATTTCGAAGTATGAACATTTCACAAGTAAAATCATAAGAACTTACTCACATCTTGTGTGTCCGTCGTGGTTTCCGGTGTTCTCGACCGTTTTAAGCTTGTTTTGCCTTCACTGTTATTCCTGTTCCCCATATACCGAGTCACACAACGTGTGACGCCTTCATGAGTTAATTGTTTGCGTTTTCTCGAAACGTGAGCTTGGGACGCTTGTGGTTTTATCCACACTGTAGTGACTGGCTGTTTCAGGCCTGCTCTGTTTGTGCAACTGCTCACGTGAAGTCTCATGCTCCAATCGATCAAGTGGAAGAGGATTACGGGATTTATGGGACGGCATTGAAAGTTAACACTCGGTGGAAGATTTTAGTTTTCAATCAAATTGAAAACTAAAACTTGACAATCGGCCAAACAATTTGTCAACCAAAACCATGCATGAAACCGGATGGAAATGTGCGACGCTCCATCGAAATGTGTCAAAAAAGTTTTAGGAATGTTATAAAGAGGAAATGAAATTTTTATTAATTTGAAAATCGAAGGTGACTGACCATACGAAATTCGTATTATGAATTTATAATAAATAATATTTAGGGCAAGGTTTTCTACACTTTTGATTTTAAACTCTTAGCTTTGCAATGGCTATATTTAGTTTTTTTCACTCGACTCACTATCATAGTTTCATAGAAGTTATTTAAGTAAGGATCGGCAAAACTTTACATTTACATTTTCCCTCGGATTTATCATTACGTATGAGAAACTTAATCTGTAATCAAGTGCACTTTCAAGAAGCGGTAACTTTCAGGAAGTCATTTTTTACCCCGACAAGTGGATCGCGTGACTTGCGAAAACCTAAGTCACGCAAACATTGCCTCTTTCCAGATTCCCTGAAAATATCACAGTGAGTATTGGAAGGACATGATTTGATGAGCACATTCCAGAATAAATACGCGGAAAAGCTCTAATTACCGTGCTTGTTCAGACTTTTAATGGTAATAAGACTTGCTTGGAATTTTAAAGATAAACCAGTGCATCGAAAAAGATGTAACTGTAATCTTAACTCGAATATCAAGGTGGGCGATGCTTTACACAGAACTCTTATTCTTTAATTTATGTTTATTAAAAATTAAAGTCTCATTTCTTGAACTAATTTAAGTCTTATCAGTCATTGTAAGAACGTCGTTTTCTAATTCGATGAGGGAATTTCCTCCGTGATATCTTGAAACAAATCACGTTCCTTTTCGGTAATTAGATAACGGCGTATTATGTGATTATCGTAGTCTGTAAACTGTGAGATTTTAAGCCATTAACCCTAAGTCTTCATACATACTGAGAGCTTTTATGCCGTTAATTAACGGCGTAAAAATTTTACAGTAAGTTTATTTACAACCTGAAAGGAATTAATTTCTTACAGTTAGTATATTTGAAATATATTATTTTGTATATATTAATTCATTATTGTAATTATACCGACGCAGATGGTGGCGTATAATCGTTCTGTATGTAGACTAAGATATTCACATATTATGTTATTATATACATTCCTGTTCCTTTTGTAGTTAGCTTGAAGTTTAATTTGCATTTACTTTTAGCTAGACGCCTTTGCCCTTAGTGATATTTGCAATAAAACCTCTAACAACCCACTGAAATTTTGTAACAGAAAAAATTCTTCCAACCCAGCACAATGCATGTCTAGGTATCATTTCTTGTACATGAATTTAGGCAAGGTGAGAAAAACATTTGAGGGTTAAGTGTGGGTAAAGTATGAGCCATTTGTCAACTGAGTTTCATCTGACATGCATGTCGGTCAAGAGAAAATGAGTTGCAATGTTTGCCCCGTGACGATCCCAGAAATCTGTGCGCAAACACAAGGATCCGATTACTGGCAACTCATTCATTGATGTCAGTCAACATGTGGACCGAGTGCTCTACATATCGGCTGATACTCGGTTGTTATGTCGACTGTTAGTGTCGGTCGATACTCGTTCAACAGATGCCTTTAGTACACGAGATCGGCTCCTTTTAACTACATGTCTCACTTGGATAACATAGCATAGTCACGCTACAATCTTTTCGTCGATTTTCTTGACACAGACGATTTAGTATGAGTTTTTCGGATTGGAATCTAAAAAATTATTCGTTCCAGGAAATGGGTTAGTTGACGCCCATCGAACGACTATAAAAATTACATTTAACTCGGTGTTAGGGGGAAAGCTTTGAGTGTTCACAATTCACGAAAAACGAGTCGTTTTCAAGAATTCAAAGTCTTTTAAGAATGTTAACGTGCCTTAACGTTCTCAGTCTGAAAAGAGAACATGTTGACTATTTCACTGTACTTAAAATGTCACGCCCCTTGGATGTGATTGGAGAATTTGATATCTTTTTATTGTGGCTACAATTTTGATTTACTGAGTCACATATGAACCCTTTTCGGATTTGAGCTTCAAAGTCTGCATTTTATTGAGTTAAAAAGATGGCTTTTATCATTTTGTAATTTAATGTGCTCGGGTGTGTGCAGTTCAACGATCCCGTTTGTAGTTACGCTGCGTGTGTCGATATCTCTTATTTCCTTAACCCTTTATCTCCCGTGAGTGACCAAGAGAGAATTTCTCCTTACAATATCAAGCAAAGAAGAGATGAAAATAAAGAGAAATATCGATTAGAGGATTATTACTTGATCCAATTCCAAATTCTCTAAATTGACATCATAAGAATGAGGGTCCCGATGGGGTTAACCGTTAGCCGTAAAACGGCCAAAATATTTAACCGTTAGACGTAAAAATTGACAAATTTTAACCGTTAGTCGTAAAAAAAGTTAACCGTAAAAATATGTCTGGTGAAAACAATGGAAAGGTGTTAACCGTTAGCCGGAAATTGGTCAAAATTTTAACCGATAGCGTAAAAGCCATCACCCCATTAAGACCCTCAAGAATTGTATGGCAGACGGTAGGGAAAATTGCCAATGAGATCTTTGGAGTTAAAGGGTTAATTGCAAACAGATGAGGTCTTTATTCGATCTTTATGGTGAGGGTTCAGCATAGGTTCGGCGGGATGCGGGATTAGGCTTGCAATCGAGGTGGGATGTGGGATACGAGAGATTTTAAAGGCGGGATGCGGGATGAAAATAGGGAGGCGGGACCAGGATATGCTCCATTTGGAAGGCGGGATAAGGGATTGGACGGGTATAGGCAGGATAAGGGATTGGACGGGTATAGGCGGGATAAAGGAATGGACGGGTATAGGCGGGA